TCCCCTCAAGCCTGCTCCCTTAGCATTACCTCATTGGAAGTTAATAAAAACAACATAAAACATGGAACAATGGGTACTCACAACAGTTCAAACAGAAACCTACCAAGATCATAGTGTACTTTGGTCTTTATTTGAAATTTTGAAATGATTACCCCTAAAATTGAGATCCCAGCCAGCTCAGTATTGTTCAAATGATAGGGAAATTTACATTGATTATCAGAAGAGCCGGAGATGGGACTGGCTCCAAAAATAACACAGCAGGCTCATCTCCTCTGCAGTTCTCGGAGCTCTGTGTGACACCATGGGACTGGCTCCATCTTCCATGTGGCTGGCTGAAGTTCTAGGATTACGTCCAGACTGTGAAAATTTGAAGGGTGAAAGGGACCATCCATCATGCCATGCTTCACTTTTGTTAAGGAATAGCTAACACTTTCTCAGAACTATCATAGTAGTGTGTGTGTGTGTGTGTGTGTGTGTGTGTTTGTTTTTGTTTTTTTACAACCCATTGACCAAAATTGGATTTCACCTCATGAAAGAGATCTCGGATTGTTTTTGAATATTTATTTCCTCCAACTTTCTCAGTGATTTTGTCCTTTTGTCTGAGACTGTCACTGCCTGGGCATATTTCCTTAAGCCTACATTTGGCAAATAACTAAATTCTAATCAATAAAATATAAGCAGAAATGCTGTGTAGAACTTTGGGGAAGTATCCTTAAAATAGAGGCATTAACTTCCTTTTATTTTTCTTCTTCCCTTCGGTTTCTAGAATGCAAACATGATGACTGAAGCTTTTGCCCTCATCGTGGGCCATGAAGACAAGGCCTCCTCAAGGTCTGGTGGAACAAAAAGTGGGAAAGCACTGTGTCCTGATGAATTCAGGAGCTTGCCCTCTGAGCTTTGGACTGCTTTCCTCCAGATGGGTGAGGGAATAAAACCCGGGTGCTTTATTTACTGTTAATCTGAGTGTTCATTAACTCTGGTGAACCTAGTTCTAACCAGGGCATGTGCCCATTCCCAAATCAATGTGCAAATTACTGCCCCAGTGTTTTTGATCCTACACAACCGCTTTTCAAATAAAGATAAGACAGTTCCGTCTTCTGTGGAACTGAAGAACATGTCAACAATAACTTCTACTGACCCTTCACAAAATTGAAACCAATACATCAGCCGTTAAGTCTCTTTTCTAATCTCCAAAATTCAATCGCTTGTGTAGCAGCATCATGATTTTGGCCACATCTATCTGTTAGCTCAGTTACAATTTTTCACCTTCTTTATATTTTTAGCTTAAATTTATTTTGAAGAAAATTTTCATATCATTGTGTGGCTATAAAATCAGTGTTACTTGACAAAAATAAAAGTTATCTGCAAAAATGAAAAGGGAAATTTAGTGGACATTTAAAATAGGTAGGTGAGGACATTTCTGTGTGTCAGAGGCAAAAGATTCATTTGATGGGAAATATTAGTTGTAGTAGTGTCCCCTGGGTTCAGTAGTATCTTAGTTATCTTCTTGTTGCTGGAGCAAAACACCCAACACCCACAAATTAAAGGAGGAAAGGCTTATTTTAGTTTACAGGTTGCAGAGGGTTCAGTCCACAGTTGTTTAGTTCCAAGACAGAGCAACACGGCACCAGAACATCACAGAGGAGAAACAGCTTATGGTGAGGCAGGCAACAAGCAATAAGCAGTGGGCTTCCCTTTCCTTTCTTATTCCATCCAGGCTATAAGATTATTTATTGGTGCCACCCACAACCAGGGTGGGCCTTCCCACTGTTCACCCCCAGAAGCATGCTAAATCAATCAGTGGACTAATCCAGTTATCAGACACTCATGACCCAGCCACCTCCCCAAAGTCCCACCTATGTGAGCATGAGGCTTTGGGGGATATCCAGATACAAGCTGAAAAGTTCCACCTTACCTCCCAAAAGACTTACGTGGATTTCCTTATGCAAAATGTATTTAGTTCATCTCTAAGAGTTGCCAAAGTCCTAACAGTTTCAGCATTGCTGAAAAGTCCAATCCTAATCCTCCCGAGTTTAAGGCAAACTCATAGCTATGAGGCCCTGTTACAGATGAAAGTTAAATACTGCCAACATATAATAAAGCAAATTGCACATTCTCATTCAAAAGGTACAAACAAGGAAGGAAAGAAAAAAAAGAGCAAAGCAAGAGCAAAGTCCAGCAGGGAAAACATTGAATCTCATTGCTCCACGTCTACCATGCAGAACAATCTGTGGCAAGATGTGAACGTCAAAGGGCTTGAGTGGCTCTGCTCCTATGGCGCTGCTGATGGCTGGAGCCCTCTCCTTGGCTAGCTTTGCTCACTCCTTTGGTTTTCCTCTTAGGATGCATGCACATTTTTGGCTTCTTCAGCATCTGGGGTCTCCACTGAACCTTTGGCTTCACACAGCCTCACACATTGTCCTCTCAGGGGCACATTGCCTGGCTGCTAGGCCTTCTTCTGAAATCTGGATGGATGCCTTCCTGATCCCATCTCTCTTACATTCTGCATGCACCAAAAAAAACCAGCACCATGTGGATGATACCAAGTCTGCTGCCAACTTGAGTGGTAGCCAGGTTTCTCTTTTGGTTATAGGGGTTAAGTGTCTAGATTGCTGAGCACTATGAACCCAATTCTGAGGAACAAATTTCCTATGCCACTACCACCCTGGAGTATAGTGCACTGGAGCTCTCTTCTCAAAGCAAAGTCTTTTACCTTTGCTTTGGTGCAAAAGGTGGCATCCTCCTTGTTCTTTTGACCCTCAGGTCATCCTTTCTACTGCTTTCTTCCAAAATACTTGGCTTTTGGTTGCTAATACTTTCAGCAACCAAATTCTCCTCTGATCTGTCTTTGCAGGATGCAATTTTACTGGACCTTGCTTTTTTTTGCCAGATTTAAAATGTATTAAATCATTCTACTGTCCTCTTGGCTCTTTCTCACACAGATCTGGCTAAAAGTCCCCAACAGTAGCCATGCCACTGTCTCAACATTAGACTGCCTTGAAATCTTCTCCACCAGATTAATCAGTCTGCTGCACTTAATCTCTGTCTCTTGACAGTGTATCATGACAGGAGCAAAATGCACACAAATTTTCCACCAGAGCATAGCACATTTAATTGGGGGTTCAACTGCCAAGGGAGTCCTTTCTAACTGAAACCTCTTGAGCCTGCTCTTTTCTGGCTGCATCATCGTCAACATTCTGTTCTTCTAAGCTTTGACCAGAATCTCCCATCAAGCACAATTTATAGTTTTCCAGGGCTGCTTCTCCAGCTGCTTCTCCAAACCTTTCCAAACTCCTCCCACAAACTAGTTCCTAAGGCTCCTCAACTACATGGCCAGATGGTGGCTTAGCAGTGACTATACTCTTGGTATCAAAATCTATCTTAGTTACTTTCTTGTTGCTGGGACAAAATACCTGATGGTCACAAGTTAAAGGAGGAAAGATTTGTTTTTAGCTCATGGGTTGTAGACGTTTTCATCCATAGTCAGCTGGCTCCACGGCAGGGCAACATGGCAGAGGAGAAACAGTCCATGGCAGGGTAGACAGGAGCCATCAAAGCAGCCATGGTGAGCTTTCATTTCCTTTTGATTCCATTCAGGTTACAAGCCTATTGGTTGGTGCAACTGGGTCACATGCAGCAGGGACCTTCCCATGTCCATATGCAGAAGCATGCTAACCCAATCAGTGGTCTTAATCCAGTCAGGACACTCAATCCTGTATCACAACCCATGATACAGCCACCTCCCAAAAGCCCTACCATGAGTGCATAAGGCTTTGAGGGTACATCTGTTATAAACCGTAACAAGAGTCTTGCCTTTTATTCTAGCAAATGTTAGCAATAGTTTCTCTTAAATCTCCGTGCAAATTACATTTCTTTGCATTTCTTTGTGTACATGGCAGTGAGTAGCTGAGTTCCACCTGAAATCATCCACTACCTCCCTTGGAGCAATACCTGTCTAGGGGAAACTTCAGACCTTTGTTTATTGAGGGTAGTTTTCAAACCATAGCAAGGCCAAGGCATCTGAGACTCTGGATAACGTGATTTATCCAAGTTTAGACTGGAGACTAGGAGTCTGCCCTGGGTAACAGTAGTACAGAAAGCTATCAGAGAGACAGATGAAAAGATATTTTTCAGGCTATTGCTACATTCATTGTCTTTCCATAACGATGAGCTTTGTTCTTCTGCAACTTTGGGAACTGCAGGGGGCGCAGTTTGGAGAGGGAGTCTGTCTCAAGACTCAAGATTCAAACTTCGTCTAGCAAGCGATTGTCCACGGAGGTGTTGTAGCAATGCCACTCTACAAGTGGAGGGCTGGGGAGGTCACTGTGGGCAGCAGCTGTGAGATGCTCTGGGAGGGCCTGGGGATTTCCCAGGAGGAAGGAGGAAGGAAACCGGGAGCTATGGAGCTGCGGGGTCTGGAGTTGGAGGGAGCAGGGGTTGGGTGAGGGCACTGGCTTTATCCCACGGAAAAGATCTGTCATTGCTTCTGCAGAGAGGTCAGATTGCTTTTAGGGAGACACTAACCCGGGGTTCAGGACGACCTGATCTGACAGGGGCCCAGCTTGGCGGTGGTGCGGGAGCACCGAGAGAGCTAGGTGGGGAAAGGTCCCCGCTAGCTCTGTGTGGAGGGGGGCGCTGCGGAGGCGCCCGGGAAGACTGGTGCCCCGGGGGAGACCCGAGCGCTCAGGCTGCAGAGTCTGAAGACCCCCCGTGTGCGTGGAGCTGTTAACCCTTCCGCGCCTCCCTCGGGGCAGTCGCGTCCTCACGGGCTCCCCGCGGTCCCGAGCAGGTGGAAACGGCCCGAGGCAGGGGTCGCCCTTGCTGCGGTGGTGACGCCGGGGCGCCTCTGCCCGGGGGACGCCGCTCCCGCTCCCGCCGCGTGGACTGCGCCTCAGCACCGGGGGCGGAGGGGCTCCGCGTCCCCGTCCCCACGGGCGGCCTCCCCGCGCCCAGCCCGGGTCCCCGCGGGCGCGGAACCGAAAGCGGGCGGGGCGGGGAGGAAGCGGGGGCGGCGCCGCGGGGAGGCGGCGGGGGCGGGCGGTGCGCCGGGCCGAGCCGCCGGGCCGGGCGATGGCGCTGCGCCTGGTGACCCGCTTCGACCCCGCCGAGGACGCGCTCCCCGCGCTGCGGGCGGCCGGGGGCGGCGGCGCAGGTGCGGGGGTCGGGCCGGGGCGGGGGCCGGGCGCTCGGGGTGTCCTGCCGGCTGGGGCGCAGGGCCGGGGTCGCTCGTGCAACCCCGGGCGGGAGGGCGCAGGGGGCGCTCGGCCGGGGCGCGGGATGATGGGGTTCGGGGGCTCCGCGGTGGCCAGCGGCAGGCTGGCGCGTGGCGCCGCGCGAAGCAGCATTTAAACTCGGGAGCAGCTGCACAGCTCGTCTCTGATTGTGAGATGGAGGCCTTCCCAGCACCGGCCGCTTTGAAGAAAGGGAACTGTGATTTCTCTCCCTCCCACCCCCCATTTAATAAGTTGGCTGCAGAGTTGCGAGGTGCACTTCTGGATGTGCGAACGGAGACGGGGCGACTCGAGTCGCGCGGCTCCCAGGCGAGCTGCAGAGGGCGGCGAGACCCAGCCTGGAGACTGCCACAGAACCCTTGGTTTGATGCAGGCAGCGAAAAGTGACTGGCGTCTTCCAGGACAGTTATACTTAGAAGAGGAGATCTGTGGATTCCCAGTTGTTTTCTTTTTAAGCCACGTCAGTTTCAGAGCGATGGTGCCTGGGGTCCTACCTAGTCCCTAGGAGCTGTCCCCTCCAGTGCGTTTGCCTGTTTTTAAAAATTTTTGGTTTTCCTCAAATACAACAGGTTGAGCTCATTTTGGGGGCGGGTATCAGATTACTCTTTTCCTACAGGCTGGAAGTTTTCCCTCTCTGTGTTACATCTTACACTGCAGTGAAATTATTCATATGTTACTTGGTCTTGACAAGTTGAGGGCTGGTCCCCAAAAAAGAAATGTATGTTTGTGTAGCTTCCTGTTTTGAATTTGCTGTTGGTGTCATTATTAGTCAAGATTTTGGCTTGGGGGGTGGAGGGGACAGCGAATGTAAAATGTCCCTTGACTGTTTACAAAGCAACTGATGCTTTAGCTTTTTGATTTACAACAGGCGGCCCTAGGCCGGATTTCCACCACGAAGCAGATCTTTCCCCAGCCCAGGCCTTCTTTTGCTGAATGGCTCGGGGTACCTGGGAGTGAGGAGCTAGACAAAGTGTGAGATGCCAGCCCTGTGTTTCAGCGATGTGTGTTGTGATTGCCAAGCCATGTGCAGCCCAGCTGGATTTTGGCTTCCCATCTTTCATCAGTGAAGAATTATAAACTTGTGTATTGAGGTTCCATGGTGGGGGGGGGGAGGGGGCATCCCGAGTCCTCAGAAGGTTAAATTTAATAGAAATGCTAGCTTTCTGCCATTGGCAATATTCTGTTCTCTCAGAGCACCTTGGCAAGACTTTTAGATCAGTCACACTAATGACAGGGGGGCAGTAGTGCAAAACAAGACCACAGGTCAACCTCTCTTCCACTGTAACTTACTACAGTGATGGGAAACCTGCGATTCCATATTTCCAGCCCAGCTGTTAACAAACACATTTGTGCAGATTATTTTCCTTACTCAGTCCCCAGCTTTTCAAATATAAATTATGAAAATACAGTGGCATTGTTTTCTCTCTGCATATTTGTTTCAGAGATCTGAGGCTTTAATATCTTTTACACCGACATATGTAACAGAAGCTTTCTCAGTGGTGCTTGGTAATTCTCATGAAATAGGACAGATTCCTGGGGAAACAGCTGGTGAGCTGTGTTACCAGACTCATCCTTCTTCCCATAGGTGACACAGGAAGATTTCTGGGTTTGCCATCAGTTGGTGCTTTTCCTAACCTCCTGTGCCCAGTAAACCCATTGTAACTGGAAAATACTGTAATTTGCAAATGCATCTAAGTAATCCCAGCACTCTGGGAGGCGAGACAGGAGGATCAAGAGACCTCGTCTCCAAATTTAAAAAAAAGGGCTGAGGATATAGCTCAGGATGAAGATCCTGCATTCATTCCCCATTATCATAAGAAAAAAAATGTGTGTGCTCTTTCTAAACTGCTGGACATCCTGGCTCAGCAGCATGGAACTCTGTAGAATATGAGCTGTTTACTCTCATAGGATCCCCATGGCTTAATGCTGGTCCAGGAAAAGATGAAAATTCGAAGCATGCTTGCTACTGAGTGTCATGTAAAGTGAAAAAAAAATCATAAATTGAAACATTGCAAATTGGGAACCCTCTGTATACAATTCTGGAAAGAATGTAGGTTTTTCCCCTGTATCTTTTGATCAGTCTTGGGTGCATACACCAGATGGAGTCATTTTTCAGATCTTGTAATCATCCATCTTTGCCAGGTGACTGAGGGTGCACAGCCCCAGATGGCCGGGGGACAGGGATGCCGTGGTCATTCCCTTGCCACTGTCCGTTCTGTTTTTCTTTCCCCTACTTCCCTGGTTTTCTTTTCTAATCCTCATCTTTTATTGTTTCTCAACTAATCACCGCATTCTTGCTTATTCTCATTGTGTTCAAAATGTGCCATGTGTCACATCATGATATTTATTTCATAGATTTAGCAATGATAATGCCTGGCCGTGTTGGGCCTGAGGGCTTCCTTCTGTGAACTATTTACAGAATAGGAATGTTGTTATCATCACTTTAATCACTTTCTTGATTTGCACATTGGGAACTAATTCACATTTTCATATAAGGCTGCGTCTACCCCAAGTGCTCTCACTGGAAAGATAAATTCTTTATTTGTGCCTCAAAGCAGCTGGAATAAAACTTAAACATTTGCCCAACGTCTTCTTGCAAAATGAAGTCCCTTTTGTTAGCTGGGCTATAGGTTGACATGGACAAGTCTATCTGCATGCGCACACCTACGTACTTCTCTTTCTTATGCAAGGTTTTCTTATGCAAGTATCTTACCCATCATAATGCTACATTTTTTTCCTTCATGAGCCCTGAATACACACTGGAGAATTAAAGCATATTTCCTTATTTGAAATTGGTAAATTTCCTTCCCTGGACTTTCCAGAGATGACTACTGGGAGAAAAGTCACAATGAATAAGCAAAGAGGCTCTTGGGTGCTGCTTTGAACAGGGTGTGTTACCCTGAGAAACCACTCCAGAGAGGAAGGGCTGATGGGTGGATAGAGTGTCAGATATCGGTCTCTGAATTTCCAACATTGCTGTATTTGTGGATGTCCTTTAACTGTGAACCATGTACCTAACTGCAGGGTTAATGTATGCACAGAGGCGTTATTTTTATTTCTTTAAACCCTGCCTACCACGTGTACATCATGCACTGGTCCTAGGCATGTTAGCTACTGCAGGGTGCTTAACATGCACATAAGTATCTAGTGTATTTGTTCTCAGCCTGGCTGCATATTTGAATCACCTGAAGAACTTAAAGCACCTAAGAATGGGCCTCAGCCCAGCCCACTAAAACAAGAATATCTTGGGTGGGACTTGGATGCCAGTGTTTTTTAAAAGCTCCTTTGATCTTTCATCACAGCCAGAATTGCAGGCCAGGGTCTAATGGCATAAATTTGTATAGAAAAATGAATTTGTTGTCACCTGCATTTCTTGGAGAATTTTTTAGTGATTTGAAAATAAAAGTGTCATTTTTTTTTTTTTTTTTTTTGGCAAGGCAACTGGATGTTTTAGCAAGTCTTCCTATAAAAGAATTTCTTATTTTAGCTGAAACTCCCAAGTGTGCTTTTGGGAAAGTCTGTTCCAGCTGCCTTATAATCTTGAAAGAAACACTTTTCCCTATTGACACCACATTCTGGAAGTTTTAAGTCAAGTGTGGGATGAAAAGGAACTCATTGAAATGCTTTTTAGATGTTTAAAACACAGGATTTGGGGGTAATTACTCATTTTCCATTGTGAGCTCCGCCCAGTGCGCTCAGTGCTGTCCTGCCTTCCTCCTAGGCTGGGCTGAGTCTGCACCAGCGTCTCACTGTGCAATGTGCACCAGCTGTCCTCCCCTCCCCAAAGTCCCGCGGTTTCTCTGTTGGGGGGCCCACAGCCCCTTACTGCGGTGTGGATGAGATGCAAGTGAGAGCTCTGGGGTGTGAGAAGCATTCAGCAGTGAGATTGTTGACTCCTCTTCTGTTCTGAGGCCAAGTGATTGTTCTTATATTTTAAAATCAGGGTGAAGGGTGTCCAACAGCTCAGTAGGTACTGAGAAATCCATACCCTCATGGATCCAACCCATCCCCCTGTCCCTGTACCCCACCCTAAACATCTGGACAGCTGCTTCTCAGGAGGGGTGGAAAGAGCAGCCTCGGGCTGTGGTCCCCCACTTCTCCCTACAGCACCCCCCCAGGACAGGCGTCAGGCTCACTAATATACCTGCTTTTCATCAAGAATCCAAACTGAATTTTGTTCTGTGTCACAGGCTATTTTGGGTATGTTTTATTTGAATATTAGACTTACATTGTAATCAACAGCATGATATTTAACAAACACTTTGCCAATGGGGGAAAATGACTTGTTAAGTAATTATTTAATTTTGGGGTCATTTTTGAGGAAATTGTGAAAAGATCCTCTTTTTGTCCCCAAGTTAGTGAAAATCATCAACCCTAAACCCACCAATGTTTGAATCTTTTAACTGCAGAATTGAGACTAACCTAAAAATTTTAGATGAAAGATGATCATTAATTCTTAAATATTTGGTGTAAAGAATTGCTATTTCTTCTTCAAAATATGTTTTCTTAAGAGAAGGACTCCTGTCACAGGTGCATGGCTCAGTTAATTTTCGCAGAACAAAACTCCTGTGTCAGAAAATAGTCCGTTCCAGCACCCAGAAAAGCCTGGTGCCCCTTCCCCTTAGCCACTCATCTAGGTACTCGGGTTACAAGATTGAAGTGCGGCGTGTGCAGACTGAATCATCTGATTTATCACATGTGTTAGTGGTTGGGGGTATGGTCTGGGCTTCTGTTGCTCAATCATTTGTGCACGTGTTGTTATAGGTTAGCTCATTCTCATGGTTAGTGTAATGCAGTTAGGATATACTGCAGTTTACTCATCCTTTACTTGATACTGCAGTTTACTCATCCTTTACTTGATGGTGTTTTGGGCTGCTATGAATCACATTACTGTAGACATGTGTCTTGCTGCGCACCTGTGTGTGTTTCTGTTGTGATATAACAGAAATTACAGTAAATATAAGTGCACTATGTAGCCAATTAAAAGACTGAGGCTGTCGGACTAGGGAAGAAGCACAAATAGTCACTGTGTCAGACACATAGCTTAAGGGCTCAGGAAGACTAATAATAAAAGGACAGAAAGAGTGGTGTCATGCAAGCAATTTGAGAAAGAAAGCTGACAAAGCGGTGTTAATAGCGACAAAGAGGACTTAGAGGGAAAAGCACTACATAGAAAGTGCACTTTGTAAAAATAGATTAGAGGGGTTGATTGGCTCCTGGCTGCAAACTTGTGCGATCTTTTGGACCCAAATGTGTGCCTACCTGGAAGGTTCCTGGGAATGGGGTGGGGTGGTAGTGGGGGTGATGGGGGCCCTCCCTACGCCAGGCCTGAACACAGCTGTGCTGTGATCCCGCCCCAGCACCCAGAATCCTTGGCTGGCTCTGTGCCTGCCTAGTTAGCCATGTTCCTTGGCCAGTGCCCTGGCTGGGAGCCCGGTGGCAGAGACCACTCTCGACCACCTCTGCCAGGCCAGGGGCCGTGGGCACCTTTCCTTGGCCGGCTCAGAGGTGCTCTCCCACTCCCGCCTTTTGCCTGTGCTCCTGGGCCCCCTTCTGCGGAATTGGGGGAGGAGGATGCGCATAGGGAGCGGGGTCCCTGCGTCTGTGCCAGTGAGTCCTCGCGATCCTTTGCCCACTGGGGCCCTCTCCACCGGGCAGTAGGAGCTCGCGGCGGGCGCTGGGACTGTCCAGCCTCTTGCTTCCCGGTAGTGGTGAGGGGGTTTTCCCGCTTCCCCACTTGGACCTGGCTGCAGGGCTGCCGGCTTGGCGGGGTTCACGGGGTGGGGAGCTCCGACATTTCTGTTTGTGCGCCCCTAACGGTGCAGCCTCTGGACACAGAAGCAGCCAGGAGCAGTGCTGGGCCCTAGTGGCGGTGTGACTATCATACAGAAGAGCACTCAGAGAGAAGGCACAGCTGGGCAAGTTCCCAGAAACCGGGGGTCCGTGGACCTGACTGCGCCTCTGCGGGCTCCCGATTGCCTGGCGCCGGGGTGTCTGCCCCGAGGGTCCCCACCGTGCTGTCCACAGCGATCCTGGGTTAGGTTCTCTTGCTTTCAGATGCCAGGGAGCCACTAGGATGTGTGGTGCTCACCTTATCTCCCTGCTGTTGGATTTGTTAGGTGTATTAAATTAAATTAAATTAGTTAATTTGTTAGGTGTATTAAATTAAATTAAATTAGTTAATTAATTAGTCTTTTTGAGATAGGGTCTCACTGTGCAGTTCAGGCTGGCCTTGAGTTCACTTTGTAGCCCAGGCTGGTCTTGAACTCACAGTGATCCTCCTGCCTCAGCTTCCCAAGTGCTGGGATTACAGGCGTGAGCCACCACGCCTGGCTGTTATGTTTATTTTAAAACATCCTCCAAGTGTTAACTTGCTGTTTTCTTTTTTCAGATGTTTTGGAAGCAAAGTATGAGAGCTTACGTGTACAAAATGTGGAAAGAAATGGAAATATTATTTATACTTACAAGGTTTGTTTCCTCTCTCCTCTTGTGTGAAATGTATAAAGCATGAAATTTACTGTTTTAATCACTTGTACAGGATCCTGTACTACACTGCTAATCTTTCGCATTGTGTGCTGAGTGGTGCCGTTGTGTTCTGAGGGTGTGTGATCATGAATAGGACTGAAGTTGTCTCATGGAATGTTCTCCCTGTCTCTAGGTACCAGGGATTGAACACAGGGCTTTCTTTTTAAAATGAGATAAAATTGCATATCTGAAGTTTTGAAAGTTTTGAGTAAATGAACAATGTCATTTTCTAGAGGGAAAATGTCCAGATATTTAAACCTAATTCATGTGTTAGAGTTTTGCCTCTGAGAACGTGTTCAATATGATTCTCTCTTTAGAATCGATGCTTTCGGAGTTTGGAGAGGTTACTTAGCATATTCAACGTTAAGGGTTCTGAGAATAATTAGTTTTACTGGCAAGTGTACTGCGGGAGGGACAGCTGAAAGGCTATTTCCAGTGGCCACTTTGGTCTGCACAGTTACTTCTCACTGTGCTTTCCCCCCATTTTGGTTAAGAGAGGTTATTAAGTTGTAGCTAAGGATAGTGCGTGTAAAGAATTATATGATTCACAGAGTTTTATGGATAAGAATTTCAGGGGCTGATTCCATCCTCCGTCATGTGTATTTGTGTACGGATACGGATCAAGTAACAAAAAGACTGGTTCATTGACCGCGTCCTCTCCTGCCGGACAGGGTCCCCGGGCTCACAGTGCTGAGCCCTTTTGCTCCCAGGGCCCCATGCCAGCTGCGCCAGGTCCTGAGCCTTTGCACAGGCACAGCAAGCTTCCTGTCAAGCGCTGTGGCTGAGGCTGGTTGAGTGACTGCTGCAGGTTTGTTTTTAAAACTAGGGACGAACTAACATCCTGAACAATGACATGTGGATGTTTTCCTTTTTCTGTCTTTTTGTTTGCTTTTAGGATGAAAAGGGAAATGTGGTCTTTGGATTATATGATTGCCAAACCAGACAAAATGAGGTAAAAAAAATCACCATAAGCTATGGGCTATTCATTGTTGACTGCGTTTGAAGTTTTTTTTTTTATTCCTGTTTTCTACATATAAATCCTAGCTTCATTATTTATTTCTTCTCCTCCCTTCTTTTCCTCTATATCTTTACTATTTTTTGGCTCCATTATCTTTAAAAAAAACAATCAAATGCATTTGAACCAAAACATCAGCAAAAGTCTTAGCCCTTTGAGATTTAAGTAAAAGTGGCTTGCAGAAAATTTCTAATATTCTGTTTAAAAAGTAGGAAGTCAAATGACCACCCTGAAATCCGTGTGCTCCATGTAATTCGTAATAACTTCCAGCTCTCAGTTCTATCTTCTTTTCAAAAATCTATGGATTTTTGGAATAAAGAACTCAGTTATAAACCTAGGCCCCTTAATTTTCCCCCCAAACTACTCATATAACGCATAGGTTGATGTGGACAAAGTCTGTCTCACTTTGGGGAAAAATGGGAGAGGACTCATTTTATGCCTACATAAAAACAATTTAGGATTTAATATTAGACACCCTTGAATTTAAGTATGCTTCATCCGTCCCACTTTTCCCATGGGTCACCTCGCTCTTTGGGGTCCTAATGTGTGGCTTGGTGAACCCTCTTTCCCTTTCTCTCACACTCATCCTTTCACGCCTTCTCTCTCTCCCTTATTCACTGATCTAAGAGTGATTCCCTGTGAGGAGCTGGACACACAGTGGTGGCCAGGACAAATCCTGACCAGATACACAGTCTTGGCAAAGAGAACACAGAGACCTCAAGCTTTAGTGCAATCTTTCGCTTAATTCCTGGGTCCTGGGAAGACGCTGAGAGAGACCTGGCCGCTGTCAGCCAGGTCGTGGTGGGCACTGCTGTCTCTCGTGGATGCGTCCAGCTCTCCCGAGACCGTACTGTCCAGCAGGAAGGAGTGTTTGTGTGCTGGTGTGTTCCACGCTTGCTGCTCTAGCTGCTGCCTCGTGAGAGGACGTGTTTTCAGTGACTGATAGAGATAGGTTTGCTACACAGCAGCTGCTTTTGATTTCCCAGTGACAAAGCTGACTTTCAAGATATGGACATTATCCCCCAAGAGTAAGGGGTTAGAGGATAAACTAAGGAGAAACTGATATAGCTTTTTAAAATACTTAACCTTACTCCTCTACTGTGGTCATTACCGTAGGCATTGCCAGTTGCTCTAACAGAATACCTGAGACTTAGCGGATTACAAAGGACAAAGTTATAAAGGATGACTGCTGTTGAAACAGACCTGCTTTTGCAGTAACTGAGGCGTCACAGTCTCTACAGCGCTAACAGAGGGCAGAGGCCAAAATGTCTTCTTGATTCTGTTGACTTTTGCCAAATTCGGAACATTTCAGTCATCAATTGTTATATCTCCATAACTTTTTCACGGCTCATGATTGCTGAATGTTAATTCTTTTGTCATCTTTTCATATACCTCTGTCATTTTGTCCCTTCCTTCTTCCCCCAGTTAATTTTCTTTCTCTTGTTCAGATTAAAATATTTTCATTATTTTATTTTCAAATTCACTGATTCTTTACCTACCATCTTGTTGCATTAATCCATTCAGGTTTTTAAAAATTTTGATTATTATAATTTTTAGTTAAAAGTTTCCTGTTTTCCATTTATTCTATTTCCTTGCTGAGACTTCTCTTTTTTCCTTTTGTCCCAGGCTATTGGTAGTTACTCACTGAAGTGTTTTTAAGACAGCTACCTCAAAGGCTTTATCAGAGCCGTCCGACATCTGTCATCTGAATGTTCCTGCCTGTCACTATGTCCTGGTTTCTGTGAGACGCGTGGTTTTCTGTCATGTCACAGATGCTTGGTGTTCTCTGTGTGCACGCTGGATCTCACTGAAGCCTCTCCTGCTGGGACGCGCTGGCTCAGAAGTGGGGAGCACAGCTTTGCTTCTGTCAGGGGGCGTGAAGGATGGCCTCCTTTGCCTGTTGAGGGGAGAGCCTTGCTTCTCCTAGGCAGGGCTCCAGGCAGCCCCTGGCCTCTCCCTAGCAGGCGGAGGCCTCACTCTTACTGCGTGGCAATGGGAGTTTTGGCTTCCATTCAGCCACTTTGGCCCCCGCCTGGCCAGGAAGGGGCACCCCCTGAGAGCCATGTTGGGTGGAGTCCAGTATTCCCGCAGAGCTTCTCTGAGCCTTTGGGTGGGGACCACAGTCCTGGTTTCCTTCCTGATCTTTTCTGATAACCTCGGACAGGTGGGAGAAGGGTGTTTTGTCACAGCTATGTGAGCTGGGGGTCGAGGTTCCCGCTCAGTCTCTCTGGAGGAGGTAAGAACAGGGTTGCCTTTGCCCCATGGTGTTTGGCTGGAATAGGCAGGTGGAGTCTAAAAGTTCTGTCTAGCTAGATCTCCCCTTCCCCGTTTCCTTGGCTGGAGTGTGGGTGTGTTTGTTTCTGTGTGCTCCTACCAGCATTTCTGTTGTGTTCCCTTCTTTAGCTTCAAATCTAGGACATACGATGCAAAACCGGTGTCTCACTCCTCTGGCCTTCCATCAATAACGTGTCTGCCTGTTTTCCCATTCAGTGCCTGGAACTGAACCCATGGCCTTTTGCGTGCTTACGTTTTTCTGCTTTTTAAAGTCTTCTTAGGTTTGCTTTATGTAATATCCAGGGATTTTAGCTGTACTTAGTGGGAAGAGTGGGGGGAGGTGGGTCCCCCCATCTTAGTCTCACTCTTTGAAGTTTTAACTGAATCATGCATTCTTTCTCCTAGCAAGTAGGAAGGGACACATCACTTATGCACGAGTAGGAATAACACCAACCTTTCTTCCTCACCCTGTCTCATCTCCTCCATTCCGTCTCATGGGGTCCCACCCTGGGGGTCCCCGCAGGAGTGAAATGTGATATAAGCTGGTGGAATACAAGTACAGAATGAGCTTGGGTGGGAACCAAAGGCAGGGAACCTTTCCTCGGATTTGGTGACATGTGAGCCGCTCTGTAATTCCCTTTGCGTAAGCTCATTTGGGGAAGGTTTCCTGAGGCTCTCAACTGAAGAATTCAATATTTGTACAATTTGACCCAGAAATCCCCTTTGGTGTTTGATTCTACAGCAATACCTGTACAGGTTCACAAAGATGAAGTTCAAAAAGGGAGTTCATTGTACTGTTGTAACACTTACCAGTGGGAGGTAAACGAAATACTCATCAGTTTTAGGGTCTGTTTTTTACACTTACAAGACTCCAACTGTGTGGAGACACAGATTTGATGCTAAAGAAGAGAACGAGCCTTACAATCCCGGGAGAGTGGCTCGGTGTTCTTGGTTGGGAACAGAAGGTTTGATACCTGGTCCACGGTCACACTGACAGCTAGTGGCAGAGTCAGGACTTGAACATGGATCTATTTTGGCTCCAAGGTCTGCGCTCTTAGCCTCTATGTTAGGTGTCCTGTGACAGTTTCAGTGCTAAGTAGGGCCTATTTTTCTTAGAGATAAAAGTCCCAGTGTCTCAGCATGGATGAGCTGATTTGTCAAGGGTTCTTCAGTAAAACGTTTTGCTATAATACTTGGTACAGGGTTAATTTACATACAATTGTCATTTGAGATAAAACTCCAAATTAAACATTTTTGTTTTAATAGCGTCTGTATACCTTTGAGAAAGACTTGCAAGTTGTCAGTTGCTCAGTCAACAATGAGAGGACTTTGCTTGGTAAGCTAGATTCTTTTACTTATTTATTTTTTTTGTCTTTTTCCTTTTTATCGGTACCGGGGATCGAACTCATGACTGCCTGCTTGCAAGGCAGGTGTTTATGCTGCTGAGCTAAATCCCTAGCCCCAGCTGGATTCTTTTATTGCTATATGTTTTTTAAAGAGTTTTCAAGGGGTCCAAAGGCCTGGATTTTACTATATTTTATATCCTATAACAATGACTAAAAATATTCTTGAGAAATTTGGTTTGAAATTTAGAATCTGCAGGATATGACTGCAGAAATGAATCCTTTCTGTACCTGAATTCTCCTCTGACAGATCCTTTGAACTCTCATTTGATTCAATTCTAAAATACTAAATTTTAACAAGGTACTGTGTGGGTCAGTTGCTAACGGATGTTTTTCCCTCACCAGCTGCAAGTTTCATTCAATCCACTGAAGAAGGAAGAAGGAATGAGCTTCAACCAGGTAATGAAATTTTACTTTTCCGTGCATATGGGTAGATGAAAATTTATTGGATTCAAATTGCAAGCATCTTTAGAATGGAAAGGCTGTGATCACTTAAGTATGAAAAAGAGTTAAAAAATATTTTGCTTTTAAGCACATAAGAAGGAACAGAAGTTAATGCAATAGTAAACAGAAGATGTTTTTGGGTGATAAATTCTTAGCATGTGAAAACTAAATAAATGGTAAGAACACCCTAGAGTCCCATGGCTAAGAGCTGGTGTAAAAGGTTGAACAAGTCTTGAATACCATTTTTAACATGATCTGGTTACATAAAAGACAGAAGATTTATATAACCTATAGAGAAAGCAAGTGATGATCTGGTTAAGTGTTAAATCGCACCCCAGACAAAGTCCCCCTACTCACTGGCCAACCCCACTGGATCACTTAATAGCCTTGTGACACTCCTAACATTTTAAATTTTTTTCTTTAACATTCTATGTCACCCACCCATCCATAGCACAGCAGTGTTGGCTACCTGCTGTGGCCAGGGCACATTGCGTAGTTCTGGGGATGCCATGTATTTAGGAGGGACAGTGACCACCTCCAGGAGCTTGGCCTCCAGTTCTGGGCTTCAACAGCCTGGAGGGCCATGTACACAAGTGGAGTAGATGAGCGTAGGAATACTGAAGTGCCTTTGCTGTTTTTATTTTCATATAGAAGCCAAGCAAATTTATTCTCTATGGTTCCTCCCGTCTGGCCACTACTCACAGGCTGTGTGTCATGGAGCAATAAATCCAGTGGGGCCAGCTTTATCCAGAGAAGTCTGATCTGTTAGGTGAAAGTCTTAATTATAAGTGTTGGTGTGGATGTTTTCAAAATCCTGCCATGCAACAGCCTTCACCTGTGGCCTGCCGCTGCCTGTGGGCCACCATTTCTCAGGCTCTGGTGCATGGGATCTCACCTCCGTTCCTTACCACTCTGATCCTGGATTCTTTCCAGCCAGTCTGTTTATTTAACATTTAAATCTCCTCCCTTGTAAGCACAGTTCCCACTCAGATGTGTCCTCCTGTGGTTGCATGTGATGGAAAATCCCTGTACACACTTTCCATGTGAGGCTAATGGGGCAGCCCGGTGCTTCCTGCGACACACCTGTCTCTGTGGAACCAGTCTAGAGAATCAAGCAACCAGGCTGAGCCTGGTGGGACCTTCTTGGGGTCTCTGCAAAATAGATAGGAGATGATAGGAGGCTCCGCCTGAGACCTGGTTATTTATATTACTCACCTGTACTGGTCACTTTCCTGTCACTGGGCTCTGAAACTTACAAGTGGAAAGGTTTATTTTGGCTCACAGATTCAGAGGTTTTAGTCCACGATTAGCCAACACCAAAGCAGAAATGGCCGATGGGTCAGCTGCTCGCACATGGCAGCCAGAAGCAGAGAGAGAAGGGAAGAGCTGAGGGCAAGAATGTCTCCCAGGTCACAGCCCAGCGACCACCTCTAGCCAAGCCCATCCCAGCAGCACATGCAGCCTTGAACTCATCAGTGAATTAATCTACCGATGAGTATAGTGCCACCATGATCCAGTTACCCTCCAAAAGCCCCGCGTCTGAACCAGGAGACTCGGGGGACATGTTAGTTCGAAGCCTTCTACCTGCCCTTGTTCCCTGGGAGCCGCCGTAGTTCTGTCACCTCCTCCTTCCCTGGTTGCCATAACTCTCAGCCACTCTTGGGATTAGGTGGAGCTGGGCTGGCTGAAGCAAAATCTATTGGACTTCAAAAATGAGACAGAAGAAAATCCCCTGTATTTCCTGTATTGCATGCTGACGTCCTCCTGATAGATGCTCAGACTGCTGGTCCCAGGTCCGCAAAGCCAATCAAACAATAGAAGCATTCAGTTGTTTTTGTACTTCAGCTGCTATCAACTCAGCCCATCCTCCGAACCAGCTGGTTGCTTATGGGGGCTGGGGGTGGGGTTCTTGATTCTCAGCCCGCAGGCCTGTGAGCTCACGTGAGAGTGACTGTATGTATTATAAAATGCGCTTTAGATCAACTTTAACGTTTTCTTTGACACAGGCAATCCCATTGCTCAGTCTTGGGAATTTGTGCCTACCCCTGAGAGAGATCTGCTTCCATCTTTGTGGCGTTAGGATGCCCGTTGTTACTGTATTGGGCATCTCGTAGCTAACGTCTCTGCCTCCTAGCTCACCCTGTATGCCAGCTCTGCCCAGGGTAAGCTGACAGTGCCTCACCTCCGCTGGCCTACCCGCCTTTGCTCTCTGCCCAAGGCCCTTGAGGTGGTGGGTTTATTACCCATACACATATTGCCTAGAAGTGTGTGCACCCACGATCGGTGGGGATCAAGGAGCAGAAAGGTAATCGTCCCGTCCTCCATCCCACGGGGTGAATCTGAGGTGCTTTTCAAGCAGCTTAAGGTCTGAGGTCAACACTGATTTGATAGCCCTTTCCAGCAAGTTCTTCTGCAGTTCGCTCTCCCCAGGACCTCATCATGGATAGAGCGATCCTGTCCCCGAGGTGGCTTCTTAGTCTGTGTATTCCTGGGAGTAGATTCAGGGCAAGGACTTGAGTGACTCATGTTTACTGGGGAGATGATCTAGGTGACACTGTCAGGGACTTTTAAACAGATCTAAAACCAAGGAGGGGGAAGCACCTGTCCTGGGAGCCAGCAGCCAGCACGAAGACCCCGAAGCCAGGCTGTGTTTGACCGATGCACTATTCAGGGGAAGCAGGCTGGCACTCTGGGAGTGAGGCAAAGGGTCACAGGGTCAAGCCCAGCCTGGGGAGTGTAGTGACTGCTGAGACCTTGTCTCAAAGTTAAACAAAAAAAGATTAAAGGGCCAGAGATGTAGCTTAGCATGAAGGCCCCGGGCTCAACTCCAAGTACCTCAAGGGAGAAATCTAGCAGGGCAACAAATCTGGGGTAGAGGATGAATCAAGAGGAGGAGGAGAAAAACTGAGGAAAATGGGGGTGAGGGACAGGCTGACCCTGTGGACCCCAGCAGCCAAGGTAAAGAGGGGGCCTTGGCCCTTTGGAAAGTGAGAAGCCGTGTGGACTCTGAGCGGGAGTGACCTGGCTTACTTTATCCCGGGAGCTCGGTAGCTGCTGTGTGGAGGATGGAGGAGGACGGGAGACCACAGGGAGGACTGGGAGCCCGGGGAGGACGGGGAGCCCGAGGAGGATGGAGAGCGCAGGGAGCCAGGTCAGAAAGCTGCTTACACAGTCCGGTGTTGTGGGCTGGGGCAGAAGTAGGGAGCAGAGGTCCTGTTCAGAAGTAGGGACAGATGCCTCAGGACGGGCTTCTGGATTTGACCAGCACATGGGAAAGAGAAACAGGTCAAGAGTGACTCTCTCCAGACTGTGTGTGCGTGTGCGTGTGCGTGTGCGTGCGTGCGTGTGTGTGTGTGTGTGTGTGTGTGTGTGAAGGGCCTGGTTTGTTTGTGCTCTGTGCGAGGCCCCAACAGACACAGGTGAGACTGAAGTCAGAGGCAGAGGCTCCGTGAGAATGGCTGCTCGGAGAGGGTGTGTCTGGCATCACTGGTGTTCACGCATCACTGGTGTTCACACCGGTTTGGTGTGGTTCAGTTCAGATCTCAGAAATGGTGGTGCCAGGGCAGCAGGATCTATCATAATGTTTTGTCCTTTGAGTGCATATTTTGGAAAGTTTATTTTGCCTGCCCGTGAATGACCTTAGCAGTCATTTGATTAAAAAGTGTGGGTTGCCCACGGGGTTGCTGACACTCTCACTCGCCGTGAGACTTTTCCATTGCAGAAGAGACAAATAGTGACATCCTTCACACAAAACAGAGATCTCTGAGCCTTGTACTTCACAAAGCGGCTTTTTTTTCTAGTGCTGGGGATGGAACCCAAGGCCTTTGCACTGACTACACCTCCAGCCTGTTTTTATTTTTTGTTTTGAGACAGGCTCTTGCTAAGCCCTTCAGTTACCCAGGCTTGCTTGAACTTGGTATTCCTCTCAGAGTGCTGAGACCTCAGGTATGCACCACCACCCAGTTTTTAAAAAAAAAAAAAACAAAAAACAAAAAACAAAACAGCTTCTCTGGAGATATAGGCACCAGCCTGGCAAGTGCAAGGTCCTGAGTTCGATTTCTGTTACAAAAAAAAAAAAAATCAGCAGAGCTTCTCCCCGTGGCTGTGCCCATAGCTGAGTTAATCTTTGATTTAGAAAATGGCCTTGCACAGGGAGTCACACCCAGCTGGCCCCTCTGCCCTCCCTGTGGAGCTGTGTCTGTCACGGGCACAGTAGATCCTGCTGGGTAACAGTGGGGGTGCCTGCATAGGTTGAGACCCCAGTGTCCCTGGGACCCTCAGAGCCCCACACCGTTAGGGACAGTCCAGCGTCCGAGGTGCTCCCTGAGCTCCTGTGGTCAGCGTTCCTCCTGGCCCGCTGTTCCTCCCTGGTCACCATTTCCTGAAATGTCCCCTCACCTGCTTGGGACAGGTCCCCTCCCTGTCCCCCTTCCTGCCTGGTCCATCTTGCCCTTCAGTGTGTCCTCCCAGGCCCCGCCTGTTGTATATATATATATATATTTTTTTTTTCCTCCTCAGCCTATGTTCCTTTTATCTTTTATTGTACACATTGTAGTCTGTAACGATACATTGCTCGTGGGGAGCTGACGCCTTCCCCCCTCCCCGCCTCTCCCTCCCCTCCCCACCTCTTGTTTCCCCTTCCCATCTGCAAATGCTCTGTCTCCCTGTTTCCTGTTGTCTGTCTTATTTTGGGCTTTCCTGACAGCTGGGCTTCTCGTGTCAGGGAAACCATTTGCTGATGACGCTTGTGTCTGATTTTTTTCACTTAATATTGTGGTCTCCAGGTGCCTCATTTCCCTGCAGGTGCCTCGGGCTTGTCCTCCTCTGTGGCGGAGAGTGCTCCACCTCTTGTAAAACCACATTTTCTTATCCATTCGTCTGCTGATGGCCGCCTGGCTGTAGGACTTGCGCTGCCTACCGCGGGGACGGCATGTGTGGGTCCGGAAGAGACTTTAGGAGGGACATGGCGCTACTTTGCCAGAAAGAAAGATAAACTTGTTTTTCCTTCCCAATTGCAAAAGATGGACTTTCAGGAGAAGAAATAAAATAATCACATGTCAGCTTATAAATGTATTAATTTAGTGACCCAATTTTGAAGTGACGTGTCAGGAGGAAAATTACTTTCTGCCTCATTCATCTTTCACAGAGCGTTTCTAGTCCATCTTTCTTCATGAGTCTCTTTGATGTCGATGGCTTTCTTATTTCTGGGGCCAGTTTTCGGGTCACCCAGTGAATTCCTAGTTTCACATTTCTCCCACTTACCAGGAACACAGCTCTTCCTAATGGGTATAAAATCCTCTCACCAGGTTCTTATCCTAAGCTACAGGTGCTCATTTATCAAACATTTGCTTTTTGTTCCATAGTGGTGTGCTTGTGATTCCATATAATTATAACTTACTTGCTGTCTTGTTCTTTCTCTCCCCTCCCCTCCCCTCCCCTCCCCTCCCCTCGCCCTTCCTTGGCATACTGAGGATAGAGTCCAGGGCTTCACACTGAGCCACTTCCCTGGCTAAATTGCCCAGGCTGGGCCCAGACTCCCTACCCTCCTGCTTCAGCCTCCCAGGTTGCTGGAATTGAGTGTGCACCTCCATACCAGGCCAAGGTTACTTCCTTTCTTTTTTTGAGGGAAGTTACTGGGGATCAAACTCATGACCTCATACTTGCCAGGCAGGTGCTTGTGCCACTGAGCTAAATCCCCAGCCCCCTGAGGTTACTTTCTTAAGTATCAAAAATGGTGTTGCTGTGGGCTGCTTACCATCTCCAGATTGTATTCTGCAAGTCCTCGAGAGGACATCCGATTATATCGAGTCTTAAGAATTCACGGTCAGGGCAGCGCCTTTTTTTCTAGGGTTGATCCTGGGCAGGGAGCTTGGACCTAAATGTGGGTGTCGGTGGTCACCCACTGAAGCCAGGCACTTCCTTCTCACTGCTATCTTTTGTGCCATTTGCTCAGGCGTGACATGGAGGCCCTCAGTGGTCACCATCGGTGCCACCTGCTCACTGTTCCTGTGGGAAACCCAGCTGCCACCCTGCTGATAGCTGCTCGTCTGCTTGTGCGCCAGGAATATCTGCACATTTTTATATATAAGCGATGTTCGCTGCTGTGCTGCAGGGTTGGAGGCACACTGAGTAGAGCGCTGATTATTTAGACATAAAGGCCTGGAGGGCTTGTGAGTTGTGGTGAAAATGGTCAGCGAATGGCCAGGACTCTCCCTCACTCCACACACCTGGGCTGTGTCTTGTGACGTCTGTCTGTCTCTTTTTTTCGTGGTGCTGGGGATTGAATCCAGGACCTCATACATGCTAGGCAAGCACCCTACATGGAGCTACACCCCTGCCCCTACTGTGGGTTTAAAGTAAACTTGAGAATAATTAGTCTTCCTTAAGGAATAGCTGATGTAGTAGAGAGCATACTTATACTTTCAAAATTCGGACGTGTCCCTTTCATACCATGTACAGCGATACATGTGCACCCATGTTTATAGCAGCACAGTTTATAATAGCTAAATCTTGGAAACAGCCCAAATGCCCACCAACTGAGGAATGAATAAAAAGGTATGGTATTTTTATATAATGGAGTACTACGCAGCCACAAAGAACAATAAACTTGAGGCTTTTATAGATAAATGGATGCAACAAGAAGCCATACTCATCAGTCGTGAGTTCAATTTTCCCGTACCAAAAAAAAGAAACCATATTCACAAGTGAAACAAATCGACTCGTGTGTATAAACACGGTATTGTCTCGCTAGTGTAGGACACTGTAAGAGTAATTAAGATCCAAAAGTTACAATAGATATAGCAAAAGGGAAAGAAACTGCTCAAAGGGAAATTATATTGTTTGAGCAGTCTTGCATGCCTGCATCTGGTAGCCTGAGCAATTACTCTGAAGATAACAATATGCAAGATAACAACCACGATTAAATTCCTGTCATCTTGTTTTGAAAGCCTGTATCACTGGTTTTTTTTGTCATCATTTTGCTTTTGTTGCTTTTTGTTTGCTTTTTGATTTTCCTGTTTTTTTTTCTCTTCAAAATTAAAAAAAATTCAGACACGACTATTTGTGAATCTCAGAATCGTGATAACTAGGGGAGAAATGAGACGTGCTACAATCCAATTTGTCACATCCTTGTGCCTTGCTGGCTGGCAAGAGTGCAAAGACTGGTCATCTTTGAGTTTCTTTGGTGCCTGCGGTTATTTCCAGGCCTGGCCAAAGACTTTCCTCTGGACATTTGTGTCCTTTGAGCATCCTGTGTATCTCACAGTAAAACAGCATCATTAGGATACCTGAGGGAAGCAGGTCGTTTGCTAAGCTGGCTCTTTAGTGTCTTCAGAAAAAGCGGCACACGTCCCTGAAGAATGGAACTGGGGATAGAATTACAGTTTATTTCATCTCCAGGGGCTTTATGATGACGAGAGGATTGTTTTGCTAGTTTATAGTCAGTGTAATGGGATTCACCAGAAGTTTCCCTATACACTTGGAAAAGATAATGCATGCTACACAAATATTATAAAAATAAAATTCTAAATACTAAAAACCTCCTTTTTCCTGTAGGTTCCAAATGCTTAACTTTGCTGGTGGAAATCTCCCCTGTTAACTATGTGAAGGTCCTAAAGGCCGTGGATAGCTGTGTTTGGGTACAGGTAAGTACCCTTGCTGGTTAACACTTACCACATTGCTAAAGGGTAGGAACCCCTGGGAAATGATATTTGCAGAGTGCTTTCACCCCCACAAGCATGTCGCAGTCAGAGTAGCCTTGGGAGGTGAAGGCCAGAGCATGGCTCTTCCTTGGTCAATGCAAACCAGGGTCTGAGACCAGCCAGTGCCTTGACTCTGCGGCTCTGAGGCTTGTCTGATAGCAAAGTGCTGTTCTTCATTTGATGAAATATCAAATATAAAAACACATGCATAATAAGTTTTAAAACAGTTCATTTAATGTCTGCATGCGGCTGATGGGCTGGCTAGGATGAAATGACCTCATCCCTGCCTCGAGCACCTACGGGAGCTGATACAGGAGCGCTTGTGCACGGTGGCAGTTGGTCTCCGTCATGTGCAGACTCTGTGTTTGTGCATCTTGCTCGCTTCAACAGTTTTTGTAGCTGGCAGCTAATGTGGCTCCTCCCCAGCCATCCGCAGACTGTGCTGAGAGGCGAGAAAGTTACAGTCACCCACGCTGGCGATGACAACATGCAGGTCCCAGCTGAGACTGTGCCCAGGGCTCCCACTCCATAAACAGTGTGGGCTGCATGACCTGGGGCCACACTGTTGAGTTGTTGTACTTTCTGTTGATGTCATTGTTTGCAGTGGCCTCTGGTGTCAGCAGGAAGCACTGTCTGGCTCCTAAGGGCAAGAGGGCGCAGATGCAGCTTAGGAGAGAATGTGTGTGCCCGCAGCCAGGCGTCCTTTGGGCATCAGTTACAGGGCTCTCGCCAGGAGCTCTGTGTTCAGCAACAACAGTGCACATGACACGAGGTCTGGAGCACAGCTCCCGTGGATGCCGGGCGTCCACTCCAGGGGGACAGCCCATGGCTGTTTGCCTGCATCTGGTTTCACTTTCTGCTCTAGGGCCAAGCGTGTTTTAGTCCCAGCTGGTGTCGCCTGCAGTTTCTGCCTCTGCCCGGCTCCCATTCCCCAGGGCAGCCCAGGGGCTCCCTCTTCTCCCCTCCCAGGTGTCCCCCAGGGGTGCAGCTTCCCCTCCGCTCCTGTCCTTCCCTCCCCGGGAAGCTGGGAAGCCACTCTGTGCCCTGTCATCAGGGCGGGGTGACCTGGGCCAGCGTGCTTCTCCTCTCTGCTTGCTTGAGGCTTGTTTGGCAGCCTCACCCAGGGCAAAGGATGGAGGTGTGGAAAGAAGGGGGAGAACCGAGGAAAGAGAAGTATGTGGGTCTGCAGCATTGGGAACAGATTAAAAGCAACTAAAAATTAAAGTGGTGAAAATGATGAATTTTGGTAAACTTTGAACTTTGTCTCCATTAAACAACTAAAGGTATATGATGCAGACAGCAGAAAAACCTGTGCTCCGAGTGAAATCTGTATGTGTTCTGGGGGGCCATCTCAGTTCCTGGTCTCAGTGCAGAACCAGGGAGAGAAGGGGAGGGGGGAGGGAAGAGAGAGAGGGAGGTGGGGGGGTAGGGAGGGAGAGAGAAGGCAGATGGAGGAGGGGGAAGGAAGAGGGGGAGGAAGGGAGTGGAGAGGGAGAAGGAGGGATTGAGCACAGGAGAGGGGAGAGAGGGAAGCGAGGGTCCTCGGAGCTCCACCCACAGCCCAGATCTTCACTTAGCCCCTCTCTGCCTCACCCCACCCCGACAGGCGCCATCCCACAGCCCACAGACTTCCCCCCCTTTTTCTTGAGGGGTTTCTGGGAGTGCAGATCCCTGTCACCGCCTTCCCACAGGATGCTGCTGGGTGGGCCTAGACCCGATGTGGCGCCCCTGAGGGTCCCCCAGTGCCAGCGCCAGGAGCCCCAGTGGGGAGACTCGTGCCTTTCTACCCCCGAGTCTGTCTCCACATTTGCGAAGATGCGAAGATGCGTGTTTTCCTAATACGCACAGCACCAGTCCAGCTTCCTGTTACAAAGCAGAGAGCTACCTGAGTGCTTCTGCCAGTGCTGGGTTTGAATCCTCTTTTGTTTTGACCTTCAGGCCTTGCTCTAGGGATGCCCCAGGCACCACCTAAAGGATTTAAAAACTCACATTTTTTACCCGGTGAGCCAGGAGGGTCCCCCAGAGGCTTGGAGGTTGGCATTTATGGCTCTTCTGAGAACCATGGTCCCCAGCAGCCACGCCAGCCACCTCTGTGGTCCCGGAAGCTCGTGCCGCTGCTGTAGGAGATCTCCTTGTCCACATCTCGGCCTCCCCATCATCCTGGCTCACAGGGTGCCGCCCCATTTGTGGACAGCCTCATCGGTCACCAGAATTAGCTCTGTGTTGTGTTTGTAGCCAAATTCTGTATTGCTGTCTCGTTTACGAGGTTGAGGCTATTGCTGTGAGAATGGTATACAGTTCGTGTTTTGTTTTTCACTTCTGAAGGGTTGATTTGGCTGTGAACACTGAAAGAAACCAATTCTAGTTCCGATTTACTGTTACGAAAAGTTCGAGCACCAAGTAATATATTTTATCCACAATTTTCCTAGGTTTTGGTGAAACTCAGGGCTACAAAACTAGGAAATAAAAGGTCCTTGGGTAATGCTTTAAGGTTTTTTTTTTTGCAGGGAACACAATCCTCTGATGGGTCTTAGGAATGTGTCTTTCTTGCCGTAAAACAGAAATGGGTTACAGCCCCCCTTGCGGTGGTGAAGAAATGAGACCCCTGCAGTCCTCCCATGACCGAGTTGCCTTCATGGGCTCAGCGGACTGGCCCAGGCCTTGTGGTGCCTGCTTTGCATGGCTGCGCCCCATGGTGGGGGGCATAAGAGAGAGATGGGGGCCTCCCGCCCCGTGGAAGTCGTTCTGTCTCAGAGGCTTTTAACATCCATATGCCACACCATGACTCACTGTCCTTTCCTGGAAAGTCCCTGGTCATGTTCTGCTTTGTTTCTTGGGTGTGAGACTTCAGCACTTGAGTGGGGAATATGTGTGCTTGACTCTCAGATTACACGTGTGCGGTCTAGTTGCACACTGGATGTATGAACTCCTCTGTGCGTGTGTGGGATAGAACAGAGCATATCAGCCTTGTCTGCATTGCTGCTGGCTGTCTTTGGAATCCACCGTTCTGAGCAGGAAGCATTATGCCTAGAAATACCTTCTACCTATGTCTTTCTATTTACCTGAATGGTGACAGAGTTGTACCAGAGGTCAGCTTCCTGCTGGGAAACTAAGGTCCTCAAAGAGTTCCTCTTCTGTCTGCTTGGGTCTGTGATTCCCCTAAACTATCCTGTGGGTCCCAGGCCCCTTGTAAATGGTATGCAGAAGTGGGACAGTCATCAAACACAGCCTTTTCTCTTGTGGTACTGGGAATTGAACCCAGGACTGGGTGTGCTAAGCAAGTGCTCAGATCACCGAGCTGCCTCTTCAGTTCTCTGAATGTTACTTTTGAAGTATGTGTCCAAGCAAAACAGTTGCTTAAGATTTTGATGAATTCTCCTTTTTACAGTTCCTGTACCCACATGTTGCAAGTCATCCTCTGCCATCAAGCCACCTGTTACTGGTTTCAGAAGAGAGATGTGAGTGTATTTTGGGTGGTGCATGGGGCACACAAATGGTGCATAGTCTTCTACTGAAGTGTGGGGCGAGAGGGAATGTTCCAGATGTCTTTGCTGTTACCGGGGATCCCATGGCCCTTGTCCATTTGAGCCACAGAGTTCCTGCGACAGAGCTTTTCCCTTGTGGCCAAGCATTGTTCCCTAAGCTTCATCTTGGGAATGATGAATTGCCAACTTTGTCAATGGTTGACTGCTGATGGAAGAGTAGTGTGGGTCATCCTTGCCACTTTCAATCCATTGTTCTTCAGGATGTCCATCACGATGGATAGCGTGATACAAAGAAGGAGACTTAGACGGAGAAAAGGGAGGCTTTGGTAGCAGGAATCTCAGGGCAGACCTGAGGACACATAGTAACTTGGCCAAATTCAAGTAGAAGAAAAAAAAATTCTGGCACAAGGTTAGGTTGTCACATGATGTTTTTAAATTTGGGAAGGGTAGGGGAAGACAGTTTCCTGGTAGACCTTGCCTAGGAAGCTTCCAGGTTATGAAATATAACTTCTGACTGAGAGTTTAAGGACAGGCTTGAACTGAAGAGCTGGGGCTGCGTTCAATCCCTATGTTCTTGCTCAATTTTTCTCATTTTTTAAGTAGAACTGGCAGAAGGTGAGGGTGACAGAATCTAAATTGTTAATGATGATAAGGGACCACCTACAAACTGACTTAGAGTGTGTAGGGAGAAACTGACCCCCACGCAAATGCCAGATATCCCAGCCCCATGAGTTTTCTGTCCAGATGTGCATGGACATGTGTTTGGTGTTTGGAACCTGAGGGTGAACCTTGCTCAAGGAGCCCTCGTTAGCCTCCTGTAGGACTGATTGGGGGGTGCAAGTACTTACGGAGTGGGGGGTAAGGGCTGAGTGCTTGTGTTTCGCTAATAGGAGTGTGGTCATGCCAGTCTTGAAACAGACTAGAAAGAGAGAAAGGGGAGAGGAGGTTTCTACTTTTTCTTTCTTTTTTTTGTTTTCTTTTCAACTCTCTATGGTGAGATTATTGTCTTTGATGATGCTGTTGTTTTTTTTTTAGACAGTTGTTTAATCTGTACTTGTTTTATAAAATTTGTTCCCAAATGTTAAGCAAAGAGTACTGACATTTCTTCTTGAAGGTTAAATTTCTTTTTCTTTTTTTTTTTAAGATATCGAGCAATTTCATATCCAAGTCACCCAAGAAGATGGGAATAGAGTGGTAAAGATCTGAAATTTCCTTTGCTTCAGAGTTCTTTCCTGCAGGGAACTTATTTCTGTTAAAGATAGATTAATGCTATTGATACACTGCAACTTTTTTGTCTCTGTCTTCCCAGATATAAACTTGCTATTGTACTATGTGAAACAAAGATGGGTGAAGGCATTAATGATCTCTTTTGTCTCCACCTGCTCCCAGGCTATTTCCTGAGGGACTAACAGACTAGGTGCCCTTGAGCAAACCTGCCTACCGGCCCCTGTAAAGCAGAGGCATTGAATTAGACGACTTCTGGAAGCTTTTGGAATCCTGTGATTTAAAGTTTATGTAGTTTTGATGTCATTTACTTAACAAATACTTTACAGTCATGCGATGTGATCTAAAAATACAATGAATATTTAAGTGGATTCGTTTTATGACAGTAAAATACACATAACCATGATCTCCTCTCCGCATTGTTCCTGTCACTTCCGGCAGCAGTCCTGGAAGTGCTCTTCCAGGCGTGTCTTTAGTTGCTCTATTGTGGCTGTTTTAAAAGTCTGAACCGATGTGTAACATTCACCCTTCATGGTCACTTTGACTGTGGGGAAGGGCCGGAAGTCACACGGTGCTGGACAGGAGGACGAGGTGGGTGAGGACACACTGATGTTTTCCTGGGCCTGCCTTTCTGTGGGCTGGCGCTCGGCAGCAGCATGCACCATGCTTTGACCACACCTCATAAAGACACGTGTGAAGGAGAGCTTCCAGAGCTACTTCCGAAGGTGGCAGGAATGACGGGATGAGTTTGAAGTGAGGGGGAGTGATTTGGGGGATTAGTTGCAGTGTATATTTTACGATAGTAATTTTTAAAAGTTAAACATTCACCATGTAGTTCAATCAGCCCTCCTCTAGTATCCTGAGAAACTCACTCTTCTTTCCACATTTCATTTTCTTTCTTTTGAACAAGTGTTCCTTGAGTATGATTTACATGCTAGAATTGGATGCAAACTGAAATGCTGTGAAAGGGTGCATCCTCGCTGGGGGAGGCCCTGGGTGAATTGAAATGTAACTGGGAAAAGAGCAAGCCAGGCAGCATAGGAACACTCTGGGGGCTCTGCCTTCACCCTGGGGAGGCGAGGGGCGCTTTGCACAGGGGGCAGTGCCTGTGTCAGGACCCGGAGGGTGGGTGGTTAAGGACTGCTAGCGATGGAGCAGGTCACCACCCTCACCGTGGCGATGGTCAGGTGAGAGCTGTGTCCAGAGCCCCGGTCAGCTTCTGGCCACCCTGGGTTTGTTGCAGCCCTTCCCCTGCCCAGGCCTGAGGGTCATGTTGGTGTCTGTGTCTTGGGTGGTGAAGCTCTTTTACCTGCACGGCCTGACTGAGGGTTCTATCAGTCTTCTCCTAGGGAAGCTGTTATTTTGCGATGGGGTGGTCTCTCTCTGACAGCCCCAGTCTGACTGCTAAACTCAAAACTAGAATAAGACAGTGTATTTAGAGCATTTGGAAAAAAGTAATACTGCTTACCATTTTTGTGGAAAGACTGGGTGTTCATCAGAGGTGGGAGAAGTGCTCACAATAAATGGAAATATTTATATGTATCCTAGAGGGAACATGTAAAATAATAATTCCAGATAGGTTCCTTTAAAATAGCCGTGTACTTATAACATCTTTTTGCTTCCTCAGGTAATTAAAAATTCTTGCCATCTCCCGAGAGACAGAATAGTTGAGGATTTTGTTTGGGCTCAGTGGGATATGCCAGGACAGAGATTATACTACATTGACGTAAAGGTAAAAAGTATCCCGTGGGCATCCCTTTAATAGGAATAATGAACTTTTGACATTATCATCACCGCTGTCCTTTATCGATCATTACATTTTCCTTATTGAGCACAATCAGGGAAGGTTTATTAAAATAATGAAAAAGTTTTCATGAGTCCTTGTTGCGAATCTTATTTTGTGTGTCCATGTGCAGTGCCGGAGACTGAACCCACGGTCTCCCACGTGCGGGGCACGTGTTCTGCCACGAGCCACAGCCTCAGTTCGTCTGGGCTGCTTCTCGACTGCTTCCTCCTCTCTTTCCCTCTCGCCTCCCTCCCCTCTCTTTTCCTAGTGTTTTTGTCCTTGGTTTTATTTGGGATAGGTAATACCTCACGATGTTTTCTCTCGTAGAAATCAAGGACTGTCTTAAAATGCATCCAGTTTAATGCGGATGAGCGCTTTACCTTAATGGTGAGTCCGGAGAGTGATTGGCCCTTTTGGGAGAGTTGCTGTCCTGAACAGCAGTTTAGCACCTTGGCTGCTGTGTTGGTACCTGTGGGAGCAAGTAGAAGAGCGCCTGCTACCTGGAGGCCTCGGCCCTGCCCCAGATGCTCAGTTCTACAGGGGACGAGAGGCACACACATGATGTCACTGTGAAAGAGACAAGCGTCCTGGAGTGGAGCTCCCTGGGGGGGTGAAGGCGGGGTCCATAGCAGAGAGCTTTCGGTGGCTGCTATTTAACCCAAAAAGACTTGTGCACTGGGGGATTTGAGGGTAATGAGAGGGTCCGGTTTGGTTAGTGAGAACATAGCATTAGCCCTAGAAAGGCTCCTGCAAGCATTGGCCCGTGCTAAGGTGTCACCCTGTCTGTCTGAGACACTATGCCCTGATTCTTGCTGAGAACTAGAACGGGCATCCAGCGCAGAGCAAGGTGACAGCATGAGAAATGAGAATTTCTCCCTCCTCTGTCTTCTATGGGTGCCCTCACTGTCCTTCTAAAGCTGCCCAGCCTCCCTTACTGGACTGGCCACCTGTGACTTGTAAGAGGCGATGGGGTCAGTTGCCCTACACGCTGCCCATTTGTGATGGTCGCACCTAAGGGAACTTTTGCCAGGTGTGAGCTCCTCCCCAGCTCAGCCTGCGACCGCGTGCCTGGGCCTAGTCCTGTGGACCCCTGGGCAGAGGATTCGGGCTTCACCTTAATGAAGGTGAAGGACTGTCAGGCGGGCCAAGCGTCACAGTGTCACCCTTCACTGAGTGCCACTGTTCCGGTTCATTTTCTCCTGATTTTATTTATTTATTTATTTTTTGGCAGTTTGAAACACCCCTGGATATACCATTAAGTGGCTCTGAATTTACGTAAGTTATTCCATTAATTTTTATAGACACAGCATAATTACACTTATTCCAATGTGTGATATGCAGGTAAAAGAGCAGTCTGGTATTCTATGTGCATCCTTTTCATAGTTTTTCTCTGTTGGAGATATAAACAGCTTACCAAGCATGAACACAGGTGTCTATAGGTGACACCAGCTGTGCTGACTTTCTCAGCCATGCGTTTCCCTTTGTTCTGATGTGTGGAAGTGCTCTTCTTCCCGTGATTAGGTAAAAAGTTTCAGAGAGAGAGAGAGTTAGAGCCCAACATCAAAACCTTTTTCTTATTGTCAGGAGGGTGCAGCAGGTTAATCCGCTTGCAGCTCAGCCGAGTATATTGCTTTGGTTTCTTTTTTTCTGTTTTTCTTTTTGCATGAAAGGCAAGCTTGCTTGCTTTTCTGGAGTACTTTATACATAGTAAAAATGCAAAAGATTTTTAGAAAAAAAAATAAGGCTATCAAAGCACAGGAGAAATGAAAGTCTGAATTAGAAGATGGTTGCATATTTTACTAGCTTTATTGCATCATATATATTTAGTTGTGCTTAGTTTTGAAGGATGATGTATCAGAGTGTATTTATTCTATGTCACAAAAAGTTATAAAAATGTCAGTTGTAATAGATTTTTCTTCTAAACCGGTTATGTACTGTGTATTTAATGAAACATTATAGTACTTGAATTTCTCAAGGCTGTGTCCCTACTTCTGGGGTATGTGATAACAGCTCCTCTCATAGAGGAAGGAATGTATTTATAAATGCATTCCACAATTTCTTTTCCTTTGTGTTCCTAGGCTTGTCAATTTTGGATGTGGCTATCATGAAGAGCAAGAGAAATTGTCCAAACACCTGGCTCTCTATGTTTTTACCAACTGTACAGGTAGAAACCAGGGTTATATTTATTAATTTATTCATGTATACTTGAGTTTGATATAAAATTTAGTTACTGTTGAGCTGTATTCCCTGAGAATAATATAAAGCAGCCACCTTATTACATAGTAATCATGTAGATATAAACATACACACACATATAATATATTAAATTATCTTCACTATAATTTTGCATGCATGCATTTCATCTGTGCAAGGTTATCACAGCTGGCAGGATTATCGTTCTAGTAGTTATGTGTATTGTTTTAGTAGAGATGGTGGATTTGTATTTAATCAACTTAAGTATTGTCACCTGCTCCATCCTCTCACAGGGGACGCCTGGGATGGAGCCGCTCTGTGTGTCTAGTGTTTCGGTTCTAAGCCCACAAGCTTGGCTTCACACTTGATAATCTCCTGTCCTTACACACAGAGCTTGGCATGAAGTTATTGGTTATGGTGTCCTACTCCGTCACACCTGTTCTTTGTAGAAAGAGAAAATGGAAAGGGAGAAAAGAATACCTGAAAGTGAGAGGCGAGGAGAATGATTAAATTAAATAAATGGAGTAAAAACCCTCATTACTCAATAACCATCTAACTAATGAACTCTAGAAATGAAGCCGATGGCCATTTTTAACATTCCAGTGTGAGCGGACATTTACTACATAGGTAGCCCTTGGATTGAGATTGCACCCCTTTTATGAATAGGTATAGTTATATAAATGAAAATAAAAAATTGTGTTTCTTTAAGACCAAATTTTTGTGGCCTTCACCCATTAAGTGGACCATCACTGAACACCCAGTGTGCGCTGGTTTTGGGGGTGCAGTGATGAGCAAAACTGACCCAGTTTTTATTAGAGCAGAGGTCACCGTTCTGTGTGGATTCGGGACATTTCCTGAGTGGGCACAGAGTGTTTCAGCAGACTCCTGATGAATACCATGAGTGAGAGCCTACGGGGCGGAGCTGGCTGGGAGACACTGGTGCCCTCCTGGAGCCCAGGTCGCCCTGCTCTGCTGTTCCCCGCCCTCCCAGTCACCCCAGCCCAGCCCAGCCCATCTCTATCACGCAGTTGTAGTCCTTTAGCACTGCCCACTTCTTCCTGTCCAGCCTCACAAGGCCCTGCATAAAGCAGCCCTGGGAAGATGAAAGGAGGGGACTCGAGTTGGAGGACACAGAGGGGGACAGCACTGTGAGAGGCAGCTGGGAGGGAGGAGGCGTCAGAACATGCAGGATTTTACCCTAAGAATCTAAGAGTTGTGAGATAGTTTTTTGTGCCGAGGATTGAACTCACAGCCTTTGCCTGAGCTATGTCCTCAGCCATTCTCCTATTTTTAAATTTCGAGACAGGGTCTCTCTAAGTCACTAAGGTGCCAGGCTGGGATTGAACTTGTGACCTTCTTGGCTCAGCCTCCCAGGGGGATTACAGGCATCCACCACCACACAGGCACAGGCATTTTCTTTTCTTAGGACAATTTAGTTTCAGAATGCCGAAGCATCCCAGAGTTCCAGAGGATGTGGAACTTTTATTTAATCAGATCATTCGTAGTATTTTATAATTCTCTCCATATAAAGTTACCAGCTTCTTTTTAACTGAAAAATTTAAAAAGTAAATTTTATCTGAGTACAGTGGTGCACACCTGCAATTCCAGCTACTCAGGAGACTGAGGCAGGAGATCACAAGTTCAAGGCCAAGTTGGACAACTTAAGGAGACCCTGTCTCCATGGTGGGGGTTTACAGACATCATAACACTCTTGCATAATAATGTAGCAAGTATATATCTCCTTATGGACCTGGTTCTCTATAACCTCTGTTCTGCTATCACCAAGGGAAATTAACTGCACCAGTCAGCTAATTTTTTTTTTTGGTATTGGGGATCAAACTCATGACCTTGCACTTGCCAGGCAAGTGCTTATGCAGCTAAATTCCCGGCCTCAGTCTCCTAATTTTTCACATTCCAATTTCCATAATTGTCATCTGTATATGTATTTGTGTGTTTGTGTACAGTTGTATATATTAATAAAATGTGTGTGCCTAAGTTAAAGTCAGAATCCCATCGAGATCCATGCCTTCTGTTGAGTTACGTCTTTGTGTTCTGTGTCCCTGCCTTGGTCACAGTTCAGTCTGTTGAAGGGTCATTTTTGTCTTGAGAAATGCCCCCTGTATTCTGGACTTGTTGCATTATTTCTGGGTGGAGGCTGATTCTCTCTGTCCTCTGTATTTCCAGTAAAATGGGAAAATGCAGGTCAGTGTCTTAGTGAGATGACTTGCTGGATGGTGATGGTGAACCCTTCAGTGCTCTCAATCATAAAGACAGCCTATGGTGACACACATGCCAGAGGTTTTCCACCCCTGTAGTGGGGTGGTTAATTGCATTTGCATCACAGCAGATGGCACCTGAGGTAGGAGATGCCACTGTTAGCCATACAGGTTTGGTCACCTGGTCAAGGGGTAACCGCTGTGGGTCTCCCTCACAGATGGCATCTTGACCTCTGAATGAGGAGCCACGGGTTGATGCTTTGGCACACGTGACTGCCCTGCTGTGAGAAGTGTTCCCAGGCAGCAATATCTTAAATGTTTGTCCTTGAGGGCTCACTGGTGTTGGGGAAGGGTGAGTGGAGGAGGCCAGAGAAAACGTGGGAGCTCAGCAGTTGGGTGTGATGATGGGGCTTCCCCTGTGGTAGGCAGCAGAGGGATGGAGGAGGGTGGCTTTGGGACAAGGCTTGGAGAGGACACCAGAGGCCTTGCTGTGAAGTACGTGGAGAGGAGCTGCTCCAGCCAATAGGTGATGTGGGAGGGGCCTGGGAAGGGGGACCCCAGCCCTCTCTGGGGACACGCTGCCTGAGATATCTGGGCCTCCAAGAGCAGTCAGAACTCTGATGAGTGAGCAGGGATTTGTCAAAACATAGCTGGCGTTTGATGTCGCAGGATGGGGCAAAGGGAAACAAGTGTGGAGGCCCAGGAGCTGCGGGCAGTGGGGAGTTTCACAGAGGAGGGGAGCACCAGCGGGCAGTGTGCTGGCTGCTGCCCTCTCCCCATGCTGGGGGACCCAGGCTCACTTGTGGCTGTGCTTGGTTGAGGGGACACGGGGTGGAAGGCATCGCAGCAGCACTGCACAGATACCAGATTGGTGAGTGGTGGTCACTTTAAACACCAGCTGAACTGAATCAGCGTGATGCTGAGCGTGGATGGCCCTCCTGAGGACTGTGCCAGCATAGAAAGGAGACCTGGAGAGGAAGAGCAGTGTTGTGGGTTCTTCTAACTGTTGTTGTTTGGAGCCGTTAGTTCTCCTGGAGGAGCTTGTCATGCTGGCTGTCCTGCTATGACCTCTGCTGTTATCATCGAAGGAGCTCGGGTCCTTGTTGCTGAGAGTGGCTGTGGGTCACTTTGGGGGAGCTCTGGTCCTTACTTTGAGCATCGCTTTCTGGCTCTGGAGGGGAAAATGTGTGCTGTTAATCTCCACGGAAAGTTTGTCACGCTGGCTTCCTGATGTGAACTCAGCTGTTCTCATTGTCAGAGGTGCTTGGGCCCTCGTTGTCACTGAGGATGGCTGTGGTGCTTTTCAGGGCAGCTCTGGTCCTTATTTTGAGTGTTGCTTCGTGGCTCCAGCACAGAACCCTCAGCCTGCTGGCACAGCTCCTTCACCCTGCTGGCACAGGCTTTCTGTCTTCCACTGCTGACCTCTGGGCCTTTCCAGCTCAGATCTGTGAAGCACACTTCAAGGAGTCTTGTGTGCTATAGGTTTTCAGCTGGACTCACACAGGACATTGCTGTGGGATCCAGGCCCGCACCTGGTTCTTTAGGTCTTCAGTGTGTAGACAGATTCCCCGCACGTTCTTTGTATTTAACTCCTTAGGTAACCATCATAAAATAATATTATAAATGTCTTGTTGTGTAATTGTTCTCCTTGCAACCCCTGACCACAACACACAAGGCAGAGGTGGGATTCGGGAATATTACTTGTTAGTATAAACTCTCTTGTGTGTCTGAACATTTCCAGGATGTGGTTAGTGTAGAGAGAGAAGAGGAGACACTGCAGACAGGGATCACGGCTGGTGGGATAAACCAAGATCAGAGTGTGGCTCAGGGACCAGCACAGGTTCTGCCCTGGTACCTAGATGTCAATCTGCTGGATAGAAACGGTCATTTTTAGCCCTCAATTCTATGTAGCTTTTTATTCTTTTACATTTTATTCTAATAGGAATTTCTTACAAACAGTGGCAGGTGTAACTTAAAATGAGCTGCCTGTGACATATTTAATAAAATGTTAAGTTTATCTGGCATGAGATGGGAGAGAATTGGGTTTTGCTTGTTTGTTTTGTTTTTTCCTTTCTCAGCAGTGTCCGGGAGAACAGAAATTTTCCTCTTCACCCTGAAACAAAACACAACAAAAAGTCCATTTCCAATGTGATGTTTCCAGACTTAGAATGAAACAAGCTGGAGAAATAATCTTATGACTTTTGACAAGTAGGCTGTTTATGTATTTCCTGGGCTTGTGATTAAAAAATTATTTTTGCTCCGGTGGTTAAAACAAGAGAAATCTAGTCCAGCACAGTAGGCTGGAGAAGGACACTGTTTAATCTAAACATAGGTCCTGCTAGAAGGGAAAGCTTAGGTTCCCGATGGTGCAGAGACCAGGAAACACAGCTCCAGGAACGAACGCCGGCCCTGTGCAGGTCTGGTTATCACACGGATGATGCCAACGTGGTATTTGAAGTTTTGTCACCCTTTGGTCTGCAGCCGTGGGTCGTGCCTGTACAGTACTGTACCTGGGGAGCATCCACAAGTGTGTCCCTTGTCCTTTTGGCTCCTGCCATGCAAGAGCTGCTCCTCACAAGCTCTCACAGTCAGGCCGGCAAAACCAGTCAAAAGAAACCAGTGTAAGAGATGCAGGCCTCACAACATTACAAAGTCAACAGTAGTTACCATAATGCCTTTTGATGTCTTCAAACTAGCTACAGATAACTTCTGATAGAGTAAAAATCAAACAGAACAGAATAGTATGAAAACAATAAAAACAAAACAATGCATGCAGTAAAGGACTTCAAAACAAGCCAACAGCAAATCCAAAATTGCTACCATAATGTATCTTGCTATCTTTGAAATAGCTGCTCCTGCCATCAGATTTGACATAAAGAAATGAAAAGAAAAGAGAATAAAACCCAACCCAACAAAGCAATGGAAATGATATAGGATTTACAAAACAAGACACGGAATCAACAATGGCTGCAAGCCTCAGAAGGAGAAGCCCTGCCAGATGTCACACTGTGTAATGGTCAGATCACTGGCCCTAGCCTGCAATGTTAGTGAAACTCCAGAGCACCACAGGCATCCAATTGCATTTCACCTCCATAGCCATCATCACAGCTAGTGTTTCTCCGGATAGGTTGGTCACTTATGGGGCAGGGAGGGGATGCTGTGGGATGGTACTTCTTGCTTGCCAGCCCACACGATGGAAGGGGCTGGGTCTGGCCACTGCAGTCTGGCGGAAGTCTGAGCATGGTGCTGGTCAGCGAATGGTGCTGACTCACTAGGAGAGGCTAGGGTCTGGCTGCTCTAGTCCGGCAAGCGTCTATGCATGGTACTTGTTCCCAGACTGATGTTAGCATTTTTTATGGCCTTTATGATAATTGTCCCAGGGAAATAATTTCCCTTGGAAAACTTTGTAACGGTTTTCACTGTCTAAGTGGTTTCCTGAAGACTGTGCAGTGGAGAGATGTTATCTTTAACGTCGATGAATATTTATTAAAAGTCTCTGGATATACCATTAAGGATATGCTTTGCTTTGCTTTGTTCAAACTATGACTTCCTCTGATTTATAAATGGCACCAGAATTATTCTGGAGTGACAGCGCTCCCCTTTCTGTCCAGCTATGACCCATTCTGAGAGTCTTATGTGCGTTATCTCATGTAATTCTCACACAAGAACCTCATGATATCAGTTGTATATTTTTGTACAAATGAAAGTGAGGTTTAGAGAATTAAATTAACCTGCCCGAGGCAGTGTACTTAGTAAGCCACAAGCCGATATTCACATGCAGGTGTGCTGAGTTGCATTGGTGGGAAGGTGACTTGGACAATCACGATGGAAACTGTAGGAGACTCCTCAAAACTGAAGCTTGAAATGCCATTCAACCCAGCCTTTCCTCTTCTAGGGATCTAGAAGGTGTCTGGTTAATGTTAGTTACAGACATCGCGTTACAGCCATACGTGTGTGCCCATGTTTGACATGCAGTTCACAATAGCTAAGCTCTAAAAACAGCAGAGATGCCTGTAACAGACAAAGGGATAAAGAAAAAAATACAATCTACATTACCAAAGTGATTGAGGAATTGGGAAAGATAAGGAAGAAAAGCATAAAAAATTCAGGATATGCTACAGATACAAATACATACTCATACCCTAATGCACTGATGTTATATATTGTAAACATCCTGTTAATCTGAAAAAAATATGGTACTTTGCTTTAAAGTTTCTTTATTATTGAAAAGACTCTTTGACTTTTTAAGTCTCTGACAGCAGTTTCTTTCTCTTTGTGTTCTAGAACACAAAAGAGTAGGGTATGAACCAGGTGTGGTGGCGCCTGCCTATAATCTCAGCACTTTGGAGATCGCTGTGATTTTAAAGCCAGCCTGGGCTACACAGTGAGGTCTGTTTCAAAAAACCAAAAACCAGAAAAAAAAAAGTTTTAGCTGAAATATGCTAAGGAGTATTTATTTATTTATCTGTTGAGACAGGGTCTCGCTGAACAGGAGGCTACCCCCTCCTTCCCCCAGTTCTTACTGGATGAAAATAGTCAAAGTGGTTCATGGGATTTTTATAGCTTCTATAATTATTATTTTGCTTATGCCTTAGGAATAATTACCTTTATTCTAAATAGGCCTATTGTAATTTTAAAGGAGATTTATCATTGTGTGCCTAGGAACTATAATAGTTTTTGCTAGAATTGTTAGAATTTTTATTTGAGTTCATTTATGTTTTCAAGCTATTGCAAAATACAGTGTACTTCTAACAGTAATTTTAGCTTTAAAAGCCATTAAAATAGTCATAATTTGCTGGGGATTTAGCTCAGCAGCATAAGTGTCTACTTGGCAAGCACAAGGTCATGAGTTTGATCCCTGGAACCCAAAAAAGTCATAATTGATAAATATAATATCCCAATGTTTACACATGTCCTTAAATAGCCTTCTGAAAGAAGTGGGCCTTTTTTCTACTGTGATTCTTTGATAAAGGAACTAGCAGTATATAATAGAGAAAATACGAAGTCTGTCCCAGTAGCATGGGGATTGATCTACACATCTGTTTTATATTAGCTCTGGGACTGGATAACCTCAGTTTTCCAATATTTCTGTCACATTTTCTTCTACCCAGAAATGTTCAATTTGAGTTAATTTCATAAATGTTGACAGTGGGCTAAACGTACAGGTTGAGAGCATTTCTAATCAGAAATCCAAAATGCTACAGAATTTAAAACTTTTTGAGCCCTAATGTTACCCTTAAAAAGTTTCAGCTTTTGGAACATTTAGCATGCTGGAGTTGATGTCAAGGCTGTGCAGACACGGTCTCCTGTGTTAGGAGTGTGCCACCCCTCAGGCTCCCGCCCTTTGTAGCCTGTCTCAATATGCTGCTGATAATTGTTGATGCTGTAGTTGCTGGTTTGAGAATTCTCAGCAACTTGTTAGTAGACCACCTCTAGCATTTGGGAAATAACCTGGGAGGGAAGATGAGGCTGGACAGCTCACAAGAGTAAGTGGGTGGAAAGCTTCTTTTCTGTTTATCTGATACAGAGTCTTTTAAAGTTTATTGAATATGTTCTTCCTTCCAGGAAGCCTGTGTGTATGTTACAGCCAGAAGTTTGACCCTTGGGAGCAAGTCACATATTCCGTGTTTTATTTTCATGAAGGTAATTTTCATTACGCTTTACTTTGACATAGCAGCCTTTTTCTCAGTCTGTAGTAGAAAATAAGAGATTTCAGAAGTCTTTTTACTTTGCAGTTATCTCATAGTTCTGTGTCTACATAATTCATGTTTCCTGAAGAAAATAAATAATGGTAGCATTGTTAGCTAGATATTATCATGTACCATGAGTTTTATTCTGGCCTGTATCTTTTTCTGGGCCTGTCATGTATTCGTCTAGCGTGTGTTTGTTTACCTTTTAGTTACTAATAATTGGGAAGTATTTATAACTTTAGTGCAGACCATTACAAGAGGTTTTAGTTGAAAGTTTTTACAATCGAGAACTAAACAGGATTCTAAAATATGTTTATTCCATTTCACGCATCTGTGCTCCAACATATTAATATGGCAACAAGTTGTTCTATAGTTGATCACAAGGTGCCTTTTAAAACTTTTAGCCTGAAACATGCCAAGGAGTATTTATTTGTCTTTTGAGATAGGGTCTTGCTGTGTGGTTCAGGCTGGCTTTGAACTCTCTGTGTAGCCAGGCTGGCCTTGAGCTCAGTGGTTCTCCTGCCTTGGCCTCCTGAGTCATGAGTATTTACTTAATCTGCTCATTTCCTCAACCTTAGCATCTGGTTAGTCACAGAATGGGTGCACTTAAAACTTTTAAAGGTTGATTTTTCCTCCAATATGTATAACATCTTATGCCGAGCCTCACAGGGTTCTTTATTCTGCTGGAGGACCTAATAGTAGCTTGGTGTTAAAGACCAAGGTGGAAGAGATTAAAAACTTAGTGGGGAACCTCGAAGTAATGTCAGAACCGGTCGTGTAGGCCTGTTCAAGTCGTGTAGTGTTTGGTGGAAAGTGTTCACGTTTTTCTAAGGATTAGTGTAATGATTAAAACCAGTAAAGAAAACTTTTCTGGAGATTGTTACATAAGCAGAAAGCAAAACCCCGTGTTCTGAGATTGGGCTAATAATCCCTTCCAAAGCCAAAATGGGAGTGCAAGCCACGTGTGTGGCTGTGAGCTGTGCGACAGCCTTCATTGGTCTCCTGGACCGTCAAGAAGGCTCCTTCGGATCCCGCCCTCCTCCAGCAGCCCACCTCTTGGGGTCTCGAGTTCTAGTCCTAGACAGTGCCTGCACATGGACGGCCACCGCAGCACCGGCTTCCGGAGAGCGAGGCCCACAGGAACTCTGGGAGCCAGAAGTCGCTGTCAGCTTGTGTGACTGAAAGTCAGGAGCGGGGCGTGCAGTCCCTGGCTGGGGACAGGTCCAGCTCTGTGGTGGATAACAGGCTTGCTCTGGCTTCCATTCTCCCTCCGCAGGGTACAGAAAGACCTTCACCACTACCCCTAGGAGTGACAGCCCACATGTGACAGAGGACATCACCTTCCTCAACCTCGGTGGGTGTGAGCCGGCCCTGCTCTGACCCCCCCAGTGCCCGCTGCCCTGTCCTCTTCCCTGTGCACCCCGTTTTCTCCCACCTCTCTGAGGTGTGGCTTGGGAAGTCACCATGAGCCTCATGAGGCTCCGTGGAGGGAGAAGGTTTGCTCTGGCTCCACCTGTCCTGCAGCTCCCCAAGCTGGACGGGGAGGAGCTCAGCTTCCCTCTGCCTGGAAGCTGGGCCTGAGCCTTTTTGTCTCTCTGGCAGCAGCCCCTGAGAAGCCACTTGCTAGTATAACAATGGTGACCATGAGTGACAGTATGTCAGGTCAAGCTTTGACTCTCGGGGGCCAGGGTCTTTGGGAAACGGTCCATCCCTTCCTGCTAGCCATGAAACGCTTGTGAGTCCCGTGAATGATGTATGGACCAGTGTGAGCGAGTCGTTTTCACTGAGGAAATCTGGGGGAGGGAGGGTGGGAATTGGGCTTGAGCACCTTAGGGGGACTGTGATGGAGATAGTGAGTGGGGTTTACCATCTCTCCCTGGCAGAAGCAGGTTTTCTAGCCCATTAGTTTGAGAACTGAGTGATGTAACTGTTTCTTGCTCATGTGTGGGTCAGGGCTCAGGGTCTGCAGGAGTTCCAGCCCAGAGCCGCTGATCCTTGATCTCTTCCCCACCCCTGCTCCTGGCCGTCCCCTGTGGTGCTGAAGGTTTAGGGAAGCGAGAGGCGAGACCCCAAAGCCTAAGTGGGCAGGAAGATGTTTCTGTTGAAGGGCGCTACTTGGTGAGGTCAGTGTTTCAAGCTGTCTGGGCCAGAGGTGGCAAGTTTCAGGCGATCTTGGAGGCCGTGGGAAATGGGCGTGGAGAGGCCTGGCCTATTGCTTCCTGAGATAAGGGGAAGAAATCCAGTTCCCTGGCCTGGGCCTTGGTTGTTATCAGCAATCCATCTCACAGTGACGTGGGAAACTTTCCACTGCAAAAACTTCGCATTTCTTGAGGGCAAAGGTACCTTCCTTTCCATCCCCCTGGGAATGATGTGGAAGGCAAGGGACAGGATTTCATCTCGAGGGTAGGACAGAAATAGGAGAGCTGGCCCCCACGGAGGCTCATTTTATTCTGTAGGCACAGAATTGTGCCTGAGGTTTAAACTGGTGTAGAGGGAATTTTGTGACAGCAGTGTTACTTCGGGGGATGCATGTTTTGCCAATAATTGCTCGTATTTTTACCCTATTGATTGAAATATTAGAGAGTTTAACGGCTTTTCCACAAATCCAAAACCCACCGAGAGAAGAGATATGCTTGTCGAGAAAAATAAAATAGCAGGTTCTATAAGCTGTATATTTTACCTAAATTACTATGAACCTTATCACAGTTCTGCTTCGAGATGATCTCCCCACTTTACAGCTGATGAAACTGAGGCTTAGACAGGGTGGGACGTGCACCTGGGGGGTCCTTCGGCCCGACTCAGTGTTTCACTGTCATTCTTAGCGATCAGCACAAACTCAGGGCTTTAAGCAGCACGTTCTGCTGCAGCTCTGGAGGAGAGTTGGGCTGAACTCAAAATGCAGGCAGGATGGTTTCCTCTGGAGATCTAGGGAAGAGGTTGCTCCTCCCCTGCCTTGTCCTCCCTCCCCTCCTCTCCCCTCTGGAGGCTGGGCTTGCTTGTCTCATGGACACGGCCCTGCACCGCTTTGGCCACCATACCTGTCCTCTTCTGCAGTCTGGTCCCCTGCTGGTTTCTTCCTACTGGGGTTTCTGTGCTCCTTTCGGGTCCACCAGTTAGTCTCCCCATCTCCAGACCCTGATCACACCTGCAAGGTCCCTTTTATCACACAGCTTAACAGGCTCTGGAGATGAGCATGTGAACCCTATTTTTTTGTTTTGCTTTGTCTGTGTCTTGGTGTTCCTGGAGACTGACCCCAGGTCCTTCACCCTGGGCTACATCTCCAGCACCTTGTTTCCAGACAAGGTCTTGCAAAGTTGTCCCGGGCTTAGCTAGAATTTGCTGTCCTCCCTCCTCAGCGTCCCAGGATGCAGGATTGCAGCCACGGGCCACCACCCCAGCTTGGCCTGTGAGCAAACTATATGGGCCGTTGCTGAGTTTACCCTGATCTGTGTCCTATGGATTTGATGAGTATCACTCTTCATGTGACACTGCTGCCCTGCACCTCGAGGGACTGCAAGTCCCTGGAGCCCACTCAACAAGTTCAGTAGGACTCCCTCCCCTGTCACAGTGAATATGCCAGGGTGGAACACACTGTTGCCCTTGTCCCAGTGAGACAGGACAAACCTGATTAACTGGTTGAGTGGTCAAGGTTGGGGTCACCCCAGCTCCTTTGGTCAAACCCTTTCCACTGTGCCCCACTGGATCGTTCCTCGTGCTTTTCTGTTAAAGTTGCCATGATAATTAGATAATTACAGTCATCTGTGTTAAGCACTTTTCCATGGCTGTAGCTCCTGAGGACTGAAAAGACACCTAAACCAGTGAGTTAAAGTTTTATATCCTCTTTCTTTTCCACGGACGCCCTATCCTGGCGCTGATTAGCGTGTGTCTTTGCTTCTTAGAGGAATCTAGCCGGTTCATGTAAAATCCAAATATTTCTTCCTTATGAAATTCACTACTAACATGTGAAATTTTCTGGTTTTCTGAGAATCTAGAAAAATTTGGGGCCAGGGTTAACTCCCCCTTCCCGTTGTCAAGAAACGTAATTTTCTATGAGGTCTTAATCTAGGTGCAAATATTGTTGGTCTCAAAATCCATGTGTGGGGACGTGAAGGTGTGGATTCTAAGTCGCTAGCTAGGCAAGGAGATAAATTAGTCCTTCACAGAATGCCAAGATGTCTGTGGATGTTGTCTTAATAGTGTTCATTTAAAAGTTGCTAAACAAAAAAGATAATGGCTATGAGGAGTAAACCAATATGGGAAACTAAATTTTAAAATCTCCCCAAACCGGAAGAAACCTTGAAGAAAATTCCCATTATACGCTATTCCTATCCTAGCAGGTCATGAAATCATCTGTGTCACTTGGTATTTTTATTCTAATGTGCCCTCAGAGACCATTTAGAGTCCATGGTTGACTTAGAAACACAGCTACAGGTATCAGCTAAGGTGACTGTGTCCAGATGTCTGAAGAAAATTTGCCACCAAAGAAATAAATGGACTCTGGCTACTAAAATGAAACATACTGGTGACACCCGGCTTGTCGTCAAATTGGTAGAAAGATTTGTGCTTTGAGAGACTCGAGGGAGAATACAGGTGGTGCATAGCCTTGGGTTTGGTCTGAACCTTCCTGGCTTTTACTGCATGCGGATGGCTTAACTCTTTGTCTTCTGTAGACTATTACGTGGCTGTTTACAGACGCGGCCATTTCCTTCATTTACTGAACATCCAGCATCCAGATTTAGTCTGCCACAGTCTGTTTCTGACAGGTATGGATGTAGGTTTTCTTTCTCTCTTGGGTATGGCTGTTTGCGTTTGTTTGACTTTAATATGTATGTTTGGTCCAGGGGCGGGGGAAGCGTTATTTATTTGCTGATCTGCTTTTTTTTTTTTTTGACCAGGAAACAACCTAATGACCGATGTGCTACCTCAGGGTCCTTTGCGGTCACTGTCGGCATCGCTGATGCTGGACCAGGCCTCCGGGAGGCTCTACGGAGTGTTCCTGGACCAGCCTGGCCTGCTGCGGGTCCTGAGGGCCGCCCAGCGGGACTGTGACAGGATGGCCGCGCTGCACTGCCTGCTGGCCTGTGGCCCAGAGCCGCAGCCTCTGGAGGCCCAGGTGAGGCCTCAGCTCGCATCTGGACCTCAGCACACGGGTGGCACCCAGGGCATTGATTCCTTGTTTGAATGATCAAAAGTTGTTTTTATTGGCTACCAATTAGGTGAGGATTATGACCCCCGTCTTGACTTAAGCATATTTGTCTTTCAAACATCTTTGCTCTGCATTTCTCCCAGACCTCAGACTGCATGTGAGTGCTCACCCCTCCATCTATGGTTTTGTTTGTTCCAATTTCAGTTACCCCAGATCGATCGTGGTCTGAAAATACAAATGGAAAATTCCAGAAATAATTCCTAAGTGTTAAATTGCACACTCTTCCAAGTCGTGTGCTCAGATCCGGCCACCCTGCCCTGCCTTGCTCTGTCCTGAGCCATCCCGACCCCTAGCACAGCCATGCTTCATAGGCTGCCTGCCCAGGGGCCGCTTAGCGATGCCTCGGTTACCAGGTTGACTTTGCAGTCTCTCAGCACTCGTGTGTTCAGGAACTTTAGTGACCACTCTGGCGACTCAGGGAAACCCTAAAGTGTTTCCTCTCAAGGAGAGAGTGAAAACTCTCAACTTACAGAGGAAAGAAAGAACTACGTGATGATGTTGCTAAGTTGCTATCTGTGTTTTCAAGTGTCCTTTGGTGGTTTTGGAAGACAAGGGCACCACCACCCTCTTCCATGTTGTGAATAAATATTTAGTGCGTCAGTAATGTTCCAAGAAAGTACTCAGTACACAATGAAATTCTCAAATAATTTACTTTTTCTCCTATTCTATAGTTTGTGTAAATTTATTATCTAAAGGACTAAAATCATGTGACAAATATTTACTACATTTTTCATAAAGGTAGTTTATATTTGTAATGGACATTATGCTTTACACAGCATTTTGCACATGTTCTCTGTCACCTAATTTTTACAGCCATCCTGTGAAATCAGAAAAACCCTCTTAGCAGACCTGGTTGGGATCAACAGTTGGCTGATTAATTGAAAAAAAGATGAGATATTTTATCCTAAATTGCATACATGAATAGTCTCATCTTTTGATGTAGGATGAGACCCTTTTTTGTGAGTCCTTTATGGAGTTCAAAGACATTTTTCTTGCATAAACCACTGGTCATATGTTATGTCTCACTTTTTGTTACTTTCTGAAAATTTTTAACTCTAAGGAGATCAGTAGGTTAAGCGCTTTCCAAGACAATTTTTGTATATCAGGCATTTAAAAACCCAATCTGTTACTAGTTATTTAGCATTTTAGAGACATACTGTCTTAGCTTTTTGTGGCTGTGATTGAATTATTGAGAAAGACAACTAAAAGGAGGAAAGATTTATCTTGGCTCATGGTTTCAGTCCAATGTCTTCCAGTTCCGAAGTAAAAACATCATGGCGGAAGGTTGATGGGGGGAGAAAGCTGCTAACCTCACTCAGCCAGGAACTAGAGAAGGGAAAGAACCAGCGGGATGATGTACTTTCCCAAGGGTGCTTCTTCCAACTGGGCTTCACCTTAGAGCTGTTTAGCTTTGAACCCATCATGGATTAATCCATTGATGAGGTTAGTGCCTTCATTATCCAGTTGCCTTCCAAAAGCCCCAAACTTGAACACGAGATTTTGGGACCTGAACTGTAACTCACGCCTGTGAGTCTTTGCAAACCATTCAGCTTCTTTTGTTGACTCAACAACGTTCTTTTTGCATCTATAGCTCACTTGTCTAATAAGTTTTATGAAACAACCTCATTGTGAGTGTGAGTCACACTGGCATAAGAAGGTTTAATGGAGAGGGTAGTTGTAGGGAGGAGGAGGGTTGATGTAAATTGGATTATCCATCCCTTGAGAGGGCATTATGGGGGTGCTGCAGGAGGGTAAGCAGCCTGACAGTAGTCACATGGTGCCCGAGCTAGAGTTTAAACCCAGGGAGCTGTCACTAGTCCTTGTGGTTTTGTTTGATTTATTTGCTCCAGTGTCCATGTCTTGTGCTTTGTATAACATGAATTCTAGCAAAATCATATATCACATGGGCCAAGTTTTATTTGGATTCCATTCAAGGGCATTTATTAAATGGTGTGTAGCAAGGATCTCATTCATAATACTGCTTCATCCCTCTACAACTACTTTATGTATCCCGTGTTCATAAGCAGTTGCAAAACAGACACAGAATTTTAAATACGGATTAATATCCATATGTTGTACTTATTTGGGGGAAAGGGTGGAGTGCAGATTTAAATGCTAACAATTCTGTTGTCTTGGTGAAGATCATCCAGTGGGTTTCTGAGAACATCTCTACCTGTCATTCATTTGACCTCATTCAGGAATTTATAATTGGTGAGTGTTTCGAATGCACCCCTGACCCTTTTGCTTGAGGGAAAGCAAGGTTGTCAAAATACTGCTAGCGAGCACTTTTTAAAAAAAAGCCTATCGCAGTAAGAAGCTAATTAAATTTCACTCTCTTGTGGTTTTGTGAGAAACTGTGGCTTTCGGAGACTGATGAGAAATAAGATAGGATTTTGATTTTATAACCTTAATGTGAGTTTTCCCCCCTGGTAAAATGTATCTTTCTTAGCCTAGTTTTCTGTTGGCTGGCTGGACACCACTAGAAAAGGATACAGTGTCCTTTAGATAGATGTAATACCAAATGGAAAAAATCCTGCAGTTACTCAGATTGTAAAAAGCAGAACTTACACATTTTAGTCAGTGGATAAAATCCTACTGGTTAGCCATTTGAAGCTGAAGAATAAAGCAGTGAAAACTTCTGCTGGTTTGCTTGATTTGCTTGAGTTATATTGTCAGTTTCTTTATTCTTATTCAATCACGTCTTTTTTTACTCTTTTGCAAACCCACCCAGCTTCCTCGTATTGGAGTGTGTATCCAGGCACAAGTAATATAGACACCGTGCTGCCGTACTCCTCAGTGCTCTGCTGGGATACAGTAAGTTAACACTTCGTACTCTGCGTGCAGTGAAAACCCATCCCCAGTTGTAGGACAGGTACCTGAGGCCGTAATTTCATCTCTGTCTTGACTGAAAAAGAACTGAGCAGGAACTTTCTAGAAAAACTGAGCATCCCTCATCTGAAATCTGAAACATTCTAAAATCGGATACTTTCTGAGCACCAATGTGGTGCCACACGTGGCAAATTCCACGCCTGAGCTCAGCTCACCAGATACAAGAGTACAGGAACAGCGTTTGAGCCCAGCTCTTTCTAATTTAAAAGAAAGGTGCATAAAAGTGGTCAGCTTCAGGCGACATCTGCAAGGTCTACCTGAAACGGGTGACTTTTATATTTAGATTTAGGTCTCATCCCTAAGATGTCTCACCACAGATGTGCGGATATTCCAAATCTGAAAAAGTAAATCCCGGATGTGAATCTTTTTGGAGGCGGTACTAAACCCGTCAGGTGTGCCTGCTATTGGATGGAAGTGCGGGTGTAGGCAGGCCTGGAGAAGAAGATGCAGGAATTTGTTCCTCTTTTTCCTACCGGGAAGAAGGAACCCCCTTTTATGGGATTTTTATAAAGCAAGGATTTAATTTTGTATTGGCTACAGTGAATTATGTATTAGCTTTATATAAATAAGAAAAAGCTAAACCCCTGCAGTCCTACTTAGTAGATTAGGACATTCACGACCGCTTTTCTCAACCTCGTGAAGAAAATGTGTAATGACTTTAAAATCGATGGGAGCCGGCAACCTTGGCAGACTGGCCGCATTCACCTTTCCTTCCTGTGCAGCGGACTCCTTCCCCTCAGGCTGGGAAGAGCTGAGCCGAAACACTGTTTCTTTGCTCTCCGGTGTGAGGTGGTAAACTAAGCTTCGCTGGACCAGCCATTGGAGAGAAATCACAAAGCCTGCGCCTGAAAAGATTCTGATGCTGGTTCTTTCCTACTTAGATCTTAGACCCATATACTTAGTCTTGAGGTAGAAGTTGTATCAAACAGGTATTGAGAATGAGAATTTTAATTTGGATAACACAAGCATAGGAAGCTGTGCAGTGGGGTACATTGTGATTCTTCATTTTGTATTTAGACTATGTCGATACACATCCTTTAAAAAGACATATCAAGTGTGTTTGATTAATTTCTCAATTTTCGGCATGTGTGAGGGTGGTGTTCCCCGAGTCCCCTCCTGCTGGGCTCCACCTTCCTGTCACAGGTACAGTGGTAAGTCACTGTGGGATCTTGAAGGACAGATCCCTTCTTGAGGTGCCCACATCTTTCTGTAAGAGCACATTTGTGAATACACACGCAGACTTTGTGGTTCTGTGGCAGGAAGTCTGAAGATTACACCATTCTCGGGTCAGGAAGTGTGCACCTCAGCTCCCTCCCTTACACCCACAGCCTTTCTGTCCTGTGTTCAAGGTGACGAGGGGGCAGGGCCGGGACCACTGTTCCCAGGGTCGCAGGCAGTGATGGAGTGTGTGGGAGGCAGGCGTTGGATGGGGGCATCATCCAAACGGGCAGGGCTTCACTTCTGCCTTTCTGATGATCCTAGCAGGTGCAGGAGCCATCGTGAATACACTCAGAGTGACATCAGGAAGTCCCACGAGAACAATGCAAGAAAACCACATTTATAACCTCCATCTACCAGGCGTATTTGGGGGTTTACCATGCTGCTTTAAAACTTCTTGTGGTTGGAATAGCTTACCTAAAAGGCCTCTTGAATTCTGAAGTGCTGTGACTTTATACTTGTCTTTAGAAATGATGTAAATCATTTACTTTCCCCTCAAAATCCACAATTGTTCCTAATGCTACCACCTTAACTAATTTATTCTTATTTTAAAAAGCAAAACAGAAAAAGCATAGAAACAATACAGAATTTCCAAAAAAATTAGGAAATTAACCCTAATCAAGATATTGCATATTGTCATTTTAGAAGTAGTTCAGGTTACAAGATTTAGGCACGAAAAAAATGATCAGTCAACCAGTGAAAGCACAAGCTGTTCTTCTAGATGAACTAACACAGATTAGTAGTCTAATGATCTATCTTGCATATGTATCTTTACCACCTTAATTTAAAAACTTCCCACAATGGAAGAGCATTCAGTGCATGCTTGCACATAGGAAACAACTGACTTGGATTTTGTAAAAGATTCTAGAAACTTGCCTCGCCAGTCTTGGACTGTGCTCCAAAAACAATTACAGCTATTTTAAAATGCCACTTATGTCTGTTTTAAAAGTACAATACATAATGTACTTAAGCATTGTGACTGTCCTACAAGCTTGTTTTGAAATTTTGTACCATTTAAAAAATTTCTTTAAAATTAAAAAAAAAAAAAAAAAAAAAAGACTGAGAGAGAAAAAAAAGAAGCACCTTCCCTACCTCCGCCCGAGGTGCTGTTTGCTGTATCCCCAGCCCGGTGAGAGTGGCTCACAGGTTCTTGCCCAGGCTTTCTGCTGTCAGGTGGAAAACTCAGTTGCTCAGATGTTCTGCACATGATTTTTCTTTACTGTTGTGAGCCCCATGCTTCATGTAGCCAAAACCAGGTCATTGAAACTCTGAATGAGCCCCAGTTCTTAGTTTCCAATAGCATTTCCTAAATTACTTTCTCATATAACATTTGCTTTTGGAGGGGATCTGAACTGACCAGATGAAAAGCTAATTATGCAGTTGGCATAGAGACTTGGTTTCCAAAATAACACGGGAGCACAGCAGTGTTGGATGGCGAGTCTTTGACATTCCCATCAGGCGCTGTCTTTTGGGGTTCCCTCTAGCCTGGCTGGGGAGCTAGGGCTGCAGACACAGCACGGGAAACAGTGTCTAAAATCGTGCGGAGGATTGGTGAGAAGTTTCCAGTGCAAGTTACAGAACAGCCCTTCCAGCTCTGGCTCCTTCTCCTGAAGCAGGGCTGACTGCAGCGCATGGCCGTGAGAGAGGAAGGGGAGAACAGACCCCTTTTCATGGTCACAGTCCATGGTGCAGAGAGAATTTGCCTCCTTTGTCTTTAAATGAAAACGTGCACAAATACAATATTTGCTCCGAAGTTTTCATCCTAATCTCAGTTCCTTTACAGCCCTGCAAGTGAGTATGACCCTTCCCAAGGCAAGAGATGGGCACACCCCAAGTTTAAAGGAGTGTCAGCACGGGAAGCTGTCTTCCCTCTTGTGTACACAGAAAACGCCTTCCGAAGTCCTGAGCTGGTGGCTGACGTGCTGAGCAGTTGTGTGTTTGCTTTCCCCTCTACAGGAAATTCTTGGAATAACTCTGGTGACGGAAGAGATCCCTCTGCTTCTAATGAAGGTAAATCGCTTACAGTAAGCTGCAGGCACAGCCCTGCCTGACTAAGCCTCTGCTGCCCCCAGTGGTTCCGACAGGAACTGCAGGCTGCTGATGGTGGGCGTGGCAGCGGGCAGGACCCTCCCATGGGGGGGGGCTGAGTGGTCCCTGGGGATGACGTCATCACAGCTCTTATTGATGCTCTTTGAAGATGGGAGAAAATCACAGGGCTCAACTAAAACCGGAACAACTGATACTTGTCACTGTGCCTCAAACCGTACTCCAGTGAACTGTGACTTATCTTTACATAGCCGGGGAGCTGCTGCTTTAATTTTATCTGTAGTCACTCCCTGGTCTCCAACCTTGAAACCATTAAAGCCTCAGGAGCGGGGTCCTCTCATTTTCTGCTGCCCTCACATCTCCCGGGAGTGGCCGGGGCTGGCTGGCTACGTGGGCTCAGTAACATCTGTGCACCCGCTTCCTGCACTAAGCTGCGGTTGTCAGTGTTTTGGGCGCTGTCTGTGGTTTCAGAATAGTCTCAGACCACAATAGAGAGAGTGAGCGGGGTGAGTGGGAGAGCGTGGGCAGGGAGTTAAAGACGGGGGAGTCTCCAGCACAGTTTCCTTGAAGCTCTTCTGCTGTTCTGGGCAAACCTCCGGGCAGCGATCCTGGCTGCTGTGCAGTGGGAGGTCTCAGCCCCGGCAGCAGGCAGCGCAGGGGGCTGCTGTCTTGGATCTGTACTGGATTCTTTAGGATCCATGCAGGGCCGAGCAGGGCAGGCCTGGGTGGACCTGGGGGGCTGGGGTGGGATCTGAGGTCACAGTGATGCCCTGGGGCCACTGGAGGGCTGTGTTGGTGGCACTAGGTTTTGGTCCTAAGAGTTACGCCTTCAGGATACACTGGCCACCTCTCTAGGCAGAAGTGTGGGACCCCCAGGAAGTCCTGCTGAGGTTGGGAGATGCAGGAGGAAAAGAGATTTTATTAATAGTTAAAAGGCTTGTCTGTCGGGGCTCTGGCCAAGAGCCCCAATCTCCCAAATGAGTGTACTGTGAAGGCTTAAATAAACGAGACAAGTGGTATGATTTTAGGGCTGCAGGAGGAACAAAACCCTCTGCAGAGTTCGAGACCCTGGGGGATGAGACAAAGAGCTTCCCTGGGCTGCCCACATTTATTACATTTTCAAACAAAGGGGCTGGGGATTTAGCTCAGTGGCGTAAGTGCCTGCCTGGCAAGCGTGAGGTCATGAGTTCAGTCCCTGGTACCTCCCCCAAAAAGAAAAGACTCTCACATTTTCAAACAAAGAGAGGAGATAGTGAGGAGAGGACAGGAACTGAGCAGGATCTTGGGAGTCACTTCAAAGACTTCTCCAAGCAGTAAATTATGCCAATTTAGGAGAACTGCTTTATCTCCATGATGATATTCACGGTGCGAGTGAGACGGCAGGAGTGAGATGCCTGCAGCGCAGGCTCTACTTAACTGGGGTTGGATCCAGGTGTCCGCAGCTGGGGCCTTGTCTTGCCCTTTGAGGTATCTCTGGCCTCACAGGCCACTACAGGCCTCAGCCAGGGCCAGTGATTCTTAGAGGCTCACTTACTATGAATCAGCTCCCATCGCCAGGCAAGGGGCCTAGGACAGACTCGCAGATAAGCAGAGGAAGCCAATGAGTTACTTTTAAATCCTCTCAGAGCCGCTTCGTAGTGGCCTCCAACGCGTGTCAAGACACTTGGTCCTTCCCCTTCATCGCGTTTGTCTTTCCCACTAGTTCTAGAAAATCCAACAAACCAGTGAAGGGAGTGGTAAAAACAAAGAGAGCAGCGCACCCTGCTACCGTTTCTAGTCTGCTGTCTGCTTTTTGTTTTTCCTTTTGGTACCTAGTAGTAATGGGTGATCCAGAGATGCAGAGATAAATACTACAACTTATAACAAATTATAATCATAAACATGTTTGTTTCATGTTACCACATGAATATGGTTTCTTATGACCCTGTGGGGGTTGCTATCCCATTTCACTTAGAGAATCTGTTTTTGGATATTTGGCTCTTCACTAGCTATCATTTAATGTTTTTGCTATTAAAAATGTTTCAGCAAATATGTTAATGTATGTAGTTTTTCTAAGGTTAAATGCCAGGAGTATCACTAGGTAAAAAAGACTGACAGTTTGTTTTTTTTTTTTTTTTTTTTTGGTCTTTTTCGTTTTTATCGGTACCGGGGATTGAACTCACGACTGCCTGCTTGCAAGGCAGGCGCTTATGCCGTTGAGCTAAATCCGCAGCCCCGCCCCGCCCCCCACTTGTTCCTTCTGTCATGCTATAGAACAGTGACAAGGGGCCGATTGGGCTCTGCCAGTGCCTTGGTTTGGGGCCTGCTCCTTTCCGGGATGTGGAACGAGGGTGCCTGTCCTTTATGTCACCAGTGTGCGGCTTTTTGTTGTAACTACCAGGACAGACTAAGCCATGTGTGAACACGTGGGGGCGGAACCAACCACTTAAGTTAGAAGATTGTCACCTAAAAGATAAGGCTTCCTCTCTTTATAAATTGTTCTTAAAATAATTTTTAAATATCTAAACAAGGTCCATGTGCCAAATGAAATATCACAAGAGTGGCTGGCTGGCTTTCTCAAGAATGATTTTATTTCTTTGTGAAGTGTGATTTGCTTGAGGGAAGTAGCCAGTTTCACAAAAGTTAAAAGTTGTCCTTAATTGTGGAGTAAGAACAGAAATGATTAAAATTAGTCGGCCACAGGAAGCATGTGGAGATTTAAAAAAAGACACAAATATGAAAGAATACAAGTGGAGAAGTGGGGTAGGAATTATACAGAAGTACTTTTTATACTAACCTATCTTTAGTCCACGTAATCACTTGTTTAGAGATTACCAGAACCTGCCCCAGAGACTGGGCAGGCCACGGGGGCCTATATGAGTAATTACTTAAGGGGAGTCCAACAGATGTTAGACAGATGTTATTTTCCTTGCGCCTCTCTAATAAAGACAGGCACTATCACATAAACAAAAGACTTATTAGAAATACAAAGTATCAGTGCAACCCTAATGCAATGGCTTGCAATCTTTAACAGTTACAGTTGTTGCAAGGATATAGCATTGTTGAAAGTGTCAGTTGGTTATGTGATCATTGATTCTTTTCCCCCAAAGTGTAGCTTTCACTATTTGGGGACAATGAGTTTATAGTCAGCTCCATTAACATTGCAAGCCATAATTTTATGAAACATTTCTCTTTAGGAACGGAGCTGGGGCCCCGAGCTTCCTGTAGAATTGGGCTACCATCCGTCTCCTCCCCGCTGATGCACCCAGAATCAAGGCCTCGAGCTTTTGCTCCTTTTAGGCCAGCCCCGGGGCTGTGCCACTGGGCTTCACAGTTCTAGTGAGAGCAGGTTTGGTTTTTAGGGCTAAGACTTGGCTCTCGGGGTAGGTGTGGAGAAAGCCCACTATGAGAGGAGCGTGCTGGGCACTGGGTAGCTAGGAATGTAGCCCTGGGAGACCATGAGTGTTATTGTTATGTGACTTGTAGTGATTTTCACATGACTGAATTCGACTGTACTTTGGTGCAGATGGCAAGGGGACAAGGGAGGGGACGAGGGGACAAGGGAATGGGCGTAGGGAGATGCAGGCCAGTGCAGACCACACCTGCTGTACCCTCCACAGTGAGACAGATGCCCTATGCACCAGGTGTCACACGCAGTGATTGTAGACTACGACTGCAGCCTGCTCTTACTGTGACTCAGCAGACATGTAAGTTTTTTCATGTAACTGTTAAGGTTAGATCTGTGCTATTTTGTAAAATGAGATAAACAGCTTTGTTCCTTATGCACATGAACTACCTCATGGTCATTAGATGTGGCCTGGGATAGTTTCTCTCCATTCATCGTGACTCCAGCAAGCCCAGAGGTTGGACATCCATGCTTTAGAGCCATGTTTAGTGATTACAGTTTTAAAAATCCAGGCCATTAAAAAATAGCTAATAGAACCACCAACTGGGCAAGAAAGTGGGACTTCTTCTGCTGGAGACTGAGAAAGGAGGAGGAGGAAATCGGTGCACAGCCAGACCTCGAGTCTGCAGCACACGAGGCTCGGGAGACTGTGGCCGTGCTGTGCAGGGGGCTGCTGATTGCGCCTCAGTTCAGCTCACTGCCTTACGTCCACATGTCTGTCTCTCTCTTTCTGGTACTGGGGAATATAATCAAGGTCTTTGCACTGACCTACATTTCAGAACTTTAAAGTAATTAGAAAATAATTTTTTGAGATAGGGTCTAACTTTCTAAAGTGAGTGAGCCTGAATTTGCATCCTCCTGCCTCAGCCTCCCAGTTTGCCGGGATTACAGGCTTGTGCCACCACACCCAGCTCTTTGACATTTACTGTTTTGTTCAGTCTGTGCTGGAGTTAGAGGGTGATGGTGTAGATAAAAGCGGATATGAAGATGGGCTCCGTGGAGGAGCCAAACTGGATGGATGCTTTCACTCTGCTGGCTGAGTCCTGGCATCCCAATGAAAATTCTCTCTAGGCTGGCCGCCTCGCCTCCGCTTCCGGGGTTGCTCATCACTCAGCAGAAGCTAGAGGGCCTTTAGAAACGAGAGGCAGATGTTTAAAGCTGGCCACCATTTGGAGATGAGCCGGTCGGTGTCTCAGGCCTTCGGGCTCTGTTTCTCAGGTGTGGATCCATTGCCAGACCAAGTCCTAAGTGAGAGAATCCCCTCACGGGACCCCAGGGCTCCTTCCCTCAGGCAATGCTTGTGATGGGCTGTACTTGGTAATTGCGTCAGTCATCCTGGGAGACCAAATGAGAGCATTTCCAAAGAAGAGACTTGGATGATTTTCCTCCTTTCCAGAGAAAGAGCTAACATGCACTTTGGTGCTGGAAACTGCTCCCCAGTCATCGCCCTAGGCTGGGACTGAGCCCCATATGGTGTCCCAGGGGAGCTAAGCTCAGGGCTCCCCCTTCCATAGCCACCCTTGTCACGTGCCCGGCGATGTGCTCCGTGGGCCAGTGGCCTTCACTCCGGGGTTGTTGTTCTTGGTGGGGACAGCACTCAGTGTGGCCCTGCCGACCCGGTGACCCCACACTGGAGGCTCCCTGGGCACAGAGGCGAGGGGCTGCGTGCGGGCCGGTAGGATGGGCTCATACAGCACTGCCCTCCACGCTAGACCCCCATATCTGGAATTCTATGTGGAAGCCTTTAACTGCCTGGGTTGAGCGTGCTGGTACGGACTTGGGGCCTCCCAGAGCTGGGCCGAGCCTTCTCTTTTTTCTGCACTCCTGTTTCTCAACACAGTCCCGAGCCTTGGGGGGCTGTGGCTTTTACACCCGCAGACAGAGAGGTTGGCCTAAGCAGAGGGCGGCTGTAGTCCTGGACTTGCTCAAGAAGCATTTTCAGCCCTGGCTGAACACAAGGATCGGCTGAGGAAACGGAAACTCCCGAGGCTCGGGCCACACTGCAAACCAGTAAACCCCAGGGCCTGGGATGTGGGTCTTTCCCCTGGGCGGCCGCGGCTGGGAGTCACACGCAGGTGGCCACAGGGATGAGCCCAGCTCGCTGGCCAGTTGCTCTGTTCTTGCTAATGCCGTGCATTTGCGCTGAACCCAGAACCCATGTCCTGGTCTCTCAGGCTCTGCTCGTACTCCGAGCCCCCCTGGCACACCCCTCTTTTTAGCCATCACTTGCTCAAATCTGTGTCTGTGCCCTGGACTCCCAGGCTCTGAGCAGCTTTTCAATTTACAGTGATGTTTAAGTCTTCATGACTTAAAATTCTCACCCCATACTTAGTTGATAATGGACAGTGGAGTCTACATGTGGTGTTTTTTTTTTCGGTCCACTCTTAATTTCTGGAAGATGCTGTGGGTGTTTTCATAGGCCAGTGACGTCCCCGAAAGACCTGTTATCTGACATGGAAATGTTTCAGGGGCTCTGGGTAACTATTTCTTACTTAAATGTAAGTTTGTGAATTGTTGCTCTGTTTTAAATTTTGGACCTCTGCCTTCTAACACAGTGGGTTTGAACTACATATGGGCCACAATGTCCTTCGAAAATCTGGTATGAGTTGCAGATTCCCTGCCCAGAGAGGCTGCTGTGGGGACACCAGCAGGCCTCCAGGGCTCTGAAGCCCACACTGGACTCGGGCCGTCTGGCCTCCATCTTTGTTCTCAGCTGACAAAAGTTGTAAGGAGAGGAATTTTTTAAATGGAGGAGGGGGAAGTGGCAGGAAGTCTGGGAGGGATTTTTCTTGGGACTGTAGTGAAGTGGGGTCCTCTGGCATCGGCCAGGGGGATGCGGCCAGACCACGGGTAGGCGGCCCCTTGACTTTCTTGCTCTCCTGGTGCAGCCCTGGCGAGGCACCAATGGGACGCTGGAGGTGGAACAGGCAAGGCCAGTGAGTGGCCTAAGTGACCACTAGATGTCACTGCAGCGCCACCTAGAGTAGTTCCTGGTTGGGCGTTCAAGTGCCCAGCTGTGGGGCAGCAGGAAAGCTGTGGTGATTTTCGGGAGGGCTGTGATCAGGCCAAATGTCGGCAGTTTATCTTACGCATTTTTTTTTCCCATACAAGGAAGAAACACAGGAGGGCGGAGATGCACTCATTATAAATAAATAACAGTAATAAAAAGTTTAAAGAGTGAGCCCGGCGGAGTCCGGAGGGCTCAGGCCTGCCTCTCGTGCTCCCATTTCCCCTTGGAAACCTCACTGAGTCCTGGAGATTCTGCAGTTGCCCGGCGTGGGCCCTATTATCTTGATTAAGGTCATATTTGTCCCCAGGAGAAGGAGTGTCATCGGGGTGGGCATTTCAGCTTCCTAAAACAGCAAGTTTTAGAGTATTATCACGTAACTCACTTTACTGATACCTTCAAAGTCAACCATGATGCCTTTTCCCGTAAAAATTTGGGTCACACTCGTTTAACATTAGAGCACTTTTCTTGAATTTTATATATATATATTTTATTAATGCAGTTCACTGGTACATTTTAGGTTTACCATACTGATCACATCACCATAGGGACTTTGTACCTGTAAGTGACATAACTTGGCTCTTTGTTTTCCCGTGCCCTGACCCTCACAATGCCTATTACACATTTTGATCCTTATTTACACTTTCAGTTTCTCACACTAGAGACACAATGTGGTATTTACACGTGTGTCTGATGTATTTCACTGAAGAGTATGGTCTCAAGGTGCATCCATTTAGCAGAAATGTTGAATGAGGTATATTTTACGTCTTCTCATTTTCTTGCAATCTAGCCAAGCCCGTCACCACAATAGGCAGTAGATCACTTTTTTGTGACCACGTGGGATATAAGTCACGTATTTTGGCAAAAAAGAATGTATCATAAATCCGTCTTCGTTGGTTGGAAAGCCAATCGGTGTCAGGATATCCTTCAACCTTAAGTACATTAGCACTGCAATTTATTATTAAGAATGAGTCAGATGTGCAGAGTTTAGCTCCAGGGTACTGCAGTTATGAATAATTCAAAGATCTAGAAGGCCAGCTGATTCTGTTTGGGAGTATTTGACAGCTGAATATGAAGCTCTTTCATTTCATCCTGTCTTTTGATTCCTATGGTTTGAAAAATACCCTGGGAAGTAAATAAGCTTAGCAGGAAAGTAAGCCTGCTCCATTTTTATGAGGCTGTTGGCCTGGATATGGCGTTTCTGACACCACCTAAGTCAGGAGAATGTGTCCCCAGAGAGGAAGTGGCTTGGCGTGGTTTTAAAGGCTTCCCTGATGAGCCTCACCCAGGGAAGTCCTGTTGGCTTGGGGAGATGAGCTGTGGGTGGGAAGGGGGTGGAAAGGAAGAACACAGGGCAGACCTTTACTGCTTAACGGGGTGACTGAACTGACCCCTCCAGGGCAGCACTCACTCCAAACACTGCTGCCCCAGCAGCCGCAGTGGGGCTCCCGGGGTGCTCGAGGGGCGGTGGAGCCCAGCTTCTTCAAATTCTGGTTGTTTGTCCCTCCAGGTCCACAGCTTTAAGGGCTACTGGGAAAAGCTGAACTCCAACCTCGAGTACGTCAAGTATGCCAGGCGACCCTTGTACTACAGCAACCGTGTGCTCTGGAGGGAGTGGTGCAACCTGACCTCCGAGGAGGTGCGTGGGTCAGGAGGACAAGGAGACCGCGGAGGCCTCGCGGGCTAGGGGCCCTCTGAGGACCTGAGTTCAGCGAGGTCAGAGGACACAGCGAGGTCAGGGTGGGAGCGTGAGTGTTGTCCATTCTCAGAGGTGTTCTCGGTCACCTGAATAGTTAAACTCTGTTATAAAAAAAAATCTAGGTGTTTCCAAATTCCAAATGAGCGGCTGCTGGAGGGGAGCAGGAGTGATACGACTGACATAAGGGGGTGGCCTGGGGAGATTAGTAGAGGGCGGCAAGTGTCCTGGCTGTGAGGTATGAAGCTACACAGGTGAAAAAATGACACAGCACCACACACACACACACACACACACACACACACACACACACACTCTGTGCCAGTGTCAGTTTCCGGGCTGGGTTCTTTACTCCAGCCCTGTAAGGTGTGTGCACTGGCAGAGGCAGATGCACGTCTTCAGGTTATTGCAGAGAGCGTATGTGATTGTGTGTAGTTGACTCCTAACTTTTGCGAGTCTGTTCTTGGTTAGCATAAAGTGTGACTTTGTTTTGTAAAAACATCTGGGTGTCCCGATGACCTGGGAAGTATATTTCATCCTCCCGAAGCTCTCAGCTCTATTGTATTGTGTCCTCGATGTTTAAATAGCCACCCATGAAACCCTCACTCTGTTCCCCGCCCTGACTTGTTCTCTTCCTAGGAAATGGGCAAAAGAAGGTCCGTGGCGTACGTGAGGAACATTCTCGATAACGCGGCCAGGTAAGTAGAGGGAAGGGTTCTTGTGTCTGTGATATGGTTTTCTTTGACCTTGTTGCCTTCTTTTTGTGGAAATTGCTTCCTTTTGCTGCATATTCTCAGCAAAATGGTGCTGAGTCCTCAGAGCAGCCCTTTGGGCTGGTTCTGGGTCCGGCTGCTGGTGATGGGAAAATCTCCTGGGTTAAGTCTTAGAGACTCGAGGGTGGGTGATCTCTGCGGGATAACCGAGTCTTTCTGAGGACAAAGGCAGACAGTAGATTGCTGAAAACCAAGCTGTCGGTGGGCTGGCGAGCTTGCTTTTATTTTGAAAGCATATTTTGGGGCGGATGCATCACCTTAGGTGCCAACTGTACAGTTGGCGCCTCTGTTCTGTTTCCTGCCCTCGTTATTTCCAGTAACTGAGAGTGTGCTTGTTCTAAATTACTGCCTTTGTTGGCGCTAATGGGTTTTTATGATCGCCTAATGTGGCTTTTGCTACATTAATTAAAGTTTTTGAGGTTTCCAGTAGCCCGAGAACAGTTTCGTGGTGGTTTTATGTTTTAGCTTTTTTTTTTTTTTAGGATATCTTTGTGCAGTGTTGTAGCTTTACTTAAAACACAAAAACCCCAGTGCTGCCTGCATGAGTAACATGTCTGATTTCTTCTAGGGTGATTTCTAGAGTAGAAGCGAGGCGCCCAGGTAAGGGAAGAGCTGTCGCAAAGCCTCCGGGCTTCAGTGTTGTGTTGGTGGCACTGACCTCCCTGCTGCTCTGGGTTGGCTGGGAAATCGCTTCCAGCAGTGGAGTGAAGGCAGTGCCCTTTACTGTTGCCTTGTTCTGGTGACCGCAGAGCCATTTCCACGACCGTTTTGGCACCAGCACCTTTGGGGACAGCTGCTGAGTGTGCTCAGTCCCTGGGAGCTGGCCTGCTGGCTTTCAGGGCTGGTCCTCTCGAGGCTGATGTGATTCCCATGCCCCTGGCTGTGCCCGCACGGCGCCCTTCGGCAGTTCCCTTGGCACTGGCTGCAGTCTCCAGCTGTCTGATCGCACAGGCCCTCCTGATTCTTGTTTTTGGTTGACACTTGGCTTGCACTGGGCCAGGTCCCCGGGGTCGGAAATGAGGAGGGCCGTTCCAGAGGAAGAACTGGGCCCAGGAGCTGAGAGAAGCGGACTCCGGTCCAGAGCTGTGGTGTCCTGGACAGTTAGCTCCTGGGCCAACCAGTTGCCCTTTGGGCCCTGTCCTTCCAGGGACTAGAGTGTGACAAAGAGGGCCATGGAGGCATGCAGGAGCTGCTCGCACAGCATGTGTGTGTGGGGTGCCGGGGAAGTGGCTGCCTTCTCCTTAGCCCATTGCTGTATGTAATGGAAACCCTTTTAGCTAGTGTGCAAACTTCACAGCTCTCCGGTCCTGCGACAGTGACCCTGTCCCTGGGGACCTGGCCCCGCCTGGGTTAGCAGGTGTCCATGCCCCAAGCCGGGGCACTGCCCACCAGCCAGGGTGGCTCCAGTGCTCCCCCTTGTGCTTGTCGAGAGATCTGCAGTCCAGCAGAGGTTTCAGTTGTGTCCACCCCTTGTCCCCTGCCTAGGCTGCTCCTCCTGCCTTCTGCCTGTCACTCCCCAGTCTGTGTGCTCTGGGAGACTTCCTCTTCCTCCCTCCTGCCTCTGAGAGAGGAAGAGCCAAGCAGAGGGGGGGGTGCAGGGTAGGTTTTCCAGATTCTGTTGCCCTCTGGTCTGGTCAGGGCAGTGCTGGTCTTGGTGTAGAAAGTGCTGTTTGGCCTTCAAAGTGTCTTTCCACCTTCACCCCACCACTGTTTCAGCCTGGTAACTTAGCCAGTTGGTGTTATTCACCCTCCTCCCTCAGCTCAGGGACCCCCAAAGTCCATGAACCTGAGGCTCAGGAAGCAGAAGAGAGCCGAGGAATGTCCATCCCACAAGCCCCACTGGACCTTGGGTGCCGTGGGCTGAGAGCGGCCCCAAGGCCCTGTGTCCTGGGGAGCAGACGTTCTTGGTGGCGAGTTTCCATGTTGAGAAGTCAAGGCCAGAACCCACTGGTGCCGGGAAATGGGTTCCTCACTTTTGTTTTCTGTCTTTCTTGGTCTTTTCCTTTCTGCCTGACAGCTCTGTCTGTGTCACCCACACTGGGCTTGTAGATCTGGATCATGCTGAGCCACTGGGACCTTTTCACCATATCGTGGGAAGTGTACGTTTTCTCAGTGACTTACAGAAGTGAAGCCTCTTGCTTCTGCTCCCTCTATGGAAACCGCCCTGTGTGATGACCATTCTGTTTGATTTCAGAGCCAAGGTTGAGGCCCCTCCTGCAGGAGGAGGACACCCCCCAGCGGCTGCTGACTGGGCTGGTAAGGGTCAGTGTGCCCTTTGGTGCCGGGCAGGGGAAAGGCCAGCTTGCATTTCTCATCCTGACCCAATTTTCCACTCAATTCTTTCAACAAATAGTTGTCGCCTGCACTGTGGACCTTAGCTCAGTGGTCAGCAGTACATATATGCTGTTTGCCCTCCTGGATCGTGTGGTTAATGAGGAGATGCTTTAATTAGTCACAGCAGTAAATATGTAATCACAAGTGGTGATAACCAACGCATGACCTTGAAAGTGCTTTTTTAAAAAGCAATGTTTTTGTGGCACTTGTATTTGGGGATCAAAATCCAACACAGTATTCTATCTGAAGGAAGGCCAAATGCTAGGGTGACCAGAGAACTAGAAATCAAGGTAAATGCATTGAAGAACAGACTTGGTAAATAAATCTAAAGATTTTTAAAGAAGCACAATTGAAGAGATAATCTTGAAAGTCAAATAAAATGTTTTTAAAGCCATATAGATCTATGAATGGGTTAACCTGTACTTGAGCTATGACAGATTTAAAAATACCATTTGAGAAAATATGTATAATTCCACATTTATAACCTTGACAATTCTAGTTAAACAAAGGATTTTCTTGGCAAATAGAGATTATGAAACTTGATCCAAGAGGAAATGGAGAAGTTGAAAGCACAATAAATGTCAAATATCTCTACAGAAGGCTTCCAGTTTATTCTTTCAAATTTTCAAGGACTAGCTTACGCCTGTTGTGCATAAAGTATCCTTTGAAAGAAGGCAGAGTGCTTCTTAGTCATTATAGAGAGTCCATGTAACTAGAGAACCACAATCTGGCCGCGGTGGCTCACGGGTCTAGATTCCCCAACTTTAACTAAAATTCTCTTGGTCTCTTAAAGACACAACACGGTCAAGTTAGATTCTTTTCCAGGAAACGTAGTAGTGAAATTTGTATTTCAAGATCAAAGAAGAAACAAAGGTCACTTTTCTAGAAAATGAAAGAGGTCAAAAGTCAAATTCCACTTCTGAAATATACTTTGTAGTAAAGTAATCTCACAGCTATAGGCAACATCTTTTAATGGAATGCTGAAGGTTATTTTCACTATCGTTTTGTGTTGTTCTGAAAATGGTAGCCAGTGCCATAAGAAACCAAACCAGAGGAAGATGTGATTGTCTTTTACAGCAGAGGCTGACCAACTGAGAAAATGGGAATAAAGAGCAAGTTGTGGGGCTGGGGATTTAGCTCAGCGGCATAAGCGCCTGCCTTGTAAGCAGGCGGTCATGAGTTCGATCCCCGGTACTGATGATTAAAAAAAAGAGCAAGTTGTTTTTTTCTATTATGAGTGAGCAGAAAAGCAAATGAAGTACAATATTAGTGTCTAGTTTTAATAAAATTACAACCCAAAAGGTGAGGAAGTAACTTGCTCTGACAACTAACTTTACTTGAAAAATTAAGAGACGCAGAATTGACATTACCAGATATCTAAATATGTGCTTGTATATAATAAGAAGCAATATGTCTATGAAGATAAGCAGTTAATGGAGTTTAGTTGAAATTGAATATTTAGTGTATAATAAATAAGATATTTAAAAATTGATGTGGAAAGAAAGCTTCAATATATCACTTGGTTAATGTTTAATTATTTGGAAAAGAAATTTAGATTTTTTTATACAATAAACCAATAGAAATAACTATTAAGGAGTTTAACATAGAACCAAGCCTGTAATTCCACCTTCAGGTGGCTGAGGCAGGAGGATTGTTGGTTTAAGGAGTTTACTAGTAAAAAATTAATCTGTGTGAAGGAATATGAACCGAAGGAGTGGATAGTTAAATAATACTGAAATAAGACCTCTACGAGATATTATTGAATATGGGCAAATAGGAAAAGGTGATTGAATAACAAAAAACAAACAGAAAAAAGCAAACAATAAATTTGGAACAAAATTGCACCAAATGTGTCAAATGATTGGCATTTGGTATATAAAGTTTATAAATCAATAGGAAAATAATACAGCACAAGGGAAACAGAGAGAAAGGCTTGATCCATCCGTTTTCAAATGTGAACGATTGAATAGTCCAGAGTGGAAGAGAACAGAAACATCCTGTGTAACCATCATCCATGACAGACAGCACAGGTGCTTAAAGACTTTCAAACTGGCAAAGATTTAAAAAGCACATAGCAAAGTTCAGGGTCCAGGGAATCAGAGAGCCCCATGAAATGCCCTGGAAATGAGTGTAAGTCCAGGGCCTTGCAAACCTTATTTGTGCAACCCAGCCAATTCCATTTCAGGAAACAGCCTGACCAAATAATTGGGGAGATGACAAACATCCTCTACATATTTGTGTGGTGTTTCTAACAATGACAAAGGAAATATCCTCTAGGTACCCAAAGGAAAAACTTAATTGTAGTGCTCATCAAATTAATACGAAACAGTCATTAGAACTGGTGTGGTTATGCATTTAATGACATAAAGTAACCATGACACGAAAAAAAGCAGCTTGCAAAACATTCGAATGTGAGTGCATCCCAGAAAAAGGGGAGAAAACCCTCAAATGTTTGGGAGGGTGGTAGGATTATGATTTGAATTTTCATCTTTACGGTTATGTAGAAAGGTTGAAAAGCAGGAGAGGTAAACCGTCTGGCTTAAACAGAAGAAGCTGACTTTTAAAAAGCCAACTGGTGCACGCAGGAAACTGCACTGAGTCTCGACCTGAAAGCCAGGGAGCACAGGCAGGGACAGAAGGCACGGTGTGTGGGGTGGCAGTGAGAGGGGTCTCGCGCTGTCTGTTGGTGCAGAGATCTCTCCATCAGGAGGGTCTCATGCTGAGCAGGGCATCTAGGCCCAGAGGGAGGAGACGAGGTGGCAGATGAGGAGGCGGAGGAGGAGGAAGGACCGCAGAGCAAGGGTAGGAGGCAAGGAATGCTGGCCGCTGACTGGGGAGGCCCAAGGAGGAGGGGCAGCGGCTGATGTAGACAGCAGCGCATTTGGAGGCACGGGGAGGCAGCGCTCTCCTCTGGCAGATCCCAAAGCCTTTAACTTCCAAGTGGGTGGCCCCTTTGCGGGGTTCTCACCGGGACCTGGCGCCTCTGGGCTGCTCCCCGGGCTTTGGGCAAATCCTATGCAGCTCCTCTTAAGGAAATGTTGTGGTCCCCTGTTTGTCTCACTGGAGCAGAGTTGGCCTCTCTGCTCATGGGCTCTTAAGAGCTGATATTTTTCACGTTGATAAGTATATTAATAAAAGGCTCTAATTCAAGTCAAGTGCAAGTGGAAGCAGGTTGTGACTTACCTAACCTGTGTCCTGTTTCAGATGGTGTCTGAGCTAAAGGACCATCTCCTGAGACACCTGCAAGGTGTAGAGAAAAAGAAAATTGAACAGATGGTTGTGGACTACACCTCCAAACTGGTTGGTTTTGCTTTTGCTCCACCCCCAATCGCCTTCTCCCCCTGTGTATAATTCTCAGAATGTGTGTATTTCAGGGAGACCATTGTGTGTTTTTCAATTAGGTTTTTTGGAGAGCTACCATCCTCAAGCCATCCTTGGTGCCATAGACTGAGGAAAGGGGAAATACCAATGAACAGAAAAATTGGCTATAAAAGTGGCTTATAGGCCCCGTTTCAGTAGTGATTTTTATCCTCAGGGAGACAGACATAATGAACTTGGGCTGGTTGCCAAATGTTTGACATCTCATCTTGGCATCGCCTAGCTCCTCCAGAAGGAGAGGACAATGGTCTTTATGCACAGAGGTCTATGCAGACGTGAGAGAACTTGAACTTGAGTTGGTACCAAGGAGAGAGTGCGCATCACCTAGAAGCCACGTGATGCACATCAATCACATCAGTGCCTGTGTCAGCAGGAATGATGTGCTGAGAACTAAGGCTGTCCTGAATCTTACTTAAAAGCATAGAAAGATGAGGCCTGATCCTTTGTAGAACCCAGAAATAATATGCGTGACAAATTGAAGACAAAGATTTATACAAAGAAGGCCCCACCATTTCTCCAAGTTTAGCTAAGACCAGGAAGCACGTGAACCAGTGAGGGAATGTGTATTTCTTCGGGAGATTAGGTTTCTTAGATAGGATTCTGATTTAATCTCTCTCAAGCTTAAAGTCTTCTGCTGCTCTTACAGTCATGGGTGTTTGGTTTTGGACCACCTATTTGATTTCCATAGAAAGACTTGTTCATAGTGTGTACTGTATTAGGAGATTTATGGCAGGCCGTGGAACCTCCCTGATCCTCCTCCTCCTCCATAGCACGGTAACAAGGTCTCACTTCTTGACCGTGTTCCTGAGCTGCCTTGTAGATACGCGCTTGACCCTCAGTGTTCATATTATACACTCATTTAACACATCTGCCTCTTTTCTGTTGATTTTAAATTTCACCTTCCAGAGTGTGAGGAAGCATTTTCATTCAACAGCATTGTTCTCTGTAGTTTTTGTTTTGTTGTTTTGGGGTTTTTTGGTGGTACGAGGGACTGACCCAAGTCCTCCACACTGAGCTACCTCCCCAACTCTTTTAAAGGTCTGAGACAGGGTCTTGCTAAGTCTCTAACTTGGCCAGGCTGGGCTTAAACTTGTGATCCCTCTACTTCGGCCCTCAGAGTTCCTGACTTCATAAACCTTTCAGTACTACTGTGTTAACAGCCCTGCAGTTAGTTGGGAACACAAATAATGCAAATAACACACATAGAACCCATCATCCCGAATGGAGGACAAACCCCCTGCCCTTATCCGGCAACACGCCCCAGTCCCTGAGGGTGGCCGGGAAGTCTTTCTGAAATGTGCCCAAGGAGGAAGCTGCAAGTCATGGAGGCTGGTGTTCGCCTGCGCAATGGGGATCCCCTTCTGCTCTGCCCTGGGCTTAGCCTCTAGGTGCCACTCATGGCCTGTGGCCCCGTGGGGATTGCTGTGTTGCTGGGAGGTCATTGTGAAATTCGGTTGAGTTTTCGGTGAATCTCAGAGAAAGAAAGCTTCCTACCTGTTCCAGTCAGGGTGCTGATCAGTTCCCTCAGACGCCTGTTCAAGACTTTCTCCCCATCTCACAGCTGAGGACACTGAGATTTGGGAGGGATCAGTGACTTTTGAGGGCCAACACCACTGCATGCATGGCGCATGTTCATGGGCTCCCGTGCATGCCAGGCTCTCCCCTCTGTCTGCTCTTGGCCCTCAAGTCCTGGCAAGCCTGGCGCTGACCTCCCAAGGGGCAAGGGCCTCAGAGGGAAGGTGGGGTGAGCTGGCAGGCTGGGGAGCCCCGCGGGGGCGCTGGCCGGGTAGACAGAGTGCGCTCTGTTAGGCTCCAGGCACATTTCCCATCTTGCCACTCCAGACTCCAGTGCCTTAGGGGACCTCAGGGAGGCCGGTTGTGTTCTGGACACAGCCAGCCGCTGACAGCTAGAGGGCCTTTTTGGGGAGCGTCTGGCCAGCGGTAGACAGGCTGTCTTTCCCTCCAGCTGGACCTCATTTGCTGCATACTGGAAGCCAGCTGTAGGAAGCACAATCTCGACGCTTGGCCTCTCCAGCTGTACGCAAGTATTTCTCACTGTGCTTTATTGTGGGGTCCAGAGCCAGCAGCCCTGTTCTAGCGAAGCCCCCAGAACCTCCTACTTCAAAATGACTCTCACTATCGGCAGGCAGCACTGACTGTCTTAATGTCCCTGTTTCAGTTCTTTTGACTTGTATACAAACATGCAGCCACCCTCTGTCCCCAGCACAGGGTGACAGGATGCAGGGTCCTCAGAGCCCAGAACTGCCCTGCAGGAGAATGTCAGTTAATAGTTTCCAGCTTCAAGGCTCCTGTCTGAAGTTCTGGCCTCAGGCCGATGGTCACTGTCATATTTAGGAGGCTTTCTTTCCCTGGGGCACGGCATTTCATGATGGGTGTGGATCCCCGTATGTGGTACTGCCGATGCCCTGCTCCAGACAAATGACTGACACTTTGCTGCTTCCTTGTTTACCCCAGCGATGGGCGTGGCAGTGCTGCCGAATTTGCAGTCTTTCACATCATGACTAGGATTTTGGGAGCCACTAGCAGTTTGTTCTTACCTCTGCCTCCTGGTAAGTCTCGACTCTCTCGCCCTCTGTGTGTGAATTTGTTCTCCTGTTCCACATGGATGCAGGTGCCAGCACATGTGAACTGCACCGTGGGCCCCATGGGCGGCCTCAGGGTTGGTCCCCACGGCCTCATCTGCCCCGACGGCTGCTCTGTGCTGAAGTTCATGACTGTGACCTTCAGACTCCTGGACCGGTCCCCTATTGGCAAAGTCATAGCCGCGGGGCTGGTCAGTCAAGGTGTCTGAAGGTGAATGCTTCACAGGCAGTGGGTCCAGTTTGCACCAGGACCTGAGCTCATTCTCAAGCGCTTGGAAGCTAAAAATCTCCCGTAGGGTTCTGAGACACAACCAAGGCGGTCCTCAACACTCAGCACACCCGCATGGCCACTGACTGCTGGCTGTTTGCTCATTCTGTGAATGTTAGTGGAGTGACTGGTTCATGGGCTAGAAAGCAGTGTCACAAAGATTCCTGAGAGTTTAGTTCAAGAAGTGTGGCTATAAATCAGTGTCCGTGATAAGAGGTGAATGAGCTCCTGCTGGCGGTCAGCCATCTGCTTTGCACTTGTGAGTCTATTATTTCATAGCAAGAGCTCCCAACCTGAGGCCTGTCCTCTTAACAGGTCTTTAAAAGCACAATACATTGTAAATGATAGGCACGGGTGCTGTGCAGTAGATCTCTAGAACTCCTTCATCTTGTAGACCTAAAGCTTTTCATGCTCGCTGACTAGCAAATCCCCCCACTTTCGTCCTCTCCCCAGTCCTTGGCAATCTCTCTCCATTCAGTTTCTGAGTTTGACTACTTTAGAGACTTTGTATAAATAGGTGGAAATCATGCAGTACTTGCCTTTCTGGGACTGACTGACTTCAACCAGCATAATGCCCCCCAGATTCGCCCCTGGTGTTGCTGATGGCAGAATTTCCTTTTTTAGGCTAATATTCCTTTGCATGTATATTCTCTCTTTTCTTTATGTACTCGTCTGTCGTGGGCATTTATGTTGCTTCTATATCTTGGCTGATGTGAATAATGTTGTGATGAACATAGAGTGCATAGAGCTCTTTAAAATCCCCGTTTCAATTTTTTTGACTTGTATACTCAAAGTGGAATTATTGCATAATATGGTAATTGTATTTTTTATATTTTTTGATGAATTTTATACTATTTTTCATAGTGGCCACACCGTTTTATATTCCCACCAATGGCATACAAGGGTTCCAATTTTTTTCACATTCTTACCAAAACTTTTTGCTGGAGCTTCTCTGAGATGTGTGAAGTAACCACATTGTAGTTATGATTAGCATTTGCCTGAGGATTAGTGATACTGAGCATCTTTTCATGTACTTATTGGCCATTTATTATATTCCTTGGAAAAATATCTCTTCAAGTCCTCCTATTTTTAACTGGATTGTTTCCTTGCTAGAGTTTCTTTTAAAAATATGTGTGTTCTAGATACTCACCACTTATCAGAGGTGTGTGACAATATTTTCTCCCGTTCTGTGGACACCTTCCCACTCTTGATTATTTCCCTGCTGTGCTTTAGCTTGGCGTGGTACACTCGCATGGTTCTGCTTTTGTTACTCATACTTTTAATGTAACATTCAAGAAAACATTGCCGAAAGCAGTGCCATGAACATCCTCTCTTATGTTTTCTTTTGGGGATTTTATGGTTTCAGGCCTTACATTTAGGTTTTTAATCCATTTGAGTTGATTTTCGTGTATGGTCAAGATAAACATCCCAGTTCATTAATTTCCAAGTGTATATCTAGTTTTCTCGGAGCCATTTTTCAGAGAATTGGTCCTTTCCCCTTTGTGCATTCTTGACCCCCTCAATGAACATTGGTTCCTGGTATTTCTGTGATTTATTATTCTATATAAATTCTAATGAATATTGAACTTTTTGTCATCTCTCACTAATAATAGATGTAATCTCTGTTTTTGTAGTAGTTACTCGGAGATATATGGACTAATACCTCATCAAAGTCCCCTTTATGAGGGGAATTCTTTTATTTTTCATATTTATTTTTCATGATGTGTGATTTTGTTTTTAATTATCTTAACTTTTATGGTTACAAAATTTACAAATTTGTGATTCTTCACTTTCATCCTTCCATTAAGGAGTTGGCAAAAGGCACCACTACCAATCACACATACAATGGTAGTTTTGTGGTTCTGAAGAGCTGTTTAAAAACAATCCTGTATCATAACTAGTTGACTTAGTAAAGAATTCGGATGTAAAGCCTAACTTGTGTTGTCTCATGCTGACTTTTAAAGGGATCTGAATTTACAGATCAACTTTAGAATGTGAGAAGTGTTAAAGAGTCTTTATTTGGTGTTATGCATACCCCACTGTAAGATGTCTTTCAGTAAGTGAAAGGCAGCCTTTTAGGTACAGGAATTCTAACTAAATTGGCACAGTTATAACTTAAAAATATAAAATAGACACTGCTTCTTTACCATCAGCTATTGCCTTTGACAGGCTAATGAACACAAATTAAAACACAGGTGGCTTGTTTAGCTCTGAGACAAAAAGGATTCCCCATATACTAGAACATAGTCACATGACAGTTATAGAAACCTAGAGGTACAGCCACTCTCTGACAGGTTTGAGATGTCATCCTGTCCCCATCTTTGTGAAAACATGAACGTTACCAATCAAGCCCAACCATATCTTCAGAAACGGAGAGCAGGGTCTAATGAACTGAAATTTCCATCAAACTTTATACAGAGACTATATTCATTTAATTTCAATTTTATTTAAATCAGGACTTCTGGCACAAATATTCTGCCTGTCATTCATTCTCTGAAGTCTGGATGTAAGATTAATTAAGCTGTGGCACACGTAAGAAGCCGTGGGAGGTTTCTGTTTTGTAATAAATTGTGCATCAGTGATTGCTCACTAGTAGCTTCTAAGAGGTTGGGGCTAAGCCTGTCCTTTCTCCATTCTTCACGCCAGCCAAGGTCATCGTGGTGCCAGGCATGTGCTTTGTGGGCTCCTCCTGTCCCCATCGCTGCATCCCCTCCCAGGTGATGCCCCCTCTTATTGGCATCTGTGGGAGAGAATCCAGCAACCAGATCCATCCTCTGTCCATGGAGATCTTGGGCTCTGGCCCAGCCTCCTGCTGGCCTTCCCCATCCCCCGGGTGGCTCTGGACACACTTTGAACAAAAACCTTCTAGCTTTCTTAACAGCACCTGTTTTAAATTCAGTCTTGGGTGGTGAGCATGATGGAGATGGCTGCTTGAAAGCCAGGCACCTGGCTCTGTTGGGAATGGGCGGTTTTAAATGATCCCAACACATAACAGAATAAAGAACCTGCACAGCAAGTGAGATGTCGTCCTGTCCAACACAGTGAAAAGACAACCCACAGCATGGGAAGAATTTTTTGCCAGAGATTCCTGAGACAGAAGACTCATATCTAGAATCTGTAAAGAACTAAAAACAAACAAAATAGATCCCCCAAATAAAAGGGCCAATAAAAAAAAATAAGTGAAATAGCCACTTCTGAGAAGTACAGTTGGCCAATGAATGCGGGAGAAATGCCCAACCTTCCAGTGATCGGAGAAATGTGAGTCAAGACGACCCTGAAATTCCACCGTGGCTTAGAAAGGACGGCCACCATCGAGAACTCAGGCAGGAGCGAACACTGGCACCACTGCGGGAGGGTGTGAGTGGGGGGCAGAGTAGGGCAGCCACCGTGTACATCTACGCGGAGAATCCTCCAAAAACTAAAAATAGAAATTCCGTTTGACCTGGCCATGCTAACTTCCCCAAAGAGTTAAAATCTTCATGTTACAGTGGTCCAGGCATATCCATGTTTATAGTAGCAGTTACCCTGCGAGCCGCCCATGTGACCATTGACAGATGAATGGACAAAGAGAATGTGAAACTGGACAGTGGAGACTGCTTGAGTCATTTGTAGGAAAATGGGTCCACCTCGAGACCGTAATATTAAGGGAAATAAATCAGACACACAAGCTTGACTATCACATGATTTCTCTTATAAGAGAAACGCAAAGTAAACATAAAGAGGGAAATAGTAGATATATAACAGGACGTAGAAAGATCTTTTTCAGAGGGGAAAGGGGATTAAGAGATGGAGAAAAAGGAGCTGGAGCGTGTTATATCCATGCACCAACTTCCAGGCACCCACAGAATGTAAACATTATGTACTACACACACATACTAATAAAAATTTTTTAGAAAGGTCCCAACAAAATAGAAAAAGTGAGGTGCCCCCTAGAAAGAGTGAGGGGTTTTATGAAATGTAGATTTGGCATTCTGGCTTAAATTCACAACTGTTTTCTTTAACACAAAAGACTCGATAGGGGAATGGACTGATTGTTTGTGATTTGATCGCCATGGATGTTAAAAGCCCTTTTTGAAAACAAGTGAACAGACTTCCTGGGGGATATTACTGCGCCTGGGAGATCATGAAATCCTGCTTTCTATGTGAGTCATGATCCTTCATAGGCATAAGGAGGAGAAACAAAAGTGTTGCCTGTAGTGATTGAGAATTATTAGTAGACCTGTCCATGGATCAGGTCAGGGAGGCCAATTTGTCTTCAATGTTTGTTTTACTCGTAGGATGTGGAAGCAGGGGTGGGGGGTGGAGTGACACAGAATCACACGTGCCCATGTCGTGCTTGTCTCCAAGCCACTGGGATTAGTGACAACTGTTTTGAATTCCATGTGTCAGCAACTTGTAACCAGAACTGGCTAAAGACAAGACGGACGGAGGATCACAAGAAGGAAGTGATGGTTAGGAGTGGAGCATTGCTGTTTAGGAGGACTGGGTTTCCTCTTCTTCCAGACAAGGCGAGGGCCCCGAGGACGAGGGCTAAAGTTGGATGGAGCTGAGGCCTTAGTGAAGCCGATTCCCAGATGCTGAGAGCTGGTGGACAGGGAGAGACCAGGCAGAGCCCCTGACTCGGGATAGTGCCCTCAGGACCTTTAGGCCATGCACACGGGGCCGGGGAGGGAATCACGGATCCAGGAAATCAATATCAACAATTTAATATGAACTTTGCTTCAGAAATAATTTTTTAACCTTTTTTTTTAATTTAGGAAAGAATTTCTAAGTCCGTTTCAAAGCGATCCTGTTGTTGATTGGCTAGCAATGTCACAATTTCTGTTCTGGCTCCAGGAGAGCCAGTGCGCTCATCCCACTACCAGGCTGTTGATGTCTGCTGGGGCAGTGGCACACTGCAAGTGACCCTCGAGGTCACTGGGCTCGGCCCATTGCTCATGACTCATATGCCACGACTTCTGAGTGGCCGCTGTACACTGCCAAGTGCATCCCCAAGAGTAGGCCAAGGGTGCCCGTCACCCCCACATCTATCAGGTGCGAGGCTGCCTGCTCACCAGGCCTCCGCTGTGGTGCCCTCAGTCTGAGCCTCCCGTGGCAGATGGCTTCTCCATGCACTCTTGCCTGTTGTCCTGTGAATAGTCCGACAGTAGAACTCAAACCCTCTCTGTCCTGCTCAGAAGCTTTGAATGCTGCCCAGAAGTTCCCTAAATAAACTGCTCGCCGCCTTCAGCATCAGCCGCTGTCACAGACACTGGTACTGCAGAACATTTTTAAACTGTGCATTCGTTTTGTGGTTTTCTGATTGTGTCCTCTTCTGAAAGGCTTAGTTACCTGCTGCCTGCCCGTCAGCGGCCCAGCAGGACTCTGTCCCCTGCTCTGCTGTGCTGAGTCCAGCCCCTCCTGCTGTGTTCACGCAGTGTGTTTCTCACCTGTCTCTACCCCTGGGAACTGCATCTGCTCTTCTACACACACACACACACACACACACACATACACACACACACACACACACACACACACACACACACACCCCAGTGCTGTCATTTCCAAGACCTCTTTTCCGATTCTCTCTGGCCCGCAGTCCTCTTCATGTATCCTGCGTCCATCTCTTGTCACTAGCAGTGTGGTTGGAGCTCTGGGTTTGTGCGTCCTTGGGTGGCCTTTCCCAAGACTTGGGCTGGAGAGAGGGCTTCTACCAAGTTCCTGTGGGTTTGCTAACTGGCCATGTTGTGTATGTTGAAGAACCTAGAGCCTTCCTCCAGCCCTTTTTTTGTTTTTTGAGGCAGGATAAATAGCCTAGGCTGGGCTTGCATTTGCAGTTCTCCTGTCTCAGCCACCGCAGTCCTGGGATTACAGTTGTGTGCCACTGTACTTGGCTGTCGCAGTCACCCTTCTGTTTCTATCATTTGGTCCAAATAAACTACAGAACGCTTCAATTAGGGGGTGACCAGAGATGAGGCGTATAAACTGTTACTTTCTGATGCCCCCTTTTTTCCCTTCAGCAAAATGGTCCCCATCGCTGTAAGCTGTTACCAGGGTTTGTGGAGTTTGAAGCTCTTTTTTCTTTTGCTGTCTTGCTGTAGAATTACAGGTGTATTTCACTGAGCAGGCCTTGCCTTTGGTTTGCCTGGGAAGGGACCCAAGGACAAGGAAATAGACTGGGAACTCACCCAGCGCCAGCATGGTGCTTAGTTTTGATCATGCAAAGAAAGGAACTTGGAACTTGTGCAGGGGAACTTTGATTCCAGCACCTAGCAGTGAACTAGGTGCTTACTAACTGAGTCTGAGTCTCTCTGTGGGCTGCAGGAGATGCCAGCTGATGCCACCCCCCTCTTTTCACTCACCTAGGTTTCCACACCCTGCACACCACCCTCGGGGTGCACTGTCTCCCTTTGCACAGCCTGCTGCATTACATCGACAACGGGGTGTTGCTTCTCACCGAAACGGTGGTCAAAAGGCTCCTGAAGGGTAAGAGGCTCTGCATTTTGCTGGGCAGCAATAGGACTGACATCTGTGTATTCACATGGGCCCGGCTGCCCTTGGAAGGGCCCCACAGGGGGCCTGATGCCCCGCAGAGAACCTGCCGCTCTTCACGTGTGACATGGACCCCCTGGTTCCATTATGCACGGGGCCCCGGAAATGATGCAGCTGGTGCTGCTGAGTGCGGTCCATTTCTGGAACCGTGCTCTGGGCTGGTGGAGAGGACCTGAGCCCTTCCAGTGTCCGGGGGTGGGGTATCTCGGCCCACACAGCTGTGAGAGCACTGGTGGGCTTGTTTCTCAAGAAAGTGTCCCAAAGGCTTGTTTTCAGCCTACTAACTCCATCATCCCAGGGTCAGACTCAAAATGCAAGTAAAGCCAGTGACAGATGCAGCGCTCATGGGCATTGGCCCTTCAGTGAGGTCTGTTGTGTTACCACTCAGGCATTCAGTTACGGTGCATTAACAGATGACGTCTGTTAGCACAGAGATGATAAGCTTTCATCATTCCCAAAGTAGCTGCTGCTTTAAATTAGCCAACAAAGCTACTTGGCAACTGGCAGCATATCACTGAAAAGTCATTTTTTTATTCAGTACCAACTAAAAATTTGTTAGATTAGTCTGAGGATATAAGGTTGGAAAATGCATTACCAGGATCAACCACTCATGTGTTAAAAACTTACAAGGTATTAAAAGGGCATTTGTCTCATTTGCCAGCCCCTAACTTTCCTTTGTTTAAAAATTTTTTTTTAAGTTTTATTAGTGTATGTTTGCAAGTACATAACGATTGTGTTCACTGTGGGGAATTGGTATGCACATAACACATCTCAGCTCTTTCCCCCGCCTTCCCCTCCACCCTCTTTTTATAGAGAGTTTTTTTTTTTTTTATTGGTACCAGCAATCAAACTCACAACTGCCTGCTTGCAAGGCAGGCGCTTATGCTACTGAGCTAAATTCCCAGCCCTCTCCACCCTCTTTTTAACATGACTTTACCCAGAATAAGATTCATTTATTTAATAAATACTTATCTCTAGAAATATAAAATTTATTGTATGAATCATTATCAAGTTAATTACTATAAATTCAGATTAACAGCTGGACTAAGAGGACCAAAAAAAAAAAAAAAAAAACCCCTATAAAACACATAAGAGCATTGTACTAAATCAAGGTATACTTTTAGATACATGCTGTATTATCATAATTTTTTTCTTTTTCTCTTCTTTTTCCCCTTTAATCCCTAACTTTCTTGTAGATCTGGACAATACAGAGAAAAATGAAAAACTGAAATTCGGCATCATTGTGCGGCTCCCTCCGGTAACCCTGCATCTTACTCTCCCTAAGCCGTGGTGTAACCGGCTTCAGTTTCTCCCCATGAGGGGAACATTTGCTGCCTTCTCTGAAATCTGCTGAACCTTTTCACTTTCTATCGCTCTCCAAGAATCCCACCCGTCCCCACTTCCCCCTCCCGGCACCATTTAACCTTGGGGAACATTTAACTGTGCTCTCCTCTCAGGAAGTCCCACTAATGTTTCCTCCTGGGTCTGAGGAGGAGGAAGAGGGGGAAACGTGTGCTTTTGGCACTCAAACCAGTAAGATATTACAATACAGGTGAGGGCAGAAGGTTCTGGAACTTCATTTCCTCCTCCTAAGTCTCCCCCAGCATGAACATACCCCCAGATCCGAGGAAGAATGGAAAATACGGGGGACACAGTTACAAAGGCACACCCTGCCCTTTCTTGTGGGGGACAGTAGCTCTGAGTCAGAAATTCTACGAAATTCCACAGCAAGGCCGCTGCTGTGGTCCTCAGAACCTGGGCAGCCATGTTCCCTGCTCATAGGCCTTACGCGCTGGCACCCGTGTCACTGTCCTGTCCCGAAGGGGCGTCTGAGGCCTTCCTGGGCCTTGTCATCTTGTTTTGTAACAGTCCCTCCCTCACTGCTGACTGAAGCAAAGGCGAGAATAGAGAACGAAGCTAATTTTCCCTGGCTCGGCCTCTCGGGAAGGTTGCTGGGCATTTAGTTTGGTCTCCAGATTTGATCTCCTCAGTCTCACATGCTTAGGGAATTAAGATTCTGTAGGCAACAGCGTGGCAGAGAAGTTGGTTGTACAAGCCTTCCACCTTCTGTTTCCTGTCAAAATATCTCACGTTGGCAGGCCCATCTCCAGTTTTGAAGAGTAGCAGGTTAACTCCACAAAAACTACTTTCTTCAAGGTAGAATATTTCTTCAGTCTCGAGGGAGTATTTATTCCTAATTCAGAGATACACCTCACAGGAGCCTGGTCTTTCTCCAAGGATCATTAGTCATCAAGTGTCTTTTAGAATAGTGGTGGGCTATTGTGGAGTAATGCTTTTCAAATTACAGGTACACCTGGGGTATGTTTAATATAGCTCTGTGAGATACTGTGAGTCTGCTCAATGTATTTTTGAATTGCACGGTAGCTCATTGGGCAGAAGATCTATCGACTCTGGGATCATCCTGTGAGTTCCAACATCATCTCCCGGCACCACGTGACACGACTGCTTCAGAACTATAAGAAGCAGGTGAGGGTGTGCAAATGGACAGCTTTCCATAGGGACAGATGGTAATGCTAGTTTTAATGCTTGATTTAAATTTGAGCATCCTTGGGGGAATCCACTAATACCAGAAGTGGTTTCCCTTTTAGCCGTGGAATTCTGTGATCAGCAAGTCGTCATTCAGTGTAGACTTTCTGCCCCTGAACTACCTGATTGAGATTCTGACCAGTCTGGAGTCCTCTAATCAAGGTGATTCACCAGGTTTTTCTGTTTTATTCCCTTGCCACCTCCCGTGTTCCCTCTCTGCTTCTGTGGCCTGTGTTCTTCCCCCAGAGGCTCCTGTTTCCACAGAGGTCTTGACTGCATTTGGTTTTCACGAGTGACATAGGTTTTGCTATGTAAATTACCAAAATAATAATCATCAAAGTTTTCAGAGATTTTAAAGAGTTTACAACCTGTTTGGTTGATGGGAAGGGCCTTTTTGGGAGCTGAAGTTTAAGGAAAGTCTCAGAATAATGTTTTACTAAAATATAAAATAATTGTGATTCCAATAAACTGGGGGAAGCAAAGTTACGACTACTCCAGGGCTCCGATGGTAACACAGTCTCTCTCCCCTGCCCCCAGCTCTGGATGATTTTGAAGGCCATGACAATGTGGATGCAGAATTTGTAGAGGAAGCAGCTCTCAAACACACCACCATGCTTCTAGGCTTATAAAAGAGAAGATGCCACTGAAGCTGCTTTCAGCATTGTGACTCACTCGCTAACCCTGCTCTCACGGGGAATTCTTTAGCAACAGCTAAAAGTGGACAACACAATATACTGGTGAAACTCTGAGAGTTTTAGTTTTTTACATGTTCGGGCAGAACTGTGTGTCATTCCAGTGCTGAGCAGCTGAGGAGCCGTCAGGCATAGGGAGGTGACTGACAGACCAGCGGGACAGGAAACGGCATCCACAGTGCCCTCCCTGTAGGCTCAGCAGGCCAAGCTAGCTTCTGTCACACTTGGAAATAAAACCTACTTTAAAAATGTCACCACACCTAGGTGAGTGCCTAGAACAGCAAACACTAGAATAAGCAGAAAAATTCAGTGTTGCCTAAAGAGCGTTATTTGGGAAGAAAATACTTTTAAAAATTTGGGCTAAATCAAATCTGCTGTCTCTGAAACAGCATATTGTGTCACCTGTAGTGATGTGTACATGTAGAGGATTTAGAAGGTTTGTCTTTGTGATGGTTCAGACGGAACTGTTTTTAATTGCTTTGTATTTATAAAAGTTGGATTAAATCATTAAAAAAAAAACCCCAAATACTGAAAGCCTCAGCCTGACCCTGCCTGCTGTCTGAACTGAGTCTTTTTACTCAAGCCAGGAATCTTGAGCCCACGAACCTGTTTCTCTCCAAAGATCCGCGTGGCACCTAACTGTACCCAGCTGGGGTCGGCTCAGCAATGCGCTGCTGATAAGGACTTTTTCTTTCCTTTACCTGCTTTCTTTCATTTTGTGCCTGGGTTGTTTCTGTCTCCTCTTAGAGCCTAATGTATCCAACACATATTGGAGATAAACAGCGTGACCATGTCACTCTGTTCATAACTGGTCAGTAAGTGATAACCACTCATCAAACGGTAAAGCTCGAACTCCTTGATGTTCAGCCCTCTTCGGCCCTGACCCTACCCGGATGAACGTTCTGTTGCAGCTAAGTGAGCTGTCTGGCTGTGAGCACGACTCCTGTGGATTCTTCCCAAGCCTCGCTCAGGAGAATCCTTCTCTACCTGTTTAAATCTTACTCCTGCATCAGGGCCAGGCAGAAAGCCCCCCTGACCCTGGTCCAGGCCATTTCAGCACACGGTGACACCTGTCTTCTTCCAGCCTTGGAATATTTTATCATCCATCCTTTTGTTCCATTCCTGTGCTGCTTAAACGCCCTGTGTCCCCAGTTCTTTGTCTCTCTGAAGAGGCACCGATTGCTACAGCACAGCCGCCTGGTTACCCAGTGCTCCCAAAGTTAAGAGTACAGTGTCACCCAGCAGAGGGACTCCCGCAGGTCTCCTTCAGTGACTTGGCCAAGCGGCCGGGTTAGATCCAGGACTCACAGGGCGAGAGCGATGGTCAGCTTCGCTCTGCTTTGGCAGGGTAGGGCTGGGAACAGAAGGTTTGGTTTGGCAAAATAAAAGGATGTGGTTTTTCTCACTCCCACAGTTGTAAAATAAAATTCACAACTGTACCGGTATGAAAGAGTTTCAGCATCTTAGAGAATGTACAAGCACGAGTTTCAGATCCATTTGAGTGTCATGTATGAGAAAATATTTCAGAATTAGGAAAACGCAGTGATGTGAAATGCAATAAAATTAAAGCAGGAGCCCCTCCACCCCACACACTTTCTGGTCTTTCTGCTCATGCGCAAGGTTTGTAGTATGCTGAGATTTTGAAAAAAATCTGTCAGACCTTAAAACAATGAACTTACGTTCAGATAAAATAAGCACTGTAAATAATTATTGTAAAGCATCTGAGTTTGTCAGAAGCTAAATCAGGGCGTGAACATTTTTTACAGCAGAAGAATTCTTATAAAACGTAATCATAAACTTCAGAAACGTCATGTTCCCTGCTGCTTTTGACCGGATTTGGATTTAGCAGCGTGAACTCCCAATATTATTGAGGGCTGCTTCCTCCTCAGTAACACCAGTGGTCCCTTTTGGCCACTCAGGGCATGTCCCTATCCAGAGAGTCCTTCTGTCTTTTTAGAGGGCGCACAGGCAATGGTTTTGTTTTTCCTTTAATAAAGACCATCGTGGTTTCTGGACCTCCTTGAAAATTTATTTATTCTGCCCGTTTAGAGCACTTTGCATACTCTGTGTTTCTAAACATCAGTGTAAAGAGTGGAAAGGAATTGCAGGAGCAATTCTGTGACACAATCGCAGGGCCATTCTGCGTCCTACTGAACACAGTGCAAAGGGTGGGAGCTGGTGATAACACCAGACCGCGCTGCACCCTGGGGTTGATGGCACTCGTCTCCCGGAATGTTACAAGTGTCACACGCACATTCTCCAGGCATAGGTGTGAAGAAGCCTTGTTGTGTCCTCTGTCTGGGGAGCCGGACCCCTTCACGCATTCAGATTTCAATGGGCTTCACAACAGGCTTCCGTATGTGCCTCATGTTGGCTCCAGGCTCGCTGGGCTTAAAGGGAGCCAGAGCGCCGTAGGGTTTGGGCAGAGGAAGAGTACCATCGGCTTGGGGGATGTAGGCATTCGGGCGCTGCTCTGCTGTCGTGTAAACGCTGTTGGGCATCTGGCGATTCTCTGCTTCTAAGAACTCCTGCGGGCAAAGAAGGATATTTCCTTTCAGTTTCCTGAAAATGATGCAGTTGCTTCATCCTCACCTCCCAGAAGACACAGCCCAGTCTGAGCAGCCTTGCACTGTGCTGGCCAATCTCCCCCGTGGGGACAGGAGAGGGGATAGTCCCCACCCCACGGAGCACAGCCTTGGGCTGGGCTGGTTGCTCAAGTACCAGGTGGCTGCTGGGGGCGAGGGTTTATCAGAACTGCCCAGCGGGCTCCAGCTGCAGTGTCTCTTGTCAAGCTTTCCGTCCAGTGTGTGACAAAGGTGGGGCCATGTGTTTCCTTGGCTAAGGTGCCAATGGGCAAACACTGCAGTGGGAAAGAGCAGGAAAGTGGAACCCTGGGAAAGCACTCAGAGGCTGCAGTGAATCTCAGGGCTTCGAGTCTGCCTGTGTGCTTCGGGGACACAGCGATTTCGGATGGCACCAGAGCTCAGTGTGACAGAGGCAGGTGAATGACAGTGGGGCCCCACAGGTAAAATCTAAATTCCCTGGAAATGTATTCCCAGGTGGCATGGAAATTACAGAATGGACCCTGTGCTGGGGCTTGCTCTCGTGTACATCTGGAATGCATGGTTTCCTTGAGTCAAAGAGTGAATAGTGGTTCTTCTGGGGTCATCTACTTGACAGGTCTCTTTGGAAAGACAGGCCTAGCTCCAGCCTTAACCTACTGAAGGGCTATGGAGCCAGGCAGAGGACTGTGTGCTATGCTTGCACTGGCACTTTGCACTGTTGTACTTTGACTTTTCTGAATAGCAATCTTCAGTGACTCTTGGGACTACATGTGTGGAAGAACAGAGATTTTCTCACACACAGAGTGAGTGAGCATCTCTGATCCCCAAACCTGAAATCCAAAGTGCTCCAAATTCTTGAACACTAGCGTGGTGTCACCTGGTGATGGGCCGGTGCAGTAATGACTGTGTAATGAAGTACATAGTCATTGCAGTAATGTAAAATGACCTCCAGGCTGTGTATACAGTGTGTTCGAAACATGAATAAACTTCACATTTGGACCTAGGTTCCATTCATCTCCAAGATATATCACTATATGTATGCAAATACTCTGAAATCTGAGAAAATCCAAAACAGCTCTGGTCTAAAGACTTTGACAAAAGAGAGTCAATCTGTATCATGGGAGGACTGGCCCCCGCAAACAGCCCTTCCTGACACAGCTTACCTGGGACCTCTCAGCCACTGCCAAGGCGTACATCTCCTCGTCTCGAAGAACCTTCAGCCATTGCGTCTCAATCTCTTTATTGAGTGGCAGCCCCTTTTCTATCCTGGAATTGCAAGAGAAGATGAATTCCTCCTTCTCCCTGACTTCCTTCTGGAGTTCAATGGTCAAGGCCTGCTTCATGGACAGCTCAGCGATGAGAGCCATCATCTTTTCCGTAGTGGTTTTGATCCTCCTCTGATAGCCGTTCATCTGGAATCAAAGAGCCCAAGGCTTAGCTGAGGCGCACAATCAAAGAAAACGGCAACGCGGGCTGTCTGTGACAGTGCGGGTGTTCTGGCCAGAAGGCAGGAGGGTTAGGTAGGAGTTCACAGGAAATAAGAACTGAAAGAGACTGTAAAGACCGAGCCCACTCTAGATGGGTAAAACAGGCCCAGGAAAGCAAAGAGGGCGGGGAGGAAGACTAGCTACTGTACCCTGGGTGAGTAGCACCGAGGGGAACAGTTTAGTGTCTGTTTTAGGAGGGGAGGAGGAAACAAAAAGAGTGTTTTGCTAAGTTCTGGCTTAATTTTGCCTTGTTTCAATTTGTCCCTTATCGGGCTATGCTGGAGAGCCTTGCTGGCACGTCAAAAGTGTCGCCCTTTGTGTTTCTCTAGCAAGCTGGGTGCCTTCCAAAGAGCCTGCCATCAGCGTGGACAGATCCAACCTCGGTGAAAAATGACTTCCCTCCTGGAGGAAGAAGGCCTTTGCAGAAACCTGGGGTGTGTTAGCTTGGTCAGTGTTCATGAGCTTTCGTATTTTATGAGCGAAAGTTGTGAATTGTGCAGTTGCCACGGGGGCGATCAGTCTGTTAGAGGAAGTCATCAGAGCGGACATGCAAAAGTCAGATTGAAATAGTGACAACAGTCTGAGATTTATTATCATTTCCTATTTATTGTGCCAAAACAATTTCCGGAACAGACCTGTTTATGTATTCTGAATGTTCTTCCAGAGCTCATTATGTGCCAGGCGTTGGGGAAACTAAGGGTGGAAGCTGTTGCTGCCCATCAGAGCCTGCAGTGTGGGGGTGTGGGTGTCTCTGCCCACTTCACGGCCTCATCTGCTGGGGACAGTGTGTCTGCTCCTGCGTCCCTGCCCTCAGCAACACAGAGAGTTGTGCACTATTGCTTGGTGGCTGCTGGGATCCACAGTGTGGAAAGCCACAGTTACATGGTAGCTCTTCTCTCTGGGGTCCCCTCCATCTGTGGGTGCTGGCTGAGCTCCGGAGACAGCCATTGTTCCTTCTTAGACCAAAGGAAGGTGAGGCCCTCTACTCAAGAAGAACAAGAAAGGATTTATTCTGCGTATGATCTAACAAGATGACAACTGTCATAGTTGAGGAGTTGCTCTGCGAGTGGCACTCACACACTGTCATGGAGAGCTTGGGGTTGCTCCCTGGGAAATGAACTCATTCGCAGAACAAGACTGAAGCTTGTTTTGGGACAATTCTCAAAAAGTCCTATGTTGATTTTTATGTTTCTCTGGTTTTAAACCTGATCTCTCCAGTGCTTCTCAGTAAGCTCTGCAGTCTGGAGAAGAAAGGGGATACAAGGGAGGGCAGAAAGAGCTGGTGGGAGTCCAGGCTGACCTTCTTGGCCAAGTGCAGGGTGTCCAGCTTGCAGGCCTCAGTTTTGCTGTAGAGCCTGTCCGTGAGTCTGGTGACTTGTTCGTAGATGAAATCCTTCTCCAGTAACTTCTCCTCCTTCTTGGCCAGCTGAAGTTCAAGCTGCAGTTGAAAATAATTTCATTAGGCAGAAAAAAGCCACAGGAGGCCCAGCCTCCTTTCCTGCTTAGAGGGCTAACTGGTCCCTCCCCGGCCCCTGCAGTGGGGACAGTGGGACCAGGCCCAGGCAAGACCTCCCTGCCCCAGCCTCCTCCAGAGAGCTCGAGAGCTCTTCCCCACCAGAGACCATGGCCCTGCCAGCTCCGTCTGTGCGCCACAGTACGGTCCCACGAGGAAGCCAGGTCACCCATTTGAGAAGCAAAGTGTGCTCCTTTGGGCCAAGACAGAAATGTACTTTTGGAATCTCGAAACCATTGGGTTTTGACTTTCTTTGGATAGTACCTGAATGAAACTGAGAACTTACTAGATTACATCACAAGGCTAAGTGGCCGGAATGATGAAGAGAAACCTGTCAGCCCCCAGGAAACAGTCCACAAGTATCTATGAATCCATCGACCGGGACAAAGAGACACCATTTTAAGGAAGAGTTTACCTCATCTAATTTTTTGATCATTTCTTCTTGGGTCAGGTCTTTCCCTGTGAGGAGGCGAGCTCTGTTCTGACCCTCAGGGTTTATAAACTGTTTCTCCAGGTCTTTTATCCTGTCTGTACACTGTGAAAACTATTAAACGAGAAATAAACGTTAGCTTTCAAACTAACTCTTCAGCTTGGCAATTTTTTTTTTTTTTTGGTACCAGGGATCCAACTCACAACCTTGCACTTACCAAGCAAGTGCTTAAACCACTGAGCTAAATCCCCGGCATAGCGTGGCAATCTTAAAAAGTGCATAGACAGAGTCTCTGGAGTCCCTCAGCAGGACCAACCCTGGGAGAGTGGAGGAGAACTTCGTCTGCTCCTCCCCATCATCTGGGGCTTTGGGTTAAGCAGTGTTTCTGCTCAGGCATGGGGTCATGTGGTGGGTGACAACTAGATTTGTCTCTGCAAGGCCAGACAGTGTCAGAATGCTGAGCCAACGGAGAGAAAGCTTGGGGTGCTGTGTGCTGTGTGCTGTGTGGCTGTGTGGCTGTGTGGCTGTGTGGCTGTACAGCTTCCCCTCTTTGTTGGAGATTGTGACAGAAACCAGAATAGCTGGCATCCAACACTGAGTGCCATTGTGAAATCCTTCATTGGCAGGGAGTTCAGTGGCATCTCAAACAAGAAACGAGCGATTAACAACTGGGTCAGAATGGTGTACACTCTGAGAACACTCTGAGAACAGCCTCAGGCCACACATACTTTTTGCTAAACCCTAATTAGGGCCTGATGAGTCAACTACGTGTATCTGCCGAACCACTGAGACTCAGAGGTGAGTGGAGACCACAGCTATTCTCAGGTAAGAATGGTAGCCACACGTGGCTTTAGTTGAGAAGGAGAGATGTGGCATATGGCACGAATCAAGAGGCAAAATCTTCAGCTTTCCTAGAGAATCTCTCAGTGATCAATGACATCATTTATTCTCTTAGTTTTTTCAGCTGCCACATGGAAAGACAGGACACAAGTTCATGGTCTAGTCCACTGAGGGAGGTGATACATTTAACACCATGCCCGAGAGTGAGTGACACAGGCAAAATTTTAACTGGTGTCCTTTTAAATGGTGACATAACTTTTTCTGTTTTTTCCCTGCCTTCTTTAATTGATGTTAATATAGAATTGAAATGTTTATGCAATCAAGAGCTCGTTGCAGGTACAAAGTGAATATTAAAAATTCAGTAACTTTTCTACACACCAGTAATGACCTCGCTGAGAAAGAAATCAGGAAAACCATTCCAGTGATGACAGTCTAAAAACTTAAACCAAACCTAATCTAACCCTCAGGGATCAACCTAACAAAGGAGGTAAAAGAACACTGAAGAAAGACATTGAAGATGGAAAGACCTCCCGTGTTCATGGATCGGCAGAATTAGTATTATAAAAAATGACCATATTACGAAAAGCAATCTATAGATTCAGTGCATTCCCCATCAAAATTCTAGTGTCATTTTTCACAGAGCTAGAAATAATAGCTCTAAAATGCATATGGAAACACAAAACACCCAGAATAGCCAAAGCAGTCCTTAGCAAAAAAAGTCCTTAGCAAACGGCTTGGAGGCATGATAATACCCAATTTCAGTTTACCCGGCAAAACCATAGTAACAAAAATAGCACAGTAATGCCACAGGATAGGCACGCAGGGTTGCACATTATGGCTTGTACCTATAATTCCAGCACTCTCGGAGACTGAGGCAGGAGGATTGCAAATTTGAGCCCAGCCTGGGCAGTTTAGTGGGACCCTGCCTAAAAATAAAAGTAAAAATAAAAATGACTGAGAATGTAGCTCGGCTCAGAGACCCTAAGTTCAAGCCCCAGTACTGGAGGGGCACAAAGTAAACTAATAGGACAGAATAGAGGACACAAAAACCCACACGACTATAGGCTTTTGTTGGAAAGGACCCCCCAAAATACACTACAGTCCCTTTAATAAATGGTGCTGGGGTGCAATATTGAAACTAGATCTTTACCTCTCACTCTACGAAAATCCGAACTGGACCAAAGACCTAGGGATAAGACCTGTTATGACTTGTGTCTGGATCTCCCTCCAAAGCCTCATGTGGTCACACGTGGGCTTTTCAGCAGTGACTGGATCTAGCGTGTGACACTGGTATTGGATCATGGTGCAATGCTAGGGTTAAGGGTGTGAGCCATACCTGCCCTAAGGGCGAGTAGTCTAGATAAGATATAGGGACACCAAGAGGCTTGTCACTTGCTGCTGGCCACCTTCTGCCTGCCCTGCTTAGCTGTGGCCTCTTTCTCCTCTGCAGAGCTCCTCTGCCCCACCACCCTGCCTTGGAGCCAGCTGATTACAGACTGAAACCTCTACATACCGTGAGCCAAATGAACCTTCCCTCCTCTACCTCTGGGTGATGGGTACTTTGTCTCAGCAATGAGGAAAGTAGCTAAGACAAGACCTGAAATATTGAAATGGCTAGGGGAAAACACTGGAAGCCAGAGGCATAGGAAAATTCTTCCTGAATTACAAGAAGTAGCAGGAATCCAGTGGGACGACATCAAATTAGAAAATTACTGCACAGCTATGGCGTCAACCACCAGCATGAAGGCATCCTACGCCATGGGGGAAAAATCTTGGTCAGCGACTCTTCCAACAGAGATTAACTTCTAGAATGTAGAGAGAGCTCAGAAAACTTCACACACACACACACACACACACACACACAATTAAATAGCCCAATCAATAAATGGGCAAAGGAATTGAACAGAAGCAAAAGAAATACAAATGGCCAATAAGTGCATGAAAAAATGTTCAGCATCTTTAGCCATCAGGCAAGCACAAATCAAAGCTTTGTGTTATCCTGGTCAGAAGGGCTGTCACCAAGCACACAAAAGCCAGTGGGTTCTGGCCAGCATAGGGTGGTGGTGGGAGGGATGCTTCTACACTGCTGGTGAAGATGGGAATCAGCACAGCCACTGTGGGAATCAGTATGGAGTTTCCTCAAAGCACAGCAACAACAACAAAATAGCGCCACCATCAGATGCAGTTGTGCTGCCCTCTGGGTTACACCCAAAGGGACTAAGCCCGCTTATGACAATGATACCTGCATGGTCACGTTCACTGTGGCATGATTCCTAATAGCCACAACGTGGAACCAGCCTAGCTGCCCATAACAGATGAAAGGGCAGAGAAAATCTGACCTATACACATGGCGTGTTATTCAGCCATAGAGAAGAGTGAAGGTTTGTCCCCTTCAGGGAAGGCGATGGACCTGGAGATCAGGCCAAGTGAGTAAGCCAGGCTCAGGCAACCGTGGCTCGGTCTCCCTAATGCGTGGGCTCTAAAAGACAGCATCAAAGTAGAAGAGAGAAGGGTGAGGGAGGTATGGGGGAGCTAGTGGAGGTGGACATGAACAAAATACTCTCATTGAAACCCAATAGTTTGTAAAATTAATAGGCACTAATAAAAACACATCTAAAAAGTGAAGTAGTAGGAAAAATTTTGTTATATTATTAACAACACAATGATTTTTTTCTCCCTAATTATAAATTAAACAAGGAACAAAAATATGGTGCCTGCTTATAAAATTGTGCCTTCACTTTATTTCTCCATTGGCCTTTGAGGAAGACTTGCTAATTTTCTCTATAGAAAATAGCATCCTGGTGTCCTAAAATAGTTCCTAAAATGGAGCTGTTATTCCTGGAACTGAGGAGAGGATGACTCACGATAGCTCTTGGGTTAGTGAATCGGACAATTAAAAACTGTTCTGAGTCCTGAAAATGACATGTGAAAAGAGAAGACTTCATTGCAGCTGTAACAAATAACAGGATATGACCAAGCTTGGGCCGGGAGGACGGCGTATAAACTTGACTTGCCTGAAGCTGGAACTGTCACCAGTCATCTCCTGTCCTTTCAGATACATGTGATCTGAGTCACTCGACAACCGCATGCTGAAGTGCAGTGTGAGTGTTAATGAGAGACTTTCCACTCAGTCGCCTTAAGCTTAGAATCAGCCCTGGTAGGCCAGAAGGTAACCGATAATCTTTCACATAATACATGTCTCAATGTATGTGCGGTTTCCAATTGACAAATGCTCACCACCCAGCAGAGCACACGGCATGGCTAAATTCACAGTGTTTCCCTGATGGGCAAGACTGAAATTCAGGTTTGGCAGCGGTAACTGTTTTTAACCTAATAAAATGCCAAGTATGTTTCCTAGGAAAAAAGTTAATCCATTTGATTTGAAGTTAACAGGAGGATATGCTTACATAATAGAAAGTATTGTTTGAATTTAGAACTTATTGACTTTATTTATTTTTCAGAGACAGGGTCTTGTTATATATTTCAGGCTGCCCTTAAACTCATTTGGTAGCCCAGGCTAGTCTGGAACTTGTGGCAATTTTTCTGCCTCAGCCTCCCACAGGCTGGGATTACGGGGATGTGCTACCATGCCCAGCGCAATCTTACTGACTTTAAAGTCCTTTTAGGGGGCATCTTAACAGTCAAGGGTGGCAAAGACAGGGTGAACCTGTGTTTTGAGAAGGAGTTGAGGAGAACCAAATTACCCCACGAAATGGAGACAAGTGTGGCGTTCCTGGCTGATGATATAGGACGAAGAAGGGAGAGACCAGCTAAGGAAGGGAGCTAGGAGCTGCTGCACCAGGGCCTCCTCCTCAGAGGGACCCAAAGGAGCCTGAAGGCTGTGGTTTCTGAGATGCATTTGAAGTTCTTTGCATTTCTGTAGACTCCATGAGTCTTCAATAAACTCTGTTCAAAGGCCTTGCATGAACGGCCTTGTGGGGGTTCATGGGGTGCACAGAAAGTGTGCAGTGCAGAGTGTGCACCAAGTTGGCACAGAAGTGGAACAGGCACCGCAGGGGCTGGAAAGGGGATCCCCCAAGTAAGCCACAGAGATCCCGGGGAGATGCCGTAGGGCCGAGGAGGACGCTGCACCAGCTCATCTGACACTGGGCTTCACCCGCTGAAGAAACGGAAATGTTTAAGGCTAAGAACCCAAGTGCACACCAGAGCCAGACCTCAGTGGAGCTGCACAACTGCAAAGCACTGTCACCTACACAGACACACTCGAAGGCACACAGTTCAGTGGACCCTCACCCAGGTCCGTGGAGTCCTGGTTGGGAAGACCCTAGACTGAGTCTGCAGAGCGAGCACACAAAACCTTTACTGCGCACCAGAAGAAAGAAGGGAAGGCTCTCTGCTAGGAGCTCGGTCATTTTAACAGTCATTCTTAATGTTCTTGCAGGTAGAATTTTCTTAAAACTTTTGTACTTTTCTCAGATTTCACTGACCAAACATGTCTTAATTTCATAACTAGAAAAACACCAAAGGTTCACCTGATAATTTAGAAAACATTATAGGTTAGAATGTGTTCCTGCTACATTGAATCAATAGGTAAAATTTAGACCAGGAATTATTTTAATTTTTTCCTTCTATTAAGGGAGGGGGGCCCTACTGCATGTGAAAGCAGTGGCCTCATATTTCTGTTTTATTTTTTTGCTATTGTACATTTGAATTTCTTGGACTTAATTCCACTTTCAAGAAAGGCTGTCAAGGGCCAAGTTACCAAATGGTAGAGGAATTACAGAGGAGAACAAGGCTCTCCTTATGCGCGATTGCAAGTGGAAAAGCAGTAAGCTCCATGGCAGAGTGGGCCAGGTATCAAGCCAAGAGCCAGATGGTCCTCAAGCTCTTTCCAGCAAGCATCAACAACAGACTTGTGCCAGGCAAAGCGAGCCTTAGATGACTGAGGTGCAGGGACGGGTTCCAAACTCGTGTACTCTAGAGCTGAGTAAGGGAGAAGGAAGCAAGGTGGCCGGGGACCTGTCCCTGCCCGCTGTCCTACCTGAATCTGGAGCACGGCCAGCTCCTGGTCCAGGGCTTGCTTTGCCGGCAGTAATTTCTGCGACACGTGAATCTGCCTGTGCTTCTCTGCAATCTTCAGCTTCAGGAACCGGATCTTTTCCTCCAGGATGTGTATTTCCATCTCGCCATCCAGTTTCAGCTTCTCTTGGATGTCTATTTTTTCATAAAAGATGGACACTTCCTCTTCCCGTTCTATCAGCTGGATGCCACTGTGGTCAAATTCAGGGGCAGAGGCTGTGAGTGCTGATGGCACCGCGCTTCCCTCCGGCTCTGGGCACCAATTAGGTGTGAGGACAGTGTCACCTTAGACAGTGGCGATTCTGTAGCGGCTCATGAATGAGGCTGCACCCTGGCTGGGGCTGGGAGGGCTGATGAGCCCCTCAGCTCTGAGGCGGCAGTGTAGCTAAGGGGTCAGCTGTTATGTTCCTGTAGGTCCCAAAGCTTTCCCTGGAGTGGAAAATACGTCCTTCCTAATGCACCAACAAAGTGGTCCCGGGGTCTGATTTTCTGCGACCCTTCTTTGGGGACCTCATTTGCCAACCAAGGCCTGGCCAGATGCATGCGGGCAGGGGGCCAGGGAATGTGCTTCTGCTCTGTATGACTTGTCAGGCCCATTAGAGTCTTCTAAAGCCAGACGCTTCTGGATGCTAATTTCCCCAGAATCAAAAATCAGCCCTTTGTAAACCTGCAGGTGGGTGGGGTGCGGGGCGGCCCTTCCTTGAAAGGAGATAATGTGAAAGAAGCAGAGAATCTTCTAATTCCAGCAGCTCTGGTCTGACCAGGGCTGGGGAGCACTAATCGCCCAAATGCTTTGGTTTGTGGCAGGGGTCAATTAGGATGATCCTCTCCTTCCAAAACAAAGTCACCATCCCTTTACAAAGGGCTTTTCTTCAAGGCACTAGTGGTCTTCTGAGCCCCTACAGAGCCATCACCAAGAAGCCCATTTGTTTCTGTCTCTTTCTCCTTCCTCCAAACACAGGCACACAGTCGGTTCTATATTGTGTCCTATTTCTCTGCCAAAAGCTCTGCTCATGACCAAGTTCTCCTAATGACAGAAGTGAGGAGCACTGTGACCATCTTTTTATTCTCTCTGTGTTTAGAATGCTAATGACTTACATATAGTAGCCCGCGATCAAAGTTTGATTTAAAAAAGTCTGATGCAGCTAAGTTAAATACAAATATTCTAGGCAATCAGAGAGGGCTAGGAACTAGTGCAGAAGACCAGATACCCTGCAACTGGGAAGAGGGGACACAGACACCTCTGCTGTGGGTCACATCGCAAGATTAAAGATGCAACAAATGCACTCATATAATATACTGCCTAAGGATAAATATCAGGAACTGATAGGTATCGATCACTTCGGAAAGCCAGGAAGAGTCACTGACCTGACCCCTACAGGAAGAGCCCCTTCTCTGTACTCATGCCCATGTGCTATGGGACTTGCTTCCCCATTTGATCCTGACTCAACCTTATCCGAGCAGCTATACTGGTAATATTATTGGTTGATCGCGGTTCTGTCCCACCTCGTGCCCACTTTGTGATTTCCCTTTTATTCCACCTTGTACCTGCCTCACTTTGTGGGTTTGCTCTATAAAAATCCCTAGTAAAGGAAGGGTCCTTGGCAACCCATTCAGGACCCTCTCTGTCTGTCTGTCTGTCTGTCTGTCTGTCTGTCTCTCTCTCTCTCTCTCTGGCAGAGGCCTTCTTTCCCCTAATAAATATATTCTGCTCTTAACCTCCGTCATTCCTAAACTTCATTCTTCCGTTTTAGAGAACATGAACTCGTACCAGACAGCTGGCAGGTTGGGCGTTTCTTTCTCCTACATCAATGCCAGGTGTGGCTGTAATCTCACATTCCTGTTTCTCAGTGCTCAAGCAACTCAGGCTGCTAAGACAGCAAACTGATGCATGATGTAATCACAGTCTAGAGGAAACATGCCGTTCCTAAAGGGCTTACTTACTCGCTAGGAAAACGAGCTGGGAGAATAGCTTTATAAATATAAGGCCAAGCTTGCCACCAAAACAGACACATTTCAAAGACTGATTTATGTCAATTGTGTGAAAAGACTTTGATGTCACCAGAGGTGTCCTGAGGGGCAGTCTGGGAAAGCACTGTGATCTTCAAATAAGCAACTTTCTGAGCCCCTTCTCTTTGTCTCCCCACCCGCCGGGACAGCACTTCTTATTTCCAGGCAAACCACACAGCTGCCTCCTCTCCAAGGACTAATGACACCTGCCTCCCTCACTCTACCTGTCTCGTCTGCATCTAAAAAGGATCAAACATGCAGAAACCGGAACCTGCATTTTCTAAGGGCTGGTGTTTACCTTTCATTTCTCCGCTGGACAGCTTTCTCGTACTTTTTGCGGAGCTGCACCATCTCTTCCTCTAACAAGGTGATGGTGTGCGCCAGCCTGTCCAGGTTGTTTAACTGCGTTTCCTTCTTCTCCTTCATTTCCTGAACTTTCGATACAATCTTGCATACATCGCTGCGCATGCTCTCTCTGATGGTGATGCTGTTGGCCTGTTTCAGCAGGCTATTTTGTAGCTTTCTTTTAAAATAATGAGAAAGTGGGTGAGATGAAGCAGTTCAGCATGTCCTTGGAATGACCATAGTAGTCACAATGAGGAGATTTCATTACATGACGCTTTTCTGTTCTTGCGGAATGCCCGCGATTTTCCCAGGTCTTAGGTCCCCCTCCCGCCCGGGCAGGACACCTTCCACTGTGCCCCACCTCCTGCTGCCTGCTTTGTCAAAGCCAGACATTTGTCATGCTCATCTGTCCCCAGGGCACTGTTCAGTCTAGGAAGAGCTGCCTGCCCTCTGCTAATACCTGCTGGCTCTGAGGAGGTGCCCGGCATGGTGCTGAATGAGATCACGACCTCTGTGCTTTACTTTCATGTTGGATGAGACCCTGATTAGCTCTCATTCTAGCCCTCAAATGAGGCCGTCGCTGCTAAAGGAAACTGGGTGCAGGAAAAAGTTTGGGCTGTGTAGATTCAGGAGATCAAGGACTTAGACATGTGAAGGAGTCCAGCAGATCTTGGCGCATGGTCAGTAAGAAATTAATTAAATACCATTGGCCAGATACCCTTTGAGGGTTATCAGATGCATCGAATAACCCAAAGTCCTATGAAATAAGGACATTTTCAGGGACCAGGAAGGTGAGCCCAGAGAGAGATGAGGTTGCTTGCCTGAGGCCACAGAGCTAAGAGGATCAGGGCTGTGCTCTGAGAGCCAGCCACTCCTCCTGACCGCTCTGTTATCCTGCTGCCGCAAGTCTGCTCGGTGCCTTAAATCTACAGCCAGGGCATGCTGACTGTTAAATGATTTGGTTCTTTTCTAGCTTCAAATGCAAATGATCAGATCTGTGCCTTTCTAACTGGGCAGAAGAAAATGCTCAAATAAGCACACATCACAGTAAGCACACTTGCATTTTAGTTTTGCATTCAGACACGTGAGCAGTTGCATCCAGATGTTTATTTATAATTTACGAGCAAGGTGTTTGAAGAGGGCTTTGCCCGCCCTCTAAAAGACTTACTTTCTGCCTGTGCTCCCTGGGTCATTTCTGAGAGCACCTGAAACAGAACACGAGGTTTGAAAGGACAGTAGTTACAACTTTTACCTTTCTTGAGCGACTGCACTGCTTCTTAAAATTTCTAGCTCATTTAGTGACATCTTATGCCTTTCTTTTATTTCGTTGACTTTCTGGTGAGCTTTGTGGAGCAGGTTAACAAACTTGTTCCTTTCGTTTCGAATCGCGTCATACAGTTTAGCGAATTCTTTGAGCCTGGGGAAATACATGGTTTGTGAAACCTGCAAACTGAAAATCAGTTTTCCCCTCGGCCTAAATGGAAGAATCACCGTAGAATTGTTTTACCTCCGATGAATTTCACGTCTTCTCTTCTTGTGGACTCTGATTTCAAGATCCTTCGATCTGATTTCCTTAACGAGGTTGTTGTATTTTTGCTGAAATGTAAGAAACAGTCACGACATGAATATGTCCTGCCGAACCCCACATCAGACCCCACACATGGAGGCCCAGGCACCCGGCGGTGGCTTGTACAGCGGAAAGTGGCCTGGCCTGTGAACTGATTCCGGCTGGGAGGACCCCGCTTACTTATGGAAGAGGAGAGAGGAGAAGAAGACAGTGCATAGGCTGGGTCTGAGGGAGAGCAGAGCCCGACAGCAGAGTGCTGTGCTTGCCTGAGTGAGCGCGTGTGTGACAGGGAGGGTTTAAGGGATGCTTGACAAAGGCTTAGCGGCATTTCAGGAGGGCCTGAGGCAGTGATTCTGAAATACTCGCTCATTCGTTTGTTTGAGGGGTGTTTTCCTATACAATAAATTAGCATTCTAGACCTGCTGTAAGAGTACATATCAACATTTTTTAAAGGAAAGCAATTATACCTTTAAAACCTTAAAACCTTAGCAAGTGCTAAATACACAGTTTGAGGACAACTGAGCCCTTCATCCGGGGTAGGATAAAGAACACATTCGAATAGGAGACATCTCTGGTGGGAACCAGAGGGCACAGCTTCTGCCAGTTCTCTCACGGTTGGTGTGCAAAACCTGGCTGGCATGAGCGATTTGAAATAAACAAGCCATCAGAGACAAGACCCGGGTACAGAATTTTATTCCATATTACTCTCCATGAGAATGGGAAGCCAGAAGCTAAGGTTTCGGCAACTAAGGATGAAGAATAAAATATAAAATGTAGCAACATCTACTCTATCTTGAGGTGATAGTAACACCTTTTTTCCTCCAACTTTTGTCTTTTTTTTTTTTTTTAAGGGATGTAGAAAGGAACGTGGTCTGAGAGGAAAATAATGAGGCTTAATGCCCTTGTACGGAAATTACAGCTGTCTGCAACTTATGGCTGCGGGGTAATCCCAGGGCTGTTATCAAGGGATAAACATTTTCCTTATCAACTCCATGTCTCAAAGGAAGGATCGTGCTCTGCTTTAAAATAAGGTTTGATGCATAGATGAGTCACACGGAGAACAGATGTATCAGTTTTGCAGGTTAAGTAGAACTCATCTAATTCACAAAACACATCAGTTTTCCTATTACAGTGACGAATACCAGACTTTTCCCAGCCAGCCACAGATGGTTCTGAGAACACAGTTCTGGGCCAGTCCTGTCCCGACCTGTGCTTGGTGGCCAGGGGCCTTCTTGGGTCTCTGTTCCTCCTGGCCCTGGTCAGCCTCTCTCTTTTCCATTCCTGCCTGGGCTCTGCTGCATTGGCTGCAGTCTTTGGGATGTAGGTCACGACTGAGTGACCTTCGTGTCTCACGCTCTGCTCTCTGGTGTCTTCCCTGTGCCACCTGTGCTGAACTTGTGCTTTTCCAGATGTTAAGGTGGAAAATAAATAGCGAGTGGGGATGTGACGGTGGTGGGGTGTAGATTTTTCTCCTCTGGTTTTCTCTGCAAAGTCTCTCCCCTGCATTGCTTACTAGTGCTCTGGTGGGTGCGGGCCCTTTCTGGGGAACGAGCAGAACCATCATCCCTGTAAATAACTGCTCAGAATGAGAGCAAAGGTTGCTCTTAGAAATGGTCAACATCTGGTTCAAGTATTCTATTGGAGGACCACGCTGTAACATATTCATTTTTAGCAAGGAATTTCCAGGCATAATATGGATCTGGTCCTTATGTGGAATAAACAATTCTAATGTTAGAATTTTAGCTAGTCTGGTAGAAGGGTTTGTTCTGGGATATTGTATCGGGCCATCTCTGGTGCTGTGTAGGAGCCTAGAGAAAACACAGCATGAAGCAGTGACTAAGGGCATCCAGGAATTGGTTTGAAACCTATTTGCATGAGCTTGGGAGGGAGATGTTATTGCTCTTGAGTTGTTCTGAGGTGAATTCCAGAAGGATCTGAGACGGTGGTGACCCGACTCTAACTGTGGCCTGAGAAGTCCTATCTACTGGAGGCGTCTACCTTGTCCTTTGAGATCACCAAGTATTTAAATCTGCTGCTTATTGTGACTGACCTGCCCCCACCCCCACCCCAGTTATTTTCTCATTGCTGAGACAAAATACCTGACACCCAAAGTTAAAGGAAGCAAGGTTTATTTTGGCTCATTGTTTGTGGAGGTTTCAACCCTTGGTCAGCTGGGTCCAAGGGAGGGTGGCATGGCAGAGGGCATTGCAGAGAAGAAACAGTCCATGGCAGGGCAGTCAGCAAGAAGCCAGCAGCAAATCCAGCAGCAGCAGCAGCAGCAAGCCTTCCTTTCCTGTTTATTTCATTCAGACTACAAACCTTCTAGGTGGTGCTACCTCTTCCAAGGGCAGGGCTTTCTCTACCCAGAACTACGATAAATTAATTAATTAACGGACGACTCCAGAACCACACACCCTTAACCAGGAGCACACTCTTAATTCACCTTCACATACCCTAGAGCCAGTACCTTCGGAAAAACCCCATCTATGACTGCATGAGGCTTTGGGAGGACATCAAGACACAAGCTATGACTCTCTCTTTCTGACTAATGCTAATTGAATTGTGGGATTATGGTTTTCAATGCATAATTGAGATTCATTTAGGGAAACTTTGTAGCTACTAGGGTAAGAAGGAAACACGATTGTCAGTTTTTCTAATGAACATTTTGAGAGAATGCAGCTCCCCTGGCCTCTTGTCATAATTAACGATGGTCACAAAGATGCAGTTACCTTAGCTTTCAAGAAATCCTTGGACTTTTGCTCCTTTTCATCAGTTTTGACTTTTATCACATGGACAAGGTTGAACACCAGATTTCGCAAGTTTTCTTGGTTCTTTATAAGCTTGTTTTCTTCGGCAAGTTGTTGCTCTACTAACTTGGAGTCAGCTTCCGATAGAATTTTCTTTGGAAAAGCACAGCAGAATTATAACTTATTTGTTTGAAGGAAACATAGTAAAACTAGTACTTTGGACTTTTAATTGTATATTTAGTAAAAATTAAATAAAAATATGTGTATATTTAATAAAAATAAAACAAGTAACTCCACTGGTTCAGCTCCATTTGCCTTATATTTTTATGAAAGAATATATGAAACAGTGGTTTAACGTGAAGAAATTTTATTTAGACCGTCTTCAAGTTACTGTAAGAAGAAACAAAAGCATGTTTTAAAATACTTAAGAGGTAGCTTGAATAAACAAAAATTGCATTTTAAAATTGAGCATCGGTGAAACAAAATTCTGCTGTTTACTTTTAATGTGGTCAGTGGCCCTTGTATTTCAACATCTCATTGGTTTGTGTAAATTTTGCCAGTTTGAATATATCTATGTTTCCCCTTCAAATTTAATGTAGCGTTAGCATGAATTTTAATTTGAGGAATGGCGAGGATGTAGCTCAGTAGTGAGCGCTTGCCTGGGACAAGGTTGGCCCTGGGTTCCATTCCCAGCGTGACAGAAAGGAACAGGAAAGGGAAGGAAGCTCCCGTGAGAGAGCACGGTACTCTAATGACAGTCCTCCTTGGTGAGGCCATGCAGAGCGGCTGGGAGCACAGAGCCAGACCCTAACGCAAGCGCTTCTGCTCACCTGCTGGGCCAAATTCCTCTTAGCGACTTCAACTTCCTTGTGGAGCTCTCGCCTTCTCTCAGATAACATGGAATTATCTTTAGGGATCGCTTCCATCTGGAAATCAAAGCAGAAAGCAGGCCAGGTGGTCAACCCATCACATTCTGTTTGAAAAGAGCAGGTGAGATATTTCTGCAAGCAGGGAGGGATCACAGGTTCCTGAGGCACCTCGGCCTGTGGTGAGTGCCCAGCACAGTCTGCCCAAATCTCAGACTGTTCCGGACCCCCCAGGCTTCTGGGTGCAGTGAAGTGGAGCAGTGGGTTAGAGGCCACTACAGCCGCCTCCCCATCCCGGCTACACCTGGAGGTCTGCTGAGCTCCCGACGGGTGGGCGGGCCTACACTATCCCCCAAGCCCAGCCGCGCCTAGCCATCAGCGTGCAGAGGAGGAGCTGGGCGGATCTGGAGTGCCTGCAGAAGCCCCTTCCTTTGTCTGGAGGACTGTGGATATCTCTGCAAGCAGGGAGGGATCACAGGCTCCTGAGGTACTGCGGCCTGTGGTGAGTACCCTAACCCAGCTGCGATTGAAGAGCTGTGGATCTTCCAAGGGGCAGGTGGGCGCACAGTGTCCCTGAGGCCCAGCTTGTCTGGAACTGCGGAGTTCTGAACAAGCAGAGGAGGGCCATTGGTTCTGCAGGCCCAATGGCTTGGGGTAGCGTGGTGCCAGAGTCTCAGTAGCTGCAAACATAGAAGGGGATTTTCAACAGATCCTGAGGAAGCTTTCAAATAACACTTGAAACACAGAAATATAGGAAAATGACAAAACGAAAGACCAAATTACAACCTCAAACCTCCAGCCCATCTCAGGAAACCCTAGGAGGAATGTATTTAGAAGAAAATATATCCCATCCACCTCATATATCAGACACAATAGCTACTGAAGTTGACAAGCAACTCCAGGAAGCTTTAAAGAAATTCAAACTCGAAATAATATCCCAGATAAAAGAAGAAATGATAAAAGAAATGAAAGAGATTCTAAATATATCTAAAGAAAACGCAGATAAAAAATTGGAGGAACTAAACAAAAAGATAGAATCCCTAGACGAGCAATATAAGAAACAAACAGAATACATAATGCAGATGCACAGAGATATACAGGAAATAAAAAACTCCACTGAAAGTTGTAAAAACCGCCTTAATGAAAGTGAAGATAGAATTTCAGACCTTGAAGACAGGATCGCAGCTAGTGAACAGGAAAGGAAAGATCTTTAAAAAATAACAAGGAATCAGGAAACAACAATTCAACAACTGCAAGACGATGCAAAGAAGAATAACATAAGAATGATAGGGATTAATGAAAAAGAAGGAGACAACATAAAGGATATCAAGAGGATATTTAGAGAAGTAATAGCTGAAAATTTCCCAAGCATGAGATCAGAAACTGACATCAGGATCAGTGAAGCATATAGAACTCCAAATAGTCATAACCAAAATAAAACTACACCCAGACATATAATAATCACCATCCCAGAAATCCAACACAAGAATAGATTATTAAAATCTGTCAGAGAGAAAAGACAGATCACTTATAAAGGAAAACCTATCAGAATCACAGCAGACTTCTCATCACAAACAATAAAGTCAAGAAGAGCATGGAGTGAAGTATTCCAGATCCTAAAGCAAAATGATTTCCAACCTAGACTGATAAATCCTGCAAAACTATCATTTAAAATAGATGGCGAAATACGATACTTCCATGACAAAGAAAAGCTGAAGAACTTCATGAACACCAAACCAACCCTGCAAAAAATATTGAAAGACAGTTTAGATACACAAAGGAAAAAACCACTAAGCAAAGCAAATAATTAAACAGAACAGAAAGATAAAGATGCAACAGCAGAGAGATAAGATTCCTACAATTAACCAACATTTAACAGTAATAACCATTAATGTAAATGGTCTCAATGCACCAACCAAAAGAAACAGACTAGCAGAATGGATCAAGAAACAAAATCCAACCATATGCTGTTTACAGGAAACCCATCTAACCCAGAAGGATACTCACAGACTGAAAGTCAAAGGATGGAAAACAATTCTTCATGCAGCAGGAATCCAAAAAAAGGCAGGAGTAGCCATTCTGTTTGCAGACAACGTGAACTTTAAACCAACAATGACCATAAAGGATAAAGAAGGTCACTACATACTCGTAAGGGGAAAACTCCAAGAGGAAGAGATAACTATCTTAAATATATACGCACCAAACTCCAGAGCACCCAGTTATATAAAACAATTATTAACAGAAATGAAAACTCAAATTATCAGTAACACAATTGTAACAGGAGACCTTAATACGCCATTGACACCAAGGGACAGATCAACCAGACAGAAAATGAGCAAAGAAGTAACAGAACTGAATCATACCTGTGAACAAATGGGTTTGATAGACATATACAGAATGTTCCACCCAACAACATCAGAATACACATTCTTCTCAGCAGTACATGGATCATTTTCTAAAATAGACCATATATTAGCTCACAGAACATATTTAAACAAGTGCAAAAGAGCTGAAATCATCCCTTGCATGTTATCGGATCATAGCGCTCTGAAATTAGAAATTAATGATAAAAGATACTGCAAAAATTCCACAAACACATGGAAACTGAATAACACACTCTTGAGTAATCAGTGGGTCACAGAAGAAATTAAAGAAGAAATCAAACAATACCTAAAAGAAAATGAAAATGCAGATACAACTTACTGGAATCTGTGGGATGCAATGAAAGCCATCCTGAGAGGAAAATTTATTGCACTGAGTTCCCACATCAGGAAAACAGAACGAATACAAACAAATAACTTGATGCTACACCTCAAACAGCTAGAAAAAGAAGAGCAAGTCAAGCCCAAAGCCAAAAGAAGAGAGGAAATTATAAAAATCAGAGCAGAAATCAATGCAATAGAGACTAAGAAACAATCCAAAGAATCAACAAATCAAAGAGTTGGTTCTTTGAAAGAATAAATAAAATCGATAAGCCCCTAGCCAACCTTATTAAAAAAAGGGAAGAAAAAGCTCAAATTCATGCAATAAGAAATGAAAAAGGAGAAATCACTACAGACCCAATAGAAATACAGAAGATCATCAACACCTATTTCGAAAACCTCTACTCTCAAAAGTTTGATAACACAGAAGAAATAGACAGATTCTTAGAAGCATATGAAGTGCCAAAGCTAGATCAAGAGGATGTAAAACTGTTGAATAACCCAATCTCTGTTACTGAAATTGAAAATGTAATTAAGTCCTTACCCACCAAGAAGAGCCCAGGCCCAGATGGATTCACTGCAGAATTCTACAAGAAATACAAAGAAGACCTAATGCCAACACTCCTCAAACTATTGAATGAAATTGAAAGGGAAGCAATCCTTCCTAAGTCATTCCTGGAAGCAAATATTACTCTAGTACCAAAACCTGAAAAAGACCCAACTAAAAAAGAGAACTATAGACCGATCTCCCTAATGAACACAGATGCAAAAATCCTCAATAAAATATTGGCAAATAGGATCCAGCAAATCATCAAGAAGATTATACACCATGACCAAGTGGGATTCATCCCAGGAATGCAAGGATGGTTCAACATACGCAAATCAATAAATGTAATCCACCATATCAATAAAGCCAAAAATAAGAATCACATGATCATTTCTATAGATGCAGAAAAAGCCTTCGATAAGGTCCAACATTTATTCATGATAAAAACTCTACAGAAAATTGGAATAGATGGTCTTTACCTCAATATAATAGAGGCCATTTATGACAAACCAACAGCCAGCATCATACTAAATGGCCAAAAATTGAAAGCCTTTACTTTAAAATCAGGCACAAGACAAGGATGTCCTTTATCACCACTCCTATTTAATATAGTACTGGAAGTACTAGCCAGAGCAATTAGGCAAGAAAGAGAAATAAAAGGGGTAAAGATAGGAAAAGAAGAAGTTAAGTTGTCATTGTTTGCAGATGACATGATACTCTACATAGAAGACCCCCTAAGCTCCATTGAAAGACTTTTAGATACAATAAATAAATTCAGTAATGTGGCTGGATACAAAGTCAATACGCAGAAATCAATAGCATTCCTATACACGAACAACAAAATCACAGAGAGGGAAATAAGAGAAACTGGACTATTCACATTAGCAAGCAAAAAAATGAAATATTTAGGAATTACTCTTACAAAAGAAGTGAAAGACTTATACAGTGAAAACTATAATACACTGAAAAAGGAAATTGAAGATGATCTCAGAAAATGGAAAGACATCCCTTGCTCATGGATAGGAAGAACAAACATTGTGAATATGGCCATTCTCCCAAAACTCTTATACAGATTCAATGCAATCCCAATAGAAATACCATCAACATACCTTATAGATCTAGAGAAATCACTCCTAAATTTCACCTGGAACCAGAAGAGACCTAGAATCACAAAGGCAATTCTAAGCAGCAAAGACAAAGCAGGAGGCATCACAATCCCTGACTTGAAATTATACTACAAAGCAACAGTAGTAAAATCAACATGGTATTGGAATCAAAACAGAGCTGAAGATCAATGGAATAGATTAGAAGATACAACCACAACTACAAACACACTCAACCACCTTATCTTTGATAAAGGAGCCAAGCAGGTTCACTGGAAGAACGACAGTCTCTTTAATAAATGATGCTGGAAAAACTGGCTCTCCATTTGCCGAAAACTAAAGCTAGACCCATGTCTATCACCATGTACTAAATTAAAATCTAAATGGGTCAAAGATCTGAATATTAAAACAGAAACACTAAATCTATTGGAAGACAAATTGGGTAGAAACCTTGGAGACATAGGAGTAGGTAGAGAATTCATGAACAGGACTCAAACCGCACGGGAAATACTTCCCAGAATCAATAACTGGGACCACTTCTTATTAAAAAGTTTCTGCATGTCAAAAGAAATCTCCAGCATAGTGAAAAGAAAACCCACAAACTGGGAAAAGATTTTAGTGAACTCTCTCTCAGACAAGGGACTCTTGTCTAAAGCATATAAAGAATTAAAAAAAACTCAGACCTCCAAAATTCAAAGATCCAATCCA